ATTAAGATTATGAATGAATTTTATAAAAATAAGTTTTTAAATATGTCGCGAACTGGTTAGTTGAATAGTGTCATGAATAACAAAGAAACTGACTTTATAAAATATTATTCAACATACAAAATGACCATATGGAGGTACGATTTTGGCATATTTTTTGCCAGTGCAGTATGCTTGGCCAGGGCCACTGTGTCAACGGGTTTTTAATTGATTTTCATGGCTGCAGTTTTTGATTGTGCTGATTGACGCATCAAATGAAGTGACTTCGTCCGGGCGAAAGGACAACGGGGCAGTTCGGCAAGGACCTCTGGCCATGTGTCTGGGCCATATCAGTGACGGGACAAACAGCACAGAGCGCAGAGAAAAGAACAGAGCCCCACCGCCCAGGCAGTAATTAAATTTGTCAGCCGGACAAAACGTTCGGCATTTTTCGACCTACCAACTGCACAACGTTGCGTATGCTTGATGCGATGAGCTGCAAAGGAGTTTTGGGTGAGCAACGGATGGATGAAAGGATGGGTACGGGGTACGGGGTTCGGGGTACTGGCTTATTGCATTTTAATCACTGCATTCAGTAAACTCATTGTTTATCCTCACGGCCGCCTTCTCTACATATTTGTTTGCAAATATGAATAAATAAATGAATGAGTCCGGTGTATCAATGATTCAGCAAATGAATGGAGGCATTAATGAATGATATTTTTCGTTTGACTTTGGCCACTAATGAGCCGCCTCTGACGTCAACGCTGTTGACTGTCCAAAGTCAGAGGTAGAAAGCCAGGAAAAATCTGTGAAATCGGAGACTCAATTTAAAAATCATTATGAGCGCACATTAAGCGTAAAAAATTAATGAGCAAGTTGCGTCAACAATGAGCTAGGACCGTGCGCCAGGATATCCCTCGGCATGGATGTGTGTGTGTGCTGCAGGGAATCCAAGGTGCGTCCGCTCCTGACTGCATCATCCTTCGTATAGTCTGGCTTCAGTTTCATAATGGTGGGAAAAAGGAAAAGAAAAGTAAACGCACCCACACACACACACACACACAAACACAAAAAAGGCAGGAAAATGAGGAAGGAAATCTCCAATAGAATGAGCCGGGTGGAGAAGGAGGGGGCAGCAGGTGCCCCCGAAGGAGCAGCCGCTCCGATAGGATGTCGACTTGAATGGCCGCAATGGCATTGGGTTTCGGTTAACGGTAATAGACGTAAGGCACTCGGCCTGGTCCTTGGAAAAAGCACGGGGAAAATTATCAGGAAGCAGATCTTCTTTACCAGTTGCTCCTTTGAGCTATTAGGGTTTCAATGAGAAATATATAATTTAGTTAACGAGTATGGTAAAGAGTGGCTCAAATGCTTTTTACTCTAAAAAATAGTAACAATACTGGTAGTCCCTTAATTTGTTTGGTCCTTAGTATGTTAATGTAAATTCGTTGAAAATTTATATTCGTAGTCGTATTATTTTAAATAACGATTGTGTAAGTAAGAATTACTTTTTTTAAAATGCTTTTATATTTTTACGAAATAAGTGATAGCAGCTGAATAAGTGTCTTAAAGATAGTAACAGTAAGTTCTGATTTCAAATATTGGTGAGCAATAATCTTGACCCTTAATACCGTTATACCTTTTTTGCCTACGCCCCTGGCAACCTCAATTCTCACAAAGTCTACAACGTCGTTTACTTTGCCTAACAATATTTAGTTTGGCAACAAAAGTCGCAGGCCCACACCCAAAGGACACACACACACAAAACGGAATGGGAGGCTTGTGTGGCCGTGCCTTTAGCACTCACCCCCTAACAACTCATTTGGCACTCATCAGTAGGTCAGGGCATTGTTAATGCGACATATCCTTGAAATCCAGGACGAGATCCGTTTAAATTGTTGAGCTTTCCTTCGGACGAGCTGCGTGCCCGTCTTGGTCTCCGGCTTATTCCGCATGCTTGTCACGTTGTCCGGCGCTGAAAGGAGACACCAAACGGGGGCCAGAAGTTTTTTCACTCCGTGCCCGGACAGATTGCCCTGGCACGGACCAACAGGGATGAAAGGATGGGGCTGCTGGTCTGCTGGGCTGCTGGTCTGCTGGATATCTGGGTGCGTGTCTCCTGCTCTTTGTTGGTAATTACCTCAAGTTGGTCATTTGATGATGCGCAAATCCCGTCGAGCTGGCCGGAGCACTGAGCTGTGATTGCGGACGCAGGTGGAGTTCCCATCCCCTCAATGGCTACCGAAACCGAAAGATGGGCGACGAACTGAAGCCACAGGTGGGTGTGTGGCCCTGGGGCTAATTGCCGTTAAGTGCCTGGGCAATCCTCAAACGGTTGATATTTTCGACATAAATAATCCCAGTCAGCTGGCCGTTTGACTTGGGGCATGATTCTCACAGAGCTCAGGGTTTGCACAGTGACAAGTGGGACGATTGGGGGGGCTTGTGAATCATTTAGACTCGCAATGTCTTACTTTAAGCTCCCAATTAACACAGAGGCAGTCTTGTTTCTCATTGGGATGTATTCATTTTGTAACTAAGTAATGTTAATCATGCATTGTGTTTGCAATCGCTGGTAAGGACTTTGACAATTTTTAAATAATTAAAACTTAAATATTTAAAAAAAGACCTGATAAAGATTTTCTATTATTTATTATATTATTCAGGTAAGCAAGCGATAATCATTATGTCGTATATGAATATATTAGTTATTCGTTTTATATTCTTATTTTTGTTTGATGTACCATAATATAATTATGGCAAATTTGGAATTTTAATATATTTATTTCCTGTGTGGAGACATTTAAATAGGGTAGTGGATTTCAGAGAGCCAGCCTGGGGTTTTCATTTTACCACTAATCATTTGTCTAGCAATATTTATTAGTAGTCTAGTCAATCGGTTTTGAAAGCTCCTTGATGGGTATATATTTGGAGTTATGGACAAGTTTAACCCCAATGTGGAGCTGGTAGAGGAGGGCGTAGGATGGCGACATTCCTCCGGGAGTTTTCCCACCGCATGGTCAAAGTGCTTTTGGTCGCTTGGACCACTTAAGCACAACGCTTTGGCAATGCTGGCTACTGCCCTTCCTACCCTCCCTCCAACCACCTCTGTGGGTTTGCTTTTTTGGCGGCAGCACGTGCAGGTGGAGCTACGGGTGCGAGTGAGGCTGCTGCATCACATCGCATCGCATCGCATCGCCCTGACACGGATGCGGACTAGCTGAAATGCAGCTAACGAACCGCAATTGCGGTCACATTTCATGAGAGCGGGCACGCCGTCCGCTGGACACTAAAACTCGCCCCAGGCGGACCTTTACTCGCACACGGATGGGGTGGAAACACTGGCCGACTGATTCAATTTGCAGCCAGCGACAGGCTTTTAGTGCTCTCACTCCCCAGAGCACCACCACCACGCATCCCATGACCGTTTCCCAACCATACCCATCTTCCTTATCATCCTCCCGTCTGTGGATATCATCAAAAATTAGCTTGTTTGACGGGACGGCTGCTGAGGTGGGAGTGGGATCCACATGTGGCATTTTAAATGCATGTGCACGAACTTCCGCTGGAAAGGTCGGGTCATTCCTGGGTAAAGTTCACAAAGCAACAGGTATATGACAGTCCAATTAACTTGACGGAATTTAAAATGAACTAAATGAGTTTAATGAAGCACTTGTGAGCAAAATAAAGAATGTCCTAATTAAAGAGAATGACTGCGTAAGCTGAATGTGGGACACCAGATGATAATTAACACAGATGATAATAACACTCTTTATGTAAACTTAGTGTTTATTTAAATTAAATTAACAATACAATATGTTTGAGTCCGGTGTTACAATTCTTATGAACGGTTACAACTTTTATGAACAATATATGTACAATCCAACCTTATATGATAACCATAAAAGGGATATTATATTAATGGTCCAAAATTTACTGTCCCTATAAAATGTATATATTCGTAAGTTCCTAATGAGAAATCTGAGTTAAAAAAACAAATGCAACACACTGTTGATTTTAAGCATAAGTCGACCTAAACTATAATTTGATGATTGATGCTAACTCAGAAGGTGTTGATCAATTCAATTTAATGGGACAAGGCATTAAAAAAAACCTTCAATATCTATTCTCAAATGGTCTTTAACCATTAAACCTGTAGCACAGTGAAAACCAACTTTAAGGTCTGCCCTTCTGTTTTTTTTTATCCCAACTGCCTCATCACACTAAACGTAATGAGCAAATTAGAGGGAGCTGGTCGGGGGAAAACTATTTGGAGGACAGCTGAGGACGACATCACATCCAAAAGATGCTGCAATAATTATGCAAATTTCAATTTGGTCCGTCTAGTCGGGACACAAACCCACAGCAGCAGTGACACCTTCGTTGGGCAGGCTAGACTAGAACACAAGGATGAAAACGAGGACCCAGGACTTAGGACCCAGGCAATTTGCAGGCTGCGACAGTCTCGGAGAAACGTGCGAAAGGAACAAGTCGTGACCCCGCACCTCAACTGACCCCGTGAACCCTGGCTACCCCAAAACCATCCGCCACCCACACAAACGTAAGCGCATTTTAATGATCTCATTTATGCTAATCTGCAAACGCTCGAATCTGTTCACGCACACAGACAGACAAAACCACAAGAGGTGAGATAGGAGGGAGGGGGGGTCACCAACTGCCACCGGCTGGTAATGCTAATGAAGTCTAATTGAATTTCGGACACTTGACACGTCCCACAATCTCTGATCTCTTGTTGACACGCTGGCAAGGGGCGCGGCGCATAAAACACAGAGTTTAAACCAGCAATTAAGTGGGAGTGAATAAACAATTTCGATATTGATATTAAAACATTTGCCTCCTGTTGGTTTAATAGAGGCATTCAAACATTATGTTGACACAAAACGTACGAGCCATCTTGAACTCCTGTCTACTGTTCTATTAAATAAATTTGTGTTAGGAAGTAGCTAAAGATTTATGAGGAAAGTCATTATTGTAAGCAGATTGTTAAATCAATCGCGGCCTTAAGATGTTAATAGATTTATTTCCCATAGTTTTTATTTCCTATCAATACAATACATTTTTTTTATATTTACATTACTCATTGCATCTTTTATGAGAGCTTTCCATTGATGTTTTTAATAGTCCTGTAGCCTTACTCATTTCTTTGACAGATATGGGTTAAACCTTACTTATTAAAAGTTGGTTATTGATATTGATTTGAGTCAACAATATGCACTATCCACTCGGTATGCTTTATAACATTGGTGAAAATTTGTAAGCTATTGGACGAATAACTAACAATACCAATTAGGACGAGCCATTCGTTTTCCGAAAACGACATAATTTTACCCAATATGTCGCCATGTTTTCCATAGTTTTGACTCACTCCAGGGGGTGTTTTTACACAAACTTGATTAGTTTCGATTGTTTTCCCAATATTGATTGAACACTTAAAGGGATCAACAATTTGTTGGTAAATAGTTACGTCCTTATCAGTTTGCACATAATCAAATGTAGTAAAAACTGCACTAGATTCGACAAGTTGCTGATAGGTTTTGTTCACAATCAAACATATTGGTTTCATGCCATCTGCAAAACAGGAACTCATTGTTGAAAAAGTTAGACTTCTGCAATGAATAGGTTACCAATTATGACAGGTCGCTTCAGTTTAAGTAAGGCTATATCATTTTTGAAGTTATGAGTATACAGTGGGTGCTTAAAGATTGAGTCAACTCTGAATTCGTCATAGATCCGTGTGGTTCCCGCCACGCCCACATCGCTGAGAATATAAATAAATTTATAAATTGTTTAAGGAAATTATTGTTAATACTTTGATATTACTTACAGAGAGTCGGGATTTAATGGTATTCCTCTAGCATTTGTAATGATAAATCCTTAAAATTAAAACGGATTATTTCTGACCAAAAAAAAATCAACTTTGGCGGAATCGGTTTTTATACCTTTACAAAATACATAGATAACCTTTTGATTTATATGATTTTTTGTATAAAAAATTACTTATTTTATTACCGAACCGATTCCGCAAAAATTATTTTGAGTCGTTGGAATAGATACGCACTGTCTGTGATAAACACACCCTGGGCCATGAAGTTCAGTCCATAAATTTGTGCGCGTAATTTTGATGATAAGGTTTTGCCACTGCAGTCGTCATACAACCACATCCGCTGAACCATTTCATAGTGTGGAGGTTTTTTGATAATTTTTGTTTTTGGTGGAGCAACCACTAGACTTTGCCATGTTTCAAAACGCTTTACTGTTGTCTTAATCCAGTCGACATAGCTTGTTACATCAGTAAAAACTCCAACTCTATTACAGCGTATTTTGCCATGGCCCACAATGACTAGGCGATGTGATTTGTCTTTAGTTCTGACAGAAATAATCAAGGGACTAGATTGAAAATCACAATCTTGTTGTTTGTTTGAGGTACTTGCACAGATCTGATGAGAACTAAGACTCACACCCAATCTATAATTGCAATAGCTTTGATTAAGCCAATTAAGGATGACGCCTTTATACGTTTTACTTCTCAGGTCCCAGCCAAATGCTGTGAACGTCAGACCAGACCGTTTGTTTAAAGTCTTATCCAAAACAAGGCAGATTGGATTAATATAAACTGTGAAAACAAGTATATTAATACATCTGTTAAACGATTAAACTTTGCACAAACCATTGTAGACCACTGGGCGCGACAGTTTGAGTAGACCAATGTCACTCGACTGATCGAGTTCTTCGTAGGAATGATGTATCACGGCAAGGCTTGCTGCATACATTTCGGATGGCTCTGATTCGGGATGCGTTCCAAACTTCACAAACCTTTCATAAAATAAAAAAAAAATTTTTTCTTATAAAGCTAAGTTAAAAAATTTGTTTAAGCTCAATATAATTTTATATGATAGGAAATAACCACAAAAAAACATTTTGTCTTAAAAATCCGAAAATATAACTTTTTTAGCCTTGTAATTTTAATATTAAAAAAAAACTTTAAAATAAGTAAAATTAAATCCTCAAAAAACTGTTTAACTTTTTTACGAAAAAAAATATATGTTTGAAAATATGTGTTATTTGATTTAAACCTTACGCAAACTCTCAAACAAAGTGAAACCATTATGTATCCAAAACCATTGACTAATGACCAAAACAAATAGTTAGCAATACAATTAAAACGACTGTAAAAATTAATTATGAGCTACTTTTTTTTTGTCCCAATGTATGCAAAATTTTAACGCACAGATAAAATATTTTTTTTGAGGATACTTACAGATCTCCATGATAATATATGCAATGAGCAGCAGCTAAAACAAACTCTAAAAAACGAACATGTTATATTATCACCCAATCTCTTATTTATACAAAAATACGAACGTTTGTTAATCAGCGTGCCGACACACAGAAAATATGTGGCATTACTTATGGCTGCCATCCATGCAGCCGCTTGTATTACTTCATTTTGGCCATTGATAACTTTGGGACTAGAAGATCCGCAGGGTTCCTCCAAAAAACGTAAAGCATCACCATAGCTAACAAGCAAGGTCAGCAAAAAAACCCAAGCTAATGATGTCTGCATTCCACGGAAGTCACGAAACGAATAAAACATTGTGTATAAAATTTAAACCTTATCAGCAAAAAACATTATACAACATTTTAGGTTTAATACAAAAAAAAACACGGTCATACAAAATTTTAGGAAAATATGAATAAGAACAGAATCATAAAAAGTTTCAAACAAAAAAAAAAACTTCCGTAAGCCGAAGATAATATACCCTTGCAGCTATTACAAAAATAAAATATTCTTTAAAGCACCTTAATTTTGATTATGTATATGTTTAAAAACATTGAAGCTCTAATGATTTTACCCTCAGTTATTTTTTTGTTCCTATAGGACTAGACTAGAATTAAATTAAAAGAGCAATTCTAAATTATTAAACTATTACTAAATTCAAATCCAAATAATAAAAAAGATGAAAAATAGATAAGTTAAATTGTTTTATAAAAATGTTTAAAAATGTCAGATAATTAATTATAATATATATTTACAGTATCTACAAAAATCATATATTCTGCTACTGTTTTATCTCGATAAAATTAAACAACTAAATAAATAAGTAACAATTGTACTTCTTTGCAAATATAATCTGGAGTTTACTGCTGACTAAGAAGGGTTTCCGCTCGCTTTAGCTAAAACATTTTTAGAGTGAATTTTACTTAAAACTTTTTAGAAAATATATATCCTCAATATACCCTTGCAGAGGATATTATAATTTATTTATTTATAAGTTTACAGCGCAGTGCGGGAGATATTTCCGACCCCATTAAATATATATATTCTAGATATCCTTCAATAGGAGAGTCGATCTAGCCGTGTCCGTCTGTCTTTCTTAAGTTAAGTTTGGCCTCGTTAATGCTCCATCTTTACTAGGGGAGTAGAGTTTTAAATTTTTTAATAATGTTACGTCTTGTTCGCTAGTAATAGTGTACAAAAGAAAAAAAGATACAACATAAAGCGCATTTCATACAGTTCGCAATTTTAAAGTTGGTGGTAAAGTGAAAACATTTTGGATACTATTTCTGTACAATAGCTACGAATTAACTTCGATTTATTTTTTTTTCAATATCTAAATATTTTTTTAATCTGCACCGTTAAACCAAACTTTTATTTCTGAAAAGTTTTGTCAATAATATTTTATAAGCCATTACTTAACAGCAGCCCCGTACATTTGAATTTTTACTACAAGAAAACAATGGCTCTCAGAAATTTCTGATTTTTAATCATATTCTTTAGAAATTCAGATTAATCTAAGACAATTCTATTGCTTTTTGACGCTTTAATTACCATATTCTACATCTGACATATAGTTTTTTTTAGCTACATCTATCTGAATTTATTTTGTTACCTTGAGAGCTATTTACAACAAACTTTTCCTTTCGAATTTTCACTAAAGCCCTTTTAAATCGTATTTAAAGAGACTGGGGACACAACCCGTCGACTGCAATCCCCGTAACCAGGATCCGTTTCTGAACGATGTGCGGCTGTGCGAGTATCCGTATCTGTCCGGCTCCATCTCGACGGGTTCCAGCTGCCGTCCAGCGAAGTCAACATTTGCGTTTCTGCGGCTGCGGCGGGCATAAAATTTCCTATGCATTCGACCACATTGAAAATTTCTCGTAATATTTGATTTGATTTTTAAACAAAACGCTGTCCCACGCCTTGTTAGAGTGAGATAGTGGCACTGTGAAGTGACGAGCGTTGGTCAGGCTGACATATTGGCATGGGGACAAGGGGATTGGGGGTGGTCACTCCGCTTTTATTAGCATGCCAGTGTAGCAACAACAAATCAGAATTATTTGACAACGCAGCTAATTTACATGTGCATGTAGAAGGGGGTTGTGGGGGTCGGGTGTTGAACAGACAGGAGCTGATACTCGTATCTAACATCCCGACAGCCTGCGGTTTCTGTCTGCGGCTTCTTTCTGCGGCCTGGGCATGGATATGGACCCGAAAGTGGACTAAAACTGGAACTGCAGCTGGCCCTGGCCTCATTGCCAAATCGTCGAACTGTATTTTAAGTGGGCAAAAAGTTGAAACCACTTTCGACTTGCGTTCAATTTCATTTAATTACTTTGACGTAAATTTTGAAACTTTATTACCGATGCAGGAGAACTGCACGTAAGTGTTAACCCTCTGTCTGCCAATCACTGAATTTTATAAAAATCTTGTTTTTCTGATGTCTTTTAAAATAAAAAGAGAAATGGTTTGAGGAAATGGTGCACTTAATTTAAAATTTTATAATTACTAGTAAGTCAATTTTGTATCCAAATTAGGAGCAATATTTTAATATATGTGTTTTTTAATGAAGACTTATTAAAATTATTAAGTGTTGTTTCATAAAAAATTAATTTTATTCTAAATCAATATTATTATTATTAAAGTTTCCGCTGCACTTACTAAATAACTAAAATGTTTCGTAGTGGGGTAAAGCTTAAAAAATATTACATTTTATCCCGGAGGAGCGTGCAAGTCAAGGTAGGGTTAATTTAGAGAAAACTGTTGCGTGCACATCATTTTACCAAAAAAAAAACCTATTAGGCACAACAAAATCAATAAATAACAATGACAACACACGAAAGATGACTCGCCAAGTCGGGTGTTTAACCAGCTTGCATATTATATCAAATCAAGCTAATAAGCAATATCAACGGACTCTCAGTTGATAGTTTCCTTGAAAAGAAATAATAGTCTGCAATGTCAAGCTCAAATGCTTTCATATCATGGCTTTTGATGGGGACACGAAAGATGAAGCAAAGAAAGGGGGGTAACGAGCTCTGAAAGCATAATCAGCATCTCCATTAAGAGCTGAGAGAACAAAAGAGAGAGTGATTAATAAAAAGAGTGCGATCACCGAAACCGTGACAAAGAAAAGCCCCACCAAACACGCGATTATAACAAAGCCTATACATGTATATTTATACATACCAAGGGGATTTTACACATGTCCGATATGGATCTCAGCATTATACATACATATGTGTATGTATATGCAAATTTGACTACTGGCAGATAGTGCTCGACGATAACAGGGCTGATTCCTATCTAAACTGTAACAGGTGCCCAGCAGACTCGAGAAACGCGATCCCCGTTGGGTCCCGAGATAAAATTGATTGATAAGGGGGGAGGGTTTTGGGTTGCGGGGGGTGGGGAATAGAGGGCGGCAAGAACACAAAGCTCGAAGAAAAGAGAGCTTCACGCAGGAAAGCTTCGCCACACTTATTGCTAGCTATTGTATTCGCTCTCTTTGCAGCTCGAGTTTCAATTTAGTCAATTTACCGTTACCGTTACCGTTACAGTTGCACTTGATGAGCGCCGTCGAACAAACAGCCGAAGCGGACCCATGGAGCAGTCGGAGCGGGAGCGGGAGCCGCAGTCGAAGTCGCAGCCGAGCGACCTCCATCGGCTCATCCTGGCTGCACGACGAGCTTGTAAGTTTGGGGTCTCATTTGTGGCTGGACCGCCAGCCGCGATCGGTCTCTCTGTCCCGTTAGTTGTGCCCTCTCCCGAACCGCAACTCTCTCTCCCCGCCCACGCTATGTGCTGTGTTTTGTTGTGAATAAGAGCCCCGTAAACTGTGTTTGTAACTGTTACTTTCTACTCTCTCCCACGCCGGGCGTTCTTTGTCCGTCATGTATCGACATAATGCGGAGAGCTCTTTCTGTTTCATCAATCGTCTGAACGGTAATGCCAACGATGAACTGCAGCAACCGGGAGAGCACGAGCCCACTTCCGCTCTTTTGGACTACTGCAAACGCAAGGTTGGTGTGGGTGTGGTGCGATGACCGCTCATTGATTACTTAACAACACCCGAATCGTGGGAACTGACCAACGTCTCGCAAAACAGTTCCTCCGTCCATATGTGGCCATCCTGACGCTGGTGGGCCTCAATCCCATCTCCACGGATATGAGCAATGTCCGGGCCTGTTGCAGCTACGTCCAGGCGCTGATGGTGCTATTCGTTCTGCTCGTGGGATACCTTTTGCGATACATATGCGGTTATAGGTGAGTTTTATGTGCATATCAATTCCTTCCTAAAGATTTTGTTTACAATGTCTTTAATAAAGACAAGTAGATATTTAGATTATAACAAAGAAAGTGAAACCACTCTAAGAGAAAACCATTGCAACCAGTTTATCGCATCATGTAAACAACCCACACTTAAATGCGATCAAGTGTACCTACATATAGTTGTACGTTTTCTTATCATTCGTTTTTTAATAATGGAAAAAAACCTTACCGGCTTTGAATGTAAAACCGTATTCAATAGTCGACTATTACAAAAAACAACTATAAAAACAAACAAATATTCAAATTTAAAGAAAGAGATTGTATAACACAACAATAAAACAACTGTAAACAACGTAAGAACAACAACGTCAACATTTCCCCAGACATGTTTATTGTCACAATCTTTTCTACGTGTGCTTTTTTTGGTGATTTAATATTCATTCAAAATACTGTAAATTAATATTTATTAAAAATTGCCAAACATTTTCAAATTGATATTAAAAAACATCTTCTCTTTTGACAATTTCACAGATATAGAAAAGATTTTCAGATACTTGTATGAACATTATAAATACTAATGATTTGGTATTGATTAGGGTTTTGGTATTTTTTAAAACCAGGGACCGTAACAGTTGATTTATAAAATAAAAATCACGACTTAAGAGTTAACTTCTGATTTTTTAATACAATTTGTAAAATAACTTTTTTTTTATTTTTTATATTAAATAAAAATTATTTTATGATATTTTTATAAAAATTGTTATAAAACAATTATTCTCGATTTATATTTTATAAATCAAATGTGAATTTTATTTTTTTAATAAAAATTATAAATAACTGCTATTCTCTGATTTTTATTTTGACAAATCAGAAATAACAGTTATTCATTGGTTTTTATAATAAAAATTAAAAAAAATTTAAAAAAAAAAATTTTAAAATTAAAAAGTCAAAACTAAATAACTGTTGAACCATGTAAAATATATAAACACAAAAAACGCACTTAGTAGTTTAGTATTCTTTAAAAAAATCAACATATAGAGTTATTTTATAATTTTTATTGATAAAATCAATAATAAAAGTTTATGCTGTTTTAGGATATCTAAACCAAAAAAATTATATGACCTCTTTTATGTAGACTGCCATTTATCCCATGATTCTTTTCAACATCCGAACAGTTATTTGCGGTCCCTGCTTAAACTATAAGTATAACTTGGTTTTAATTCGTCATCATGGTTAATTGATAATATCAAATAAAGCCCACTGGCGCAATCTATTTTTAAACTAATTAGACTCTTTTGAAAAAATATCCTTTGATTCCAAATAATTTTCCTTCCAGAGGCGATCGTGGCTTCACCAGCTACCGGGATATTCGACCCATCACCAATGGAACAGATGGTGGTGCAGTTTCTGCCAACACCATAGGAGAACTACTTTTCGGATTCATAGTGCCCAGTGGGTTTAACCTAATGGCTTTCGTGTCCGCAGTGCTAGTGTGCAAGGTCATCGACCACGAACAGCTGCAGAACCTCATCGAAAGGGTATTCTTAATGTCTGCCAAGCCAAAGAGACTCTGCCGGATGTTGTGGCTTTTTCTGGCCGTAGCACTGGCCCTGCTCATTTTGCTCTTCGCATACGCCTGCTGTGTGGTGATGATGCAGCCCACCCAAATCGTCAAGTTGTCCTGGCTGGCAGAAGCTCTAAGCGACTGGGAGACCTGGGTTCGTGTGGGTCTGCTGGTGACCATACTCCTTCAAGATCTCGTGGAGATTATTATACTGAGCAACTACTATATAGAGTGTTATTTGCTGAGGATGCATCTGGAAACGCTCTCGCATAAGCTTCTTATGCACTCAATCGATTCGCTGGATTGGATGAGGGAAGTGCTCGAATTTCGAAAACTGCTGGAGCGGCTGAATCAGCACGTGTCAATCCCAGTGTGCTTCCTCATTGTGATGAATCTGGCTTACGCCTTCGCGGGACTGGTATACCTCTTCAAGGACTTTGATTTTCACTACTGCGCCCTGAAGCTCGTTTTACTTAACATTGCCAATGTGATGCTGTGGCTGTTTCTGGGATTGCTGCCTTTCTTCGTAGCCTCATCGGTGACGCGTGTGTGTCAGAATGCCCAGGCGAATGGTCATCAGATACGAGTTCGACCTTTCGTTTACCACAATACCTCGGCGGAGGACCTCAACTCCACGCTTCTGTTCGCCGCCTCGCTGGACATGTCCGCCAAACTTTTCCGAATGCCCATCCAGCCGAACTACCTGTGCTTCGCCATCCTTGTGGTGGTCATCGTCATCCTTACGCTGGGCATGTGCCTGAATCTCAACGCCCTGGGCAAAATTTAACCAAGTACTTGTATGCATTCGCCTATAATAATAAACACTTATAGTATTTGTCTAGCTTACAACTTTGCGACCTGACTGACCGGCTGCTACGCAATTTATTTACAGTTAATGGCTTCCGTCTACGAATTAGCTACTTATTGGTACTCTAAAGATTAGTCTCAGTTCCGGTCTCGATTTGTCTGCCTACGAGTATGCACTTTGGTTTTAGATCGTATGTATCTCCTCCACACAAGTCCTTGTTCCTGGCTCTATTCCTGCCCCGTCACCAGCCCAGCCACGGCGGATGGTTGATCTTAGAGGGCGGGATAAAGGTGAGGTTGACGGGTATGTTTATAAGGGCGTGCCCCCGTTTCAGTCGCTGCAGCGTTGACCGAATAATGACTCCGTTCTTCCCGAGCAGAAAGCCGGCCGGTATGTTGGCGTCCCGTTGGGAGTTGTCATGTATCATCTCGATGTAGTGCTCAAACTCTGGCGAGCTGGGATTGTACTCGGTGATGATTGCAGCCAAGGCACCCGCTGCCTCCGCCTGTAGCGTCTTGGTGACAAAGGAGCACTCCCTGTAAAGAAATAGTCGATTATAATTGGTCAAAGAGAAACTATGATGAACGAATGTTTAATTTTTTAAGGCATGTGCACCAAATATTTTACAGTACCCTTCTAAATCGTCTAAAATGTTATTTATTATTTATATTTTTGTAAAACTATCATTTCTACTCAGAAATAATATAAGAACATTACAATTCTTTATTAAACTTTAATTTATACTTTTATTGAAATTTTTGTTGATCAGAAGAGAGAGGTCTGTATAGTGACTTTTTAAAATGGTTTAATGATTTTGCAACTTAAATTTTTTTGTGTTTACTAAGTTTAACGGTTCAATGGAGGCTTTGTTCCAGAGCACTATGACATAATAATTTTATATTTACCGGTGACTACTGACCCAGATCTATGTTTTAAATAAAATTTCTTCGTAAAACAGACATACAACTTTGTGACACTTGAATAAGCGGTTTTGAAGAAAACAAACCGATCTCAACAGAATTACAATTTGTTTGTATCTTGGGATATTTTGATGGACTCCAAGACATTTCAGTAACAGCTGCGAGGCACGTAACTAGATTGTGAGATCTTTGATGATAAGCGTTTAATGGACAGAACTTTATGGAATGGCATGCTGACAGTTGAGGTAAAAAGCTTTCTTGGCATAAGTAGGGTAAAGAGTGCTGATAATAAGTACCTAGGTATGCACAGGGGCACCATCTCCTAGACACTTGCCATCACCGAAGATAAGCTGTATAATGTTCTAGCCATTCTAGCGGTTCTCACCCTCGATCGATGAGTGCGACGCCCCCATTAAGATCCCGGGCGTTCCGGATCTCTTGGCAGGCGCCCGGTGGATCTGTGAGCACCAGCGGCACGCCCTCCAGCCGCTCCGAGAAGGCGGATCCAAAGTCCTTGGCCGGTCGCAGCCGGTACGTGTATTCCAGGTCCGAGGGCGACAGGATTTCAAAAAACACGTCACCCGCTATTATGTCCTGGGTTGTGATCGGTATCGATATCGTGGTGCTGGCTCGGATGAAGCGGCTCAGTGTGGCGGCAAGCACTAACCAAACGATTAGCATTTTGGCCACGCACGCATAACTAATGTAAATGTTTGTTGCAAAAAAAAAACAAACTAATATCTTACGGCGCTAGTGATGGAACGGCCGTCGAAGGTGCCGCTCTAGCGATACTATCGGCTGTTGAAAAACTATACAAAGTATCGAATGGGGCCAGTTTTAGCAACGCAATTTTGAATTATTATTTCAAATTTTAAGCAACAGCTTATTGATTTTTAAGTTTGGAACATTTCATTTTGCAGCTGCTTTAATATTTTTATTTTTAGGGAATATCCTTGATTAAGAAATCGATAATATGTCTGTTATTGGCTAATTGGCTTTTGAATTTAGAATAGTTTCGGGTATTTGATTGTTATATATTTTATGTTTTTAACTAATTGCAACTAATAATTGTTGAAATAATTTTGTTTTGGTTACACATATGTATAAGCCGTTAAACTTTTTTGGAGAAATCGATTGGCATGACATGTTAATTGGATCTATTTTTTATTTTATGCTAAAAGCTTACATCAATTTAACAAATATACAAATTGGATATATATAACAAACATTTTAATATCCGGCAATTTATAAAGCGTACCCCTAAAATGCCAATCGGTAATCGATGCCTACATTTTGCGAATTTTGAAGTGTTGGCAATTTAAATTGCACGGTTACAATTTAAAAGTAAATCAAAAAGTAAAAACTACATAATTAGTTGGTAATAATATATTTCGATAACCCTGCAGAGAGGGGTATCCCTTACGCTTGAGCCGATAAGAATCTGGCCATCACTACGGGCACACTGGTTACGCGTGGTCAAAAAGTATCAAATTGGAGCGAACCAAATTGGGTTATGTTGTCACCTCCAGGTGTCGAATATTCTTCTGTGGTGGTAAAAGTAAATTGTGTGAATGGAAAATGGATATACGAAGTCCGTATTACACAGCAAGCCCCGAAGGAGAATTAACACGCTGGCTTAGCAATCCCCCTTCAGTCTGATATTTCGTTGCCGAATCGACAAACCCTGAACCAATGTGCACCGCGTGGAGGACCAGTGTTGCACTTAAACGCAACCGAAGCAACTCTGATGAGTAGTCGATACCTCACCGATTTAGTACTCGCTCGCTCAGCGGCAGCCATTTTAACTTTTGGCGTCGAAAATACGGCGAGGAAATCTGAGGAAGCCGGAGATCCTGTTCGTCTGTGTGGTTTTTTTGCATCCAGCGCAAGCAGTGTGTAGTGCTCGAGGGCCCGTGGAACCAGTGAGTGTGCGAGGAAGTTGAGAAGTTTGAGAAGAAACCGATCCGGAATCTAACCAAGAGCGAAGATGTCGATGTCTGCCACGTGCTACAAGTGCAACCGGCCGGGCCACTTTGCCCGGGACTGCAGTCTCGGCGGCGGCGGCGGGCCGGGCGGCGTTGGTGGAGGCGGCGGCGGTGGCGGCGGTATGCGCGGCAGCGATGGCGGCGGCATGCGTCGCAACCGCGAGAAGTGCTACAAATGCAACCAGTTCGGGCACTTCGCACGTGCCTGCCCCGAGGAGGCCGAGCGCTGCTACCGCTGCAACGGCATCGGGCACATCTCGAAGGACTGCACCCAGGCGGACAACCCGACCTGCTATCGGTGCAACAAGACCGGACACTGGGTGCGCAACTGCCCGGAGGCCGTCAACGAGCGCGGGCCGGCCAATGTGTCGTGCTACAAGTGCAACCGCACCGGACACATCTCCAAGAACTGCCCGGAGACCTCGAAGACTTGCTACGGCTGCGGCAAGAGCGGACATCTGAGGCGCGAGTGCGACGAGAAGGGCGGACGGAACTAGGCCGTGGTACCACCTCACAAAATGTAATCATCGAAGGAGGAATGAGTAATAATTCAACACACGAAGAACAACCCGAAGAAGAGAAAGAAAAAACATAAAAAAACGAAAAATCAATTTGCTACAACATTCACAAAAGCCAGCCAACAGCAACAACAACAACATCAAGAAGCGATAGCAGCACCCAAGTCATGATCAACCCCTCCAAAATACATCCCCCCATTAATACACATGCAGATACTATAATCTAATCCAAAAATTATCCAGTAAACCATCTCTGATTCCAAAAGCCGAGCCTGCAGCGCGGTGCCAACGTCCCGAGAACTGAGAGAAGAGAAGCAGAATTAGCTTTCCGAGGAGGAAAGCCAGAAGAATCAGTGGCCAAGGAGGAAGAAAGGCTCTTCGAGCTGTGGTACGAAGAAGAAGACGAAGACGATAGCCAACGGCAGCTGTGCAGCCGAGAGAGCAGATGACGCCGACGAAGAGGATGAAGATGAAGATGAGGAAGAGGAAGACTCGACGACCCAATTTGTAAGATGAGACTAAACCGCAACAGCAACAAGAGAATTCACCAAGCAAACCACTTTACTATAATTATACCTATATGATTATGCTGCAAAAAGTGTTTGAATTTACTAATTACATTATAACGAATGGAATGAAACTATATAAGATTATATAAAGAAAAAATACCTTAAAATACTATATAAATGATCCTATTAGGAGTTCCACAGCCAGAAACAACCGAAAGAAAAAACGTAAATAAAAATGATTAAAAACCAATGAAAAAACAAAGAAGCAGAAGCGGCGAGAAGACGTTACCACTCGACTCCATCCAGCTGCTGTCGGCGAGCCTTGGGAATCCTACAGGATGTACGACTGCCTACCCAGTATCCCACCACCACCACCCACCCACCCCACATCCAAACCACACCATACTCCCATCATCCAAGACGCCCGGCAAGATCTCTCGAGCGGGGTAGCTAGCTATATAGCGCGCATAGCTGTGGAGCCAAAGGGGGCAGCAAACAAGAACAGAGAAGCAGACAAAGAACAAGAAGAGAACATCAACAATGGTAGACATACGATACGACGACTATGAAAACGGAACGCAACGCTGGAGAGGATGAGCTAAGCGGTTAAAGCAGAAGAAGAACAAGCAGCACTCAGAACTCAGTGGGAAAGAAGAAGACAACAATACACACACACCTCCAGTTCAGTTGGACGGGACACAAAAGATGTGAAACCTACGTACGATGAAGAAAATGAAAATTCAAATATCACTGTGATTGTTTTTTAATTGTAAATTAAAATGCTGGAGCTGCTGATTTGAGACAAAAAAAAATAATTATACGCCGTGTGTATTATTTTGGGAAAAGGGATAATAGAACGTTATAACACCTCTGCCAGTATCTACTAAATGCTCCACTGATTGAGGATCACTTGCATGCAAATCCAGTGGGGGACCCACTTTATGAAATGTTAATACATCATTAAATTAATTTCACTGAAGGAGTTACCCCCAGCTTATTTAAAGGAGATCCGCCCCTGACCAGGAGAGAGCGATCTATCTTTCTCCCTCTCTCTGCCAACCAGTTTACCGGCAATTGCAGCTGCGAACACATGGCGCGGGCAGCTGATGGGGCTCTCTCTCTCTGCTCGCGAAATCTGCCATTGTCTCCCCTGTTTGTCTGTATGTGTATGCCGCTTTCTTTGCGCTCCTGCCCTGTGTGCAATTCACATACATACACGCGGTAAGTGAATACATACATATGTACAAGTATATCGCTGAGAAGTACAGTCGCCGCTAATGGTGAAAACTGGCTGTGCGAAAAAAGGCAAAGAGAGCAAGAGAGAGGGCGGGCTGGGTGGCAACTCAAAAACTCCGCCGGTTGCACTTGGCAACAAGTCGACAATCGACATCCACTCCGATTGAGGGTCAAGGTCAGCGCTCGCACATCAGCTGCTGCTGCGCGCATGTGTGACGTCGGAGGCGGAGGCTCCGCGAAAGTTGCGCTCCAAGTCTCTGTTTAAGGAGCTGCATGTGGGTAAGAAGAAGAGCGGTTCGCAGAGTGGTTTCGGCGGTTAGCGAGCCGGTTTGGCTTCTTTTTTGAGGTTCACTGTATTTTATTGCGGTACGATCGCGAGCCATATAAAAAATCGCTGCATTTACTTAGGCCTATGAGAGGAGTTGCAGATGTTATGGGTATAATTATCACCTGTAGTCGTATTTAGCAGGGGAAAGAAAACTTTACCAAGTTACCCAAAGTATTCCATATTCCATATTCAGCTAAAAATTCTAAAGATTTGTTCATAAATAAAGCAAGCTAGGGCATACAGGCTTTATTTGTTAAAAAATAAATGTAAATGTAAATGCTTGGTAAATGTTATTTAAATTTGTTTTAAAAAATAAGAGCGTTATCAACTAAAATCAAACTGATATTATGTTTTTTCATGTCGCAAAGTGTTAAAAGTTTTTCCTAAATCTTTTTTTTATGTTCAATAAATATGACAACTTTTGAAGTTTATATTATAAAATTGAAATACTAGCCAAAACTGCTTCTGGAAACACATTCTACAAAATTTTTATTTGTAAAAAATAAGAGAAAAAAAAATATAAAGATGCCTAAGAGTAATTGTAGTGACTGCACATGTCGTTTGGCCAAAGAGGTGTGCCAGCTAAAGGGTAACAACTAAGAATATGGAGGAGAGTCCGCTGAGATCCCTTGTAACACAGACCGCATCCCATAGCTGTTGTGAATGCCCAGAGCAAGACCCTCTCCAAGTTGGTCCGGCAGATGAAGGATGGTTGCAAAAAGGATGAGGAGCCCAAAGAATCCACCCTGTGCGGTTTGAATCCTTGTCTGAAGTGCCTGCAGCCCGACATACTTTATCATCTGGGGCTAGACACGGAGACTACTGATTTCCCCAAAGTGTTCGGCGATGTGCGGGTAAGTCTGTTCCAATACTTCAGATGTACTGAGATTATTGACCCTTGGCATAATAAATAATTTTGTAAAATTTGTATAATCAGTGAGAAATCTGTTATTTCTTTTAAAGAATTCCCAAAACTGTAACAAATAATTATTATTTTTCATTAATAGTTCGTTTGCATGGGGGGTACACCGGGGCGTATGGAGAATTTTGCCTACTACTTGATGCAGGAGATCGGCCTCAAGATAAACGCGGCCACCAAACTGCGGGACATGGGGGAGGCGGGCAAGCGATTCGCCTTGTTCAAGGTGGGTCCCGTGCTATGTGCCAGCCACGGAATGGGCTGTCCATCGATTTCCATCCTGCTGCACGAGCTCATCAAGATGATGCACCACGCCAAGTGCCAAGATCCCGTCTTCATCCGGATTGGAACCTGTGGTGGCATTGGTGTCGATCCCGGAACCGTGGTCATCTCCTCCGAGGCGGTGGATGGTCGGCTCAATCCCGCCCACGAGATCCTGGTACACGGCGTCAGTGTCCAACATGCCAGCCAGTTGGACGAGGGTCTGGCTGATGACATCAAGTCCTGCCACGATCCCAGCAAGGACAATTATGAAACCATCGTCGGACGGACGATGTGCACCCATGATTTCTACGAGGGTCAGTCGCGATTGGATGGCGCCTTTTGCGAGTACACACCCGAAATGAAAAAGACCTACTTGGAGGAGCTTCAGAACCAGGGGGTGAAGAACATCGAGATGGAGAGTCTGGCTTTGGCCGCTCTTACCAGCAGGGCCAATATAAGGGCTGCAGTGGTCTGCGTGGCCATATTAAATCGCGTCAATGGAGATCAGGTGAGATTAAATAAATCTAAATCAATATGAATTCATTTTTCTCAAGCATATGCAAAAAGATATTGTTTAAATTTATTGTTACCGAAGAACTATAAAACTAAGTGGTATGGCTAGTATCCATTATATTTGGTGTAAAAGGTTCTAAAAAATATTTATGGGTTATTCTCTAATGTTCGACATGCTATATTCAAGATAATCACAAAAATCTAAGCCATTCGCACGCTACACAGACAGAAGTGATTCTTTCGAAAAAATGTTCAAGCACGCTTTTCAGCAACACGTGATCTATGATTTAAATAAAATTTATTTTATAATGTTCTGTATTGACAGATCTTAACAAGGTTTTTAGTTTGACCCTAAAATGTTAAGTAGTTTTTTGTTTAAATTGAGTTTTAATGGCTGTTGTGTGTTATGTTTTAAAATGTGTAATGCATTTATGGTCAATTGTCTTATAATAGTTAAATTAAATAGATGACCTGTAAAAACATGTGGAAAAAAAATACATTTTCAGACATTGTATGTTTTGGCTGCGGTTGACCTTTCTTGAGAATTACCCATATGTATTTGTCTTTTAAATTATATTGTATATTGTACACCTTAATCTTTTACTACCAATTAAAATCCTATTTAGATCAAAACGCCGCATGAGATTTTGGCCAAATGGGAGAAGCGACCGCAGGTGCTAGTGGCCCGCTATATACGCAAAGTTTTGTACTTCCACGAAAATGATTCCGACTGGGAAGAACCTGACGAGGATGAGTGCGAAGGAGAAACTCCAGAGAAGGCTGCGACTCCACCAGGCGGTGCTGGAGACACTCAAAAGGCGCCCGCAGAGGAGGCTGAATAATATTCTTGGGCTGGAAATACACATTGTCGACTTGTGACTGCACCAACATTAAAAACAAAAAAAAAACCATACTAACCTAATGTTTTTTTTTTAAAAGTTTGGACAATGCTAATTTTAATTAAACATCTGTTTCCTATTGATACCTATAGTTTTGACAATCAATGACAACATAGTTTGTTCAGTTCAATGGTATAGATTGTTTTATTTAATGCTCAATTACAATATCAGGAATTTATGCTACACAATTGATAGGTTTATTCGGGTTTCATTTTTGGTTAGTACAGCTGTTGGAGAACCTTTGGGCAGAGGCTAGGAGACTCGCTTAACGCTAAACTAGTCACGAAATGAGTACCAATAGCAGCCAGGGACATATTGGTCCTGGAGCTCTAATAGAATCACAAACAAAGTACACAATGCATATGCATATATAGCTAATATTATCATAATCTGTATCGACATCAGTATTTTAAGTTACAATTTAAACTAAAACATGAGGTCCAGGTTCTATGGATTTTACTTCATGTCCACCATTACCACCCAAATCAACATGCAGATGTAGGTGGATGGCCACAGCTAGATGCCCCACTACTTCTCCGACTTGTTGCGCGTTTTGGCCTGACCAGTGGCATTTCCACCCACCTGGGATCTGTCCGCTTTTCGGCTACTCGACCGGGGCAAGGTGGTGCAGCTAGCAGACATGGATTTGTCCTGCAAAAATTAAAGTATAGCAAATAGTTAGAGTTGATCTTGACTAGAAACGGCTCAAACAGCATGCTGCAAATCCTTAAATCTGGGGGTTAGTAACGCAACTGTACAAGGGAATAATGCCATATTTGGGGGCCATGGAAGTTAAGGGCGGAGTTGACGTTGCCCGGCGGTGAGCGATACATAACACTGGGATGATGAGAGCTTCGATAACGGGCTGCGGCTGGGCTTACTTCAAATCTGCGTCTCTCTGGCCGCCAGCTGCTCATCTTCCGGCTGCTGGCTGGGATTAGCTTTGTTACGCAGCACACTAGCTTTGATATGCTTGAACAGTTGGCCGATACCTGACTTTCGTTCCACGCTGCCCGTCGATGTCTGGCTAATGGCGTCCGGTTGGGGACTCAGCGAGTGCCTCTTCGGTGGCAGAGGCGGAGGAGGGGCACGTCCCTTGCCATGGTTGGCCTTGGGCCGCAGGGATGGCGATAGTGAGGCCGATACGGAGGGCTCTGGTTCCAGCTGGGCACGGAAACTATGCTTAATCTCCTCCAGGGTGGCACGCATTTCGCGGGGCGACATGGGACGTGGTCGTTCGGGTAGAAAAGGATCTGGTGCGGATGCAGAAGTACTTAGAACCAAGACAAAGGGGTCTATCGGTGGTGATATATATGGCTTGCTTTGGGGAGGTGCACCCGATTCGAGGGTCTCAGCAGGTCCATTGATATTCTCATTTTGTAACTTATCCTTATGTATCTCCTCGAATGAATCTTTATTTTTTTTGGCATCAACTTCATCCGTAATTATTTGATTAGGTTCTTCGAATAACGCATCTTCAAAATCGTCCTCCATTTTGCAATTTTCCCTTTCATTTTGGTAAGACAATTCTTCCTGCTTTTCTTCTACAACCTCCAGTTCTGTTATGTCCTCTTCCATTAAAGGCAAAGCCTCATAAAAGTCCTCGTCTTCTGCATCATCGTCCATCTTCTCCTCCCTCGTAATTTTTTCCACATCCAAAATTGGTATTTTTTCAAAACTCTCCACAATTTTAAGTTCTTGGGCCACTGGAACTGCGTTCTCCCCTCGCACACCTTGAAAGTATAGCTGGTTCTCTAAATAGACTTCGTCCCTCATCTCTTCCAGCAACTGCTAACCAACACCAATCTCTAAACGGATTAAGATAGTTGCAGATGGAAAAAATCACATTATTCATACCTCATTGCGTTTTGACTTGACCCGACCCTTGGATGCATTCGTCATTGAGGAGGTGCGACTGAGACCGCTCACGGGCTCGGCACTTGAGTAACCGGAGCTGATGTCATCCTGGCTGCGAATGTTGTAGCTGTAGGGGGCAGGAAGACATTAAAAAAGATTAAAATATTATTAAGAACTTCCAAAATGTAAATATATATGTCGGAAGTAAAATTTAGCTAATTTAGTTCAATGCTTTTAGAATCATATAGAAATTATATGATTACATAACTCAACAGTGTTTCGAAAATGTAATGCTTTTTGATCCGAACCTATATGATCCAAAGATCTTGACGCGTTTACACTGTATGAGTATTAATGTATTTAATAAATGCTGTATTTATACGAAAATTCCGAGATGATTCGAAACACTTCTTAAAATAAATATGGGTTCTTGTTTTATGAACCTTAAAAATTCGCGTAAAAGAATTCTCAGCAAATCTCTTGTTATTGATTATATATATACCTATGACAAAAATTATTTGGAGGAATTGGATATATTGTAGAGACAATATGCTTACTAAGAAGCACTGCGATTGAAGCATTGATTAATGCAAGGCTCAAATAAAAAATAAAAAAAAACTCACTTGAAATCGCCAGCATTTTTGGCGGTCACATCCACCTCCGTAAAATACATGCCGGTGGAGTGACGTGTTCCGCTTCCAGATCGGCCCACCGGCGTCTGGTTCCTTGGCCTCAGGAGACGTGCGCCCGTGGATGGCGATCGCATGACCACAGCCGACGAAGTCATCGATGACATCATCACGTCGTCCAGCTCGTCCTGCGTGCGATGCATATCCGGTTCGCTCAGATCGCTGAGGCTGTAGCTCCGCTTGATCGTCTGCACCAGATTGCCACCGCCCTTCAGCAGGACGATGGATTTAGGTGGGAGGTAGTGGTCGTGGTTGGTGGATTAGAGTACAAGAGTTGGCATTTGAATAATTTAATTTAAACTACAACTAATCGAAAACTTAGGTGTAAACATAGCAATAATACATGTAGGGAAAAAACTAAAACTACAAGTGGGCGACATGGTTAAGGTGATGATGTGTGAGTGTATCGCTGAGTGTTTGAAATTCGATTTTTCGCTGAGTATCTGATGCTGGTTGTTGGCCATCTTCAATAGCCCTCCACGTCCACATCGGGCGTACGATCGCGCAGCTTGCGACGCGAGCGGATCACATTGGTGGAGCTGCCGGCGGCCTCAGCATCGTTGTTTCGCTGGCCACGTTTGCCTGCCGTTTTGGCAGTGCCTCCGACACGACGGGCCTGAGCTTTTCGGACTGGCAAATCCCGCAGACGAGCGGCTCCGGCATCGCCCATGGGCTCATCTTGGTGCTCCATCTCCTCGGGCACCTCCTCAATAACCAGTCGCCTGGTTTCGCCCCTTGCCTCGTAGACTGCGTCCGTATAGCTGTCGATGCTGCTCAGGGAACTGGCCCGCGGCAGCCAGTTGTCCGTGCTGTCCATCATATCCTGACCCCGGGACAGCTCATCGGCGGAATGGGAGCCGTGCAGGCCACGTCCGTTGAATGAGGGAGCCGTGGTAAGCGCAAAGGTCTAGCAGTTAGCGGGTTAGTGGCAATCGGGCGGTGCAGGCAGGTGCATTTAGTTGGGTTTCAGTTTGGGTTTTGTTTGTTTGGTGGGTTAAATGCAAAGAAACATAAGTGAAGAAACGAAAAAGTTAATTAAAAGATAGGCAACGCAAAAGTCTCAAATTGAAATGAATTGCAGCTGGGTCAAATGAAGAACATACACACACGCTCGAAAATTGTCTCATGCTCGGGGTATCTATTTATATGTATATGCCCTACCCTAGAGGCGATTCGGAATTGGAATTAGAATTGTGCAACTGGGCAACTGGGAAGGGGACAATGGCGCTGGTCGAATGAAATCAGCGGAATTCCAATGTAGAAAAAAGGAGTGCCTGGCAGATGTCTCAGGTATAAACAACAGCACATAAAAGACAATTTTGGAGGACCGGAATAAACACTTTTGTTCCAAAAGCGAACAAGTTTCTTTGTCTAAGAACAAAGAAGGGTAAAAGATCCCTTCTCTGCTAGAATTTCGATGAGGAATTCGTTGTATCAGTACATTTGTACATGATTGGTTTCTTGAGAACATGTTTACAATTCTTATAATAAACTTTCAGTCTTTGTATAAACCTAAGAAATACTCGTAACATTACTATTACTATCTTTTGAAGTACTTATAATCGGATGGCTTTGTCTGATAACAAAGAACGAAAAAGAGTGACTAGTACTCCAGGAATTGGATGACTAACTCAGTTTCTTTGTAAAAACTTTTATTGCGAGTAAACCTAACAGATTGTGCAACTTAACCAATTTAGTTAAATTAACTTGCACCTTGCAGTCGTTTTCTTTTTCTTTCTATATCTTTTTTGACCTACATTAACAAAAAAAATGTATTTATTGACTGCATTAGTTCATCATTGAGTTGTCTATGCCCTCCAGAATATATCCAATCGACTGCAGCCCACAAATGTCTTGGCCCACATCTCAATTGTTTACAAACAGTTGTGAATTGCGACGGGTATTTGTGCACGGGTTTGTTCAGTTTTTTTTGTTTTTATTACATTGTTTCAACATGTTGATTTATCTTTTAGCGTGTATTACGTATAGTATATACTGTGATCTAGCTACACAAAGAGAAACACACTACAAACTAAATCGAAACAAACACGCAAATGGCACAAAAGAGCATTCCGTTCTAGACGTTTAAACTAAATAATAATAAAATTAAATGTGAAGAGAAGGCGAGCTGATGATTAAGGCGATGATGATTCTCTTGGTGAGGAGCTCCCTGCTGCCACGGATTCGCTGACCAGTTTGGCGATGATTAAGATGAGCACGCGAGAGTGTTGCGCAAATAACTCGAATATAGAACAGCAGAAGCTGATGTTTGTTTGCTGCTCATTTTATGCAACGACGCTGGAGGCGATCGAAAATGGCCAAATGAATGTGGTTGAGCGAGTCGAGTGAGTGTGCGAGATTGTGGGTGAGTGTGTCAGTGGGGGCTGTGATTGGTTTGTGTGGGGAGGATTACCTTTATGGCCGTCTGCATGAGGACATTGGTGGCGTAATTAACTCCCTTGGAGCCCAGCTGCAGGACCGCCGAATAGCCGCGCTCTTTGGCCTGATTCACATACTCGTCGATCTCCTGCACAAAGAGAAAAGTACGATGTACCGGGGAATACATATATGTATATACGCGAGTTTTCAGATCCCACCTGTTCGTGGCGCGTCAACATCGGATGCACGAATTTCCGATACAGCGTCGAACTGCCCTTTGTGGCTGGCGAGAGGAGCCAGAAGACCAGGGCCACCTTCACCTCGTAGTAGAACGGCAGCCAGGAGATAAAGATGTCCGTGAATGTTTCAATGCAGGTGAAAAATGCAAAGACAATCCAGTACATCATCCATTTTACCTACAGCATGAAAGAGTTTATATATATTGTTAAATTGCTGTTAATGATCCCAAATGATCACCATAAAAAAACAAAATTTACAGTAATGTATTAAAATGATTACTGACAAATTGATATAATTTCAAAATTTATTGTACAATTTAGCTCATATTTACTGGTTTTAAGTACCATTTAAAGTAATTAAAGGGTGATTTTGAATTTAAATTATTAAATTATTACAATAGTTTTAATTTGATCATGCAAAAACGAAATACATACTTTTGTATGGTATCATTTGGTTTAGTTTTCAAGTGTTTGTAGATGTACTTACATATTCCTTGACATCCTTGGTCCTGACGGCCTTGTAGGAGGCATAGGCCGGGTACAGGGTGCCGCAGAACAATCTGAAAGCGGGAAACAGTAAACTCTGGGCACAAGTTCGCGGCGCTAGGAATATGACAATCAGCGAGCAGATGCAGGCCGTGTTGAAAGAGAGACATGGGAGAGGACATCGCTGCAGGAGCTCCAGCATTCGGCCCAGGGCATTGAGATTCTGGACCACTTTGGGAGTGGGGGTGGGGTGAGTGGTGGCCAGCGGCACCTGCTGCTCCACTATGTAGGCCCCATTGTACTCATTATCGGGAAAATCGCTGTCCAGCGAGCTCAGTGAATCGCCCAGCTGGTACAATGGATAATGGACCCGTTGCTGCTGTTGTTGGGGATAAATAAACTTTGGATAGACGGGGATGACATCCTCCGGCTGGTCCTCGAGCGAGTAACTGCGACCGTAGACGGTGCCCGGCGGATGACGGAGACGTCGAAGATTAGCTGGCCGCTGATAGAAGAGCGGCTGGGTCTGCTCCTGCTGATAGATTGGCCTCATGGCAACGGGGATGCATTGCCCGCAGCGCAGATCGCAGATCGTTCCTGGCCGCTAGAACGTCGAGCAGAGACTGCCTGCCGGGGCGTGGAGAGCGATCTGCGATCTCAGATCCGGCGTCTAACGCTCAGCCGGGGGGTCTATTAATAAACCAACGATCGGGTCTAGAGAGCGGCAGCAATAGGAGCAGCCGCGACAATGTTTACACGGAGGAATGAACCACAGTTCCGAGCTACAGACGCGCTCGAAAAAATAGCACTTTAATGGGTTGATGTATATAAATGAATATTTCTAAAAACAATGGTGCATTCCCTTTTTTTCTGAAACTTAATCTGAAAAATGTTCATAAGAAACAAGTTTTGACATTACATTTTTTTTTTACTTAGTCGTAGAACCTTTAACTTTCGAAACGTAATGGTCCATCTTAGTTTTAAATATTTTCACACAAAATGTATGACTTTAAAACTCTGACGCATTTAAAAAGTTTTAGTTTAGTTTTATTTATAAGACATGACTTCTTTTTGTATTTAAATAATACATTTCCTTGGAATTTGTTTAAAAAAAAAGTAACAGAAAATAGGAAGAAGTCTTGGCCATTTTTTTTTAAAATAATCAAATTATTTGGGATGGCCTCTTTTAGGAAAAAACATAAGATTAATTTGTTCTGCAATTTGAGGTCTATTGTTGGTTACATTTGGGGTGGATCTTAAAGTTCGTTCTTTAAATAAACATATAAATCTCAAATATCAAGGGATGTAAATGGGCCGAATAAAGAGGTGCTATAAACTTTATCTCCAATGTGTCATTCATATGAGCAATTATAACGTTGCCAATTCGACCACGATCTATAAATATTGACAACAATAGCCGCTGTTCGCGGAGTGACAAAGAGAGTCGCCGGCTATATCCACATGTTCTGCACCCATATCGGGCGAGTCGAGTGCGTCGGCCTCGGAAACTCGGAAAGTAGCAGCTCCAAATTAGGAGTTCCAATTGAGGGTTACGCACACACACATAGTCTCACACTCGCGCACAAGTGAACGGTACTTTGCGACAGCTGATTAATAAACAAACAATCTGGCAATCAACGAAACCACGGAAATATACAGAAATCAGAAGCGTGACGCCCACACAATTAGGAATCAAAATCACTGACTTTTTGAGGTGCTTTTCTCGATTCCGAAGGCCGAGCTTGAAAAGTTTTTTTTTGGGGGTCAGCCAGATGCAGCGCTCTCACTCGCACTCGCACTCACGCTCTGCTCGCTTAGGGGTTCTGTGAAGTTGGTAATTACTCACATTATAAGCCGTGAAAACAGACTGCTGATCATCTTGAAGGCCTTCGCTTAGCAGTTCTAAAAGAAAAACATGGGGTTTGTATTACATTAGGCCATTCCGTTATCCTTGTTCCTTCTCACCTTTTTTATCACCTGCCCCTTAAATTTCCTGGACTTAACCGAGTTTTATATGATTTTTGGGAGACTTTTTAAGCAGTTTTGACATAAACTACACTGCGTTTGATTTCACTTGACTATTCCTTTTTTCTTTGCCTTTGTGGTTACTGCGATTGAAGGAGGAGTAGGACTTCGAAATTATTTGGCTACGCAATTTTTAGCACCGTGTTGCGTCGCCACTGGATAATTGCGACTCGCCAGCTCGGTTTCAACTACATGGCTTTGTGCATTTTCACTCGGAAGAGCCGATGTTTTTTGCCCACATTTGCAATTGCATTGCCCGCGAAATAATCGCTTTTGTTTAATTCTCGGCAAACAAAAAGAAACACGAAAGAGATAGCAGAACAACAACAAAGCTGCTGCGATAGAGCTGGAAGACCATCGATGGCACTATCGATACCATCGATGTTTTTTATTTTTCTAAGCATCGATATTTTTGGCCACTATCGATTGTTTTTAGTTTGACTCGGCATTGAAGACAGCTTATGAGTAAAGTTAAATTCGTCTTATATTCATTTTAATTTCCTATGTTTATTTATTTATAGGTATATATAACTAACGACTTTATTTATATTTTAGGAAAACTCAATGCGGCGTTTTGCGTTTTAGCGAAAAAATAATTTTGTGTGCCGGCTTCGTTTTACGCTTCGGAACGTGCATTCAGCATAGTCGGACAAATTTTTTCCGATCGCAGGAGCTGCCTTAAATCCAATATTGTGGATAAATTGTTATTCATAAACAAGAACCAAAAACTGATATCAAAACATGAATAAATTATTGAAATATTAAATTAACTTGTTTTTTTTACTTTAACAAAAAACGGTAAACAGCGACGGTGTGAATAGGTTGCAACCACTTTTTACCAAACAGTTCGTTAAGTGGCCTTGCAAGGAGGTATAAAACTTATAACTTATCATTTTCATATTGGTATAAAACTTATAACTTATAACTTATCATTTTCATATTTTCAAGGTGCTTGTATTTTCGGTCTTCACCCTTCCGATAACAGCTGCGGCTCGTCAAAACATAAGGAAAGTCAACAGTTCAACCATCTTTGTTTATGTATTGACGAACACAAGTTCATAATAACAATTTATTTTATTTCATAATATAATTGAGTGCTCGAATGGCAATTTGATTGGAACATCACTGAGAACGTGACTTTTAAGCGTGGTCTCCCAAAACACTGATAGGTGGAAAAGGGTCTTAAACAAATCGTTGTTAGGTTATTTTGGTTAGATTTTAATGGTGAGTTTATGTAGAGTGACCCTATATAAGGTGGCGCGCTTTTTGTTTTTCAAGATTTTTACGGTTTTGACCTGCAGCCACACCACCGGCTTAAATTGGGAATTGACAAACTGCACGAATTTGGCAGAATAAAATCGAAAACTAACGAAAATGGCGCAAAATGCTCCAGCTTGTAGGGACACACAGGTGAGTTGAATAACGTCAAACTAATTTGTCAAACATTATAATGGGGTCGTTCCAGGATTTCCAATTTAAACTGCGCGACAAATTTATAGCGTTCAAAAAATGCGGCGAGCCCCGCAGCAATGTGAAATTACTGGCGATCTCCAGCAGCCGTGGATTGCTCTTCGCCGGCAGTCCAACACAGCCGGAACTCAAGGGTAATATTATTAGAACTTCCTGTATAACTATGCCTTACCTGTTCCACTTGCAGTTATTATCGTCAAGGATCTGGCCAATGCCAAGAGTACAGGACAACAGCCGCAGGCGCGACTTGTGCCACTGCCAAGTGTCCCGAACTACATTGCCTGCAGCTCCGATGGCAACCTGCTGGGCGTGAATCACACCCAGAACGGCACTAGCCTGCTCAGCATCTATGCGGTGCCAACGTTCATGACCCCGGATGTTCGTCCCGTTTATAGTATTCGGCTGGCGGCCGAGGATCACGTGCACGCTGTCCAGCTGCTCTGGAATCCCGTGCTGCCCAACAGCCTGGCCGTGGTGCTGAGCAACGGAGGCCTCGGAATGTACGCCCTGAAGGAGGGGGGCAACTTTGAGATGCACTCGTTGGACAAGAACCAGCAGGTGAAGTGCGGCTGCTGGTCGCCCAAAGGCAAGCAGATCGTCCTCGGCTTCCCCGGCGGCAGGATCCAGCAATTCAAGCCGGACTTGACTCCGGCCAAGACCCTGTCCTGTCCGCCGAATGTACACGACGCCCCCTTCGACACGATCGCCATCCAGTGGCTATCAACGTTCCAGTTCGCAGTGATCTTCCTGCAACACGGCGAGGATTGCAATCCGTCCCTGTACATCGTTAATGCTCCCAAAGCCGGTGCACCCAGCTACATCAACTACTATGACATCTGCTACAGCCTGAATGGACCGCGGAATCATCAGTTCCTCTTCAACCATGTGCCCCAGTGGAATCTGCTGCTCGTGATCTCGGCTAATGGCGTCGAGGTGGGCGTGATGGGAACTTCGGAGACCGGTGACACGCCCGCCTGGCAACAGTTAACTTTGCTGGATGAGGCTCGCATCGAGATGCCCCTGAGTGAGGCCACACAGGAGGAGACCTTCCCGCTGGGCTTTGTCTACGATACGTCTACTACGCACCAACTGACCATTAACGAGCAAAAGCTCCAGACCATGCCCATGGTGCACGTTTTGGGTTCGGACGGAGCTCTGCTTTCTTTCGATTTCCTGAATATGCTGCCGGGTGCGGTGTCTGTTTGCTCGCCGCCACCGCCAGTGGCGGATACTTCGGGTCAATTCAGGCCGCTAAACATGTTGCTTCCCGTTGAGGAGGAGGAGCAGCAGGCTGCGGCTGCCAGTCCGCCGCTCAAGACTCCTGCGGTGACCGCTCCCTCGGACATATCGTTCGCCTTCACATCAAATACCGTAACTTCAACTCCGGCTCCTGCAAAGGATAAGCCGCCATCGCTGTTCTCCGGCTTTGGAGCCGCTGCAGCCAAAGCTTCGGCACCGCAACTGTCGTTCGGAGCTGCTTCGGTCCCTGCCCCGCAATCTTTTGCAGCTCCAACTGCTACTCCCGTCAAGCCAGGCACTGGATTTAGTGGATTTGGTGTGCAATCAACTACTCCGGCAATGGGATCGTTGTTTTCCGCTCCCGCAGTAAATACCTTTGGCGGCATGGCTATGAACAAACCGGTCGCTGCTTCTGTAACCCCACGCTCGGCGGCTCCGGAGAAAGCAGACAATGTAGCTGCTGCTGCCGTTAATAAGCCACTGTACACTGTTCCTCCGACATTTGCACCGGTGGCCACGAAGCCAACTGCACCAGCGCCCCCTGTTAGTGTAGTAGAAACTCTTAGGCCGGATGACACGGAGCCCATCATAAAAGACATGATTGCCCTGCAAATCGAGGCCTTCAGTCAGGACATTCAGAAGCAGAAGAATCAGACTAAGGAGTTGCTTAAAGGCGTAAGGGAATCACCTTTTTATACATACTCGTTTACATCTTTGTTTTGTGCTTTCCCCGCAGATTGCAGCTCCTTCAGACTTACGCGCCTTTGCCAAGCGATTGGACGATCTTCAAGAGCTGAACGAACAAGCCAAGGATGTGGAATTCGAGTTGGATGTTCAGGGATTACGCCAGGGTCTTAACGAGGCCTATGCCATTGTGGCCGAGTGCCGTGGCAAACTGGAGATTTATAGGAAACCCGAGTGGGTATCATATTCGTTTATTTAAACATATATTTTAAGAAACCCCTTTGGTTTCAGTATCACGCGTCTGATGAACTCAAGCTCCTGTGACCCCGCTGGCCGTCGCATGCTAGCCCGTCTTCAGAGCTATGTGGCCGCCAACGAAGCCCAGCTGCGTCTCGCCCAGCAGCACGTCGATGTGCAGTGGGAGCAGTTCCAGGACGTGGTGCGGCGCAACTCCAAGTCTCGCATGCACATGCCATGTCTGGAGGGCATCTACCAGCGACTGACGAAGCTGCAGAACCTCACTTCTGACCAGAGGATCCGACAGAACCACATCAAAGCCAAGCTCAAGGAGCGCGGATTGCTCCAGAACGCATTGCTCGACCAGGAGAACAGTCGCACTCGCACCAACGAAGCGTAGGTGGAAAATGTATTTTTCTCTGCTTCAACCTTAACCCTTAATTTTCTTGTAGAGTGGACACATTGGCCGACTCCATACTCTCGATGAGCCTGAGCCAAGTGGTGGACTCCAATGCAGCCAAGCTCACGCAGCAAAGGCTGCAGAAGATTCGTAAGGTTGTCCAGCTGCAGAAAATCAATATTATATGTCCCCAGCGACCGGATCGCGTGGGTCTCAAGTCGGAGGTGATTTTGGAAACAAAACGTAGGGCGGAGCAGATTAAAAAGGCGGCCGCTAAGCCAGCAACGGCCAACAAGTGCACTCAGGCAGCAGTGGCTCTTCCTCCGGCCCCAGCTGCTGCACCCATGTCGCAAGCTCCTCCAACAGTGGCTCCTCAGCTGCCGAAACCAATGCCATCTAAGCCGACCGTTGTGGAAAAGCCTGCAGCCCCCATTCTTTCTGCTACATCCACAGCTACGCCATTCTCCTTCAGCCAGAGCAGCCCGTTTGTGAAGACTTCCACGGTGACACCGACGACAAATACTGTGACCCCTGGTGAAGCTGCCAAACCGGGTCTCTCTTTGTTCGGCGGAATGGGCAGTGCTGGTTCCGGCTTTAGTTTTGGTGGCGGTGCCAAGTCGGCGCTCTCATTTGGTGGCGGAGCACCGGCAGTGGAAGCGGCTCCGATGCAGAAACCAAACCTTTCGGCAGGTATTGCAAAGGATCAGCCTGCACCAGAGCCAGCTAAGCCCAAAGAGCAGAAGGCGGGGCTAGAAATCAAGCCAGTGACAGCGGCAGTCGAGACTACAAAAGTACCGCCACAAACGCCAAAGGCGGAGAACGCTAACAAATCATTCGGCTTCGGCGGCTTTTCGGGAACTGGCGGTGCTGTGGGAAGTGCCACCAGCACTCCGTTCAGCTTTGGTGGATTGGGCTCATCACTGGGCTTTGGCGGAGCCGCCCCATCTGTCCCAAAATCGGAAGCTCCCAACGCGTCAGCCACTAGCGCAGCCGCTTCCGCTTCTCCATTTGGCATGTTCTCGGCAGCTTTAACTAAGCCAACCACCAGTGAACCCACAGTGACCACCAGCAGCACCACCACTATTACCAGCAAGCCCACGCCTGTAATTGGTTCGACCAGTTCGGCTGAAGACACTTCCGTGCCTGCGTCAACCGGAGTGACCAGCATCTCGGACCCCATCGGCGGACTTTTCAGCTCTGTAAACATTTGCAAGCCAAACACCCCAGCAGGTAAGTTCTATTAATTTGTGTGTTAACCTAGTGATAAAACCAAAGTTTTGCATATTTTATTGCATATTTCGTTACTTATACACGCGTTTCTCGTAGAGTAAACGTTTAAATTGTATTCGCTAAAAAGTATGTAACGGGGAGAAGGCAGCGTTTTCGACTCTATGATGTATATACATTCTTGATCAGGATCAATAACCCAGTGGATCAAGTCATATTTCAAAAACTACGAAAACTATAGACTTGGGATTAAACACGCAGATTCTAGTTAAGCCTACAAAGCGGAAGTTTGTTTCAAAATGTGGCCATGCCCACTCTTACGCCCACAAATCGTGTTTATCCGGACATTAACTATCGACTAAAAGCTATTAATTTAGAAGTTAGTAGCATAGATGTAAACTTTTGATGTATGGGGTCCCTCAAAAACCTTATTGTTTTCTAGGGGAATATGTGTTTTTTTTTAATTGATTAGCTGTGTATCGTTTCTTCTTGATTTAACTAGGTCCCATGGACATTTGTAGAGAAATCATACGCTTAAACATATAAAAACCCAAACTAAATATATATATATCATATTTTTGTTTAACAGATTCCACCAAACCAGCTAATATTTTTGGAGGTCTCAGTAGTGGTTCAGACACGAGCAACTTTTCATTTGGCGGCGCAACTGGAGACGCCTCGAAGGGACTATTTGGCAGCATCACTCAAGCAGCAACGACAACAACATCTGCAACAACTGTTGTGGATGCCACAATCAAAACTGAACCCATCACTACCACAGCAATGGCAGCTCCCACAGTGGCTACAACAGCTGCATCAAGTGCAGGAACAGTTGCTCCGGCTGCAGCATCAGCAGCAACGCCTTCGAGTACCGCTCCAGCTACATCCGGTAATACTGTCCCCGGCAGCGCTTTCTCCTTCTCGAACGCTTTTAGCAGCCTCAGTGCAGGAGGTGCGACTCCAAGTACCACTTCTGCTGCTCCTTTAGTTGCCAGCAGCTCCACCGCGTCGACAGCCAGTAATGCCTCGTCCTCGGTGTTTGGAGCTGGCTTCGCAGCGCCAGCATCGTCAGCGGCTCCGGTGGTCAGCCCCTTTCAATCGGCTCCAAAGAGCACGGCACCGAGTGGAAACATTTTTGGCAGTATACCCAAGCCGGAGAGCAGTGTTTTTGGGGCAGCTCCTGTTGCACCTTTGAGCACGCCGGCTGCGCCAACAGCAGCTGCACCGCCCACGGGTCTCTTTGCATCAGCCGCCATAAGCAATCCGTCGCCATTCAGCAGTCCTCCAAGTGGAGCAGCTGCAGCCGGCGGAAACATTTTCGGACAGACGGTGAAGACGAGCGTGTTTGGTCAGCCCGCGCCAGCAGCAGCCAGCGGTGGATCTATATTTGGAGGTGGAACCAATGCTCCCTTTGGATCGAGCTCCATTTTTGGAGGAAGTAATCCACAAAGCCCCGTGGGCGCCCCCGCTGCAGGAAGTACTTCAATCTTTGGCCAAAATGTGTTTGGTCAGTCAGCGGCAGCATCGCCGGCAGCTGGTGGAAACATATTCGCCAATCCAGTGGGCACTCCGCAGGCTTCGGCTTTTGGCGGCGGAGGAAATTCGATCTTTGGATCACCTGCACCAGCTACTGCCTCGCCTGTCTCCGGCGGATCGATCTTTGGCGGTGGCAACAGCTCCGGTGGATTTGGCTCCTTCTCGCAGACAACACCAGCTCAGGGAGGCTTTGGTGGTGGTGGCTTTGCCCAGGGCGGTGGCGGATCAGTGGCTCAGACGGGCTTTGGATCAGCGCCATCGCCGCAACAGCAACCGACGCCGGGTGGATTTGGAGCCAAGCCCGTTTTTGGTGGTTCTCCGGCCTTTGGAGCGAGTCCCACCTTTGGAGGGGGCCCCACCTTCGGCAGTCCCAAGGGATTTGGTGGCTTTGGCGGGGCTGCCCCAGTAGCCTCACCGCCAGCCTTTGGTGCTGCTGCCAAACCGGCCGAGGGAAACATTTTCGAGACTCTGGGTGGTCAGGAATCTGGACTCTCCTTTGGAAACTTGGCACAGACTGGCAACTCGAATGCCCAGAAGCCTGCCTTTGGCGGGTAAGTAATGGCAAATCATTTCTTGAGACTCTGTAGCATTAACTGGGAACACCCTTTTTCGTTTCAGATCGAGTTTTATGAATTATCGTTGAGTTATTGATTCTTGTGTTCGTTCAGTGTTGACTGTAGATTAGATTACCACCTAAAACATACCACCATTAAAATTTACAAAGATCTTTGAATTTGCCCTGCTTTACCCTGTTTATTTTAAAATGCAAATAATGATAATGCTGCCTTCGTGCTATCGAAAGGCTACACAGCCTGGTGTATGGCGTATGTTCATTAGGCTTTGCAAAAAGCTTGAGATAAGCAATGGTGTTTCAGTTCTTCATAGCATCGCGTGAAATGCAGACCTTTTTAGTTTGTAGTTCTTTGTTCATATTTTTCCTCCCTTGCCTGCTGGGAGCTTCATCGTTTTTGGAGGAACCATGTGGAAGAGCGATTATACCTAAAGTTATCCGAGGCTATAATGCTGGGCAAGAATACGCTGCCTGGATGGCAGCCATTAGAAATGACACAAATTTTCTGTGTGGCGGTACGCTTATACACAAACGTACGTTTTTTTTTTTTTATACAAATCTCGAATAGTCGATAATGTTTTATTTCTTAACAGGCTTTATTTTAACTGCTGCCCATTGCATAGATGGTCAAAGCAGCCTGTAAGTTGATTTTTAACTTAAGTGCCAAGCATTTTGTAACATATATCAGTTATGTGAACATTAGGGTATGTTTTTATAGCTCAGTTTTCTTTATTTTGTGTGTCCTAAAGATTTGTGAGCTTGGGAGCATACAACAAAAGTAATCCCATCGCTGAGTACGACGTCAGTGTTGCAGTAATCCACCGTTCCTACAACAGATTTACTCACCTCAATGATATTGGCCTTCTAAAACTGTCTACCAGCGTCGTCTACAATGGTATGTGCACGGTTTTATCGCTTTGCATAAGATATAACATACATTTCTCTGCAGTCTTCGTTCATCCAATCTGTATTATTTTGGACATGAGAATTAAGAGCCAAGTGGAGGCCACGCAAACGTTTAAAGCATTTGGTTGGGGTGAAAAAAGTGACGGCCAGGAAAGCGAAATACTTCAAACCATCACCCTTAACCATTTAGCTCGAGCTGTGTGCACCAGGCACTTAGGTGTGAGTCTTATTTCGAAACAGATATGTGCCGGTGCCAATGGCGGAGACACCTGCCGCGGCGATTCCGGTGGCCCATTGACCAGCACCATTACCGTTGGTGAAAGACTCCGCGAATCGCAGTTCGGTATCGTTAGCTATGGCAAAACAAGCTGCAATGCACCCGGCGTGTATACCGATGTGACTAGCTATGCGGATTGGATAGAGGCAACAATAAAGACGCATAACGTTGGGAATGGGCTACAGAAATCAGTTTCCCATCGGTCCGATTTGGTACAAGATACATGGGTGTATGAAGACTGCGGTGGTGCTACCATAGCATCGAATTTGGAGGCAAATATACTTGGGTTTAATTTTCAATCGAAAGGCGTGCTCATCACAGACCGTACGTATCAATAGTGAACGATTCTAATTGAAACTTGATAAAGTCGCAAGTTTAATGGTTCCCTTCGTAAAAGTAACTTTTTTCAAAAATAATTATTTTTAATTTTTTAGGGTTTGTTATCACAAATGCCAGAAGATTGCCTGAAAATGCTCCGTTGTAAGTGGCATGTTCGATATAAAAATGTTTTTAATTATTTTAAATGTATTTTTGAATTATTACACAGAGTTGTTGGTGTGATGGGGATGTGGAGGTCCTATGGAGAATACAGAGTTGACGCAGTCTTCAAGCATCCGAAGTATTCAGAAGGCAGAAATGACATAGCTTTGCTTAGACTAAATCGGTCGGTGACCCACACAGGTAACCCAATTTGACCACAATTCTGTGCTCCGACTTACTGAGATCCTCTTTTTCCAGACGGAATGAAACCGATCTGTATGCTCGTGAACGCACAGCACCAGCAGCTGGTCGAATCTAGCCCGTTCTTTACTGTTTTTGATTATGTGGAAACCGAAGTTCCCAAGCAAATTTATGCTGTTAGCGTTACACTCATTCAACCCGTCGATTGTTCATATCGAATTCACAGAACAATCTATCGGGATCAATTATGTTTGAAACATCCACGCGGAATGAGTCAGAATTATGGCAAACCTGGCGACTTATTGGGAGGAAATATAATGCTGGCGGGAAAGAAAAGGTTCGTTTTGCTTGGAATTGTCAGTTATTCATCCAATGGTGTGCATGTTCTAACAAATGTTATGAGACATTCGGAGTGGATCAAAAATATGGTTAAATCTAATTAATTTTAGAAAACAAATGGAAAATCACTTTTATTATGTCAATAAAAACACTAAATTTGTACCCATTAAACATGTATTGCATATAAATAATTTTAAATGCGATTACTTATTTTAAAATCCCATTAAGGTGGCTCATAAAAACCTTGCTCTCACCGTTTAATGTGCAATCAAAAATCCAGGATTTTGGCAGCCTAAGTAATGGTATACAATACAATGGTAAACAATCATATATTCTATTCGAAATTCAAATTTGCTTGGCCACCTGTCTTAAAAATATCTGGCCAAAATAAGAATTCTATAAAATTCTACTTCGACTCTAACCACCTTTGTTCATTTGACTCTGAGCCCCGATAGAAAATCAGGGGGATTCATGTCCGGACCCCCTCTTTTTCCTTGAAATACACTTGGGTGATCAAAAAAAAAAAAAAAAACCAAAGTTCCCATACCAATTAACTAATTAACACGTTTTCCATTTAACTTTAGTGCAAAGAAAATTTTCTCTCATTTATTTATTGAAAACAACACTGCGTATGAGTGATAAAACGATTTTTTTTAACGCACGAAATGGCACACTTGGGCATGGTGAGGCGAAGAACTCAAAATGTTCATATACTGTGTGTATGTATAAGTCAACGATAATGATTCTTTAGTGGAATCGAAAGCTATAAAATATGATCCCGAGCTTGTTCAGCGCTGATAATCTCACTTTATGATTTACTTTATTGCCGAACCGCGTGAAATGCAGACTTATTTAGCTCTGGCTGCTGTGCTCTTTAGCTACCTAGGAGCTGCCCAGTTTTTGGAGGAACCGTGTGGAATGAATTTAATTGGAAACAAAATAATCGGTGGATTTGATGCAGGAACAGAAGCTGCCGCATGGATGGTAGCTGTTAGCAATGACACCCATTTCCTGTGTGGCGGAACGCTGATTCACAAACGTTTGTATTTCAATATGTACATCACAAGATTGTTAGATAACATACACTAGGTGTTCGCAGGCTTCGTCTTAACTGCTGCTCATTGCATTAATAGTGGAAAAAAACTGTAAGTAATAAATAAACTCAAATGATTTCATTAAAAATGTTGTGCTTATAACTTTATAAATACTACAGTGGGAATAAGACTAAGATGTTTTGTTTAATTTAAGGATCGTGAAATTGGGAGCATACAACAGAAGTCAACCTACAGCTCAGTACAATGTGTTAGCTGCAATACCGCACCCACTTTACAACAACTTCCTAAGCGTCCATGATGTGGGCCTTCTGAAACTAGCGAACAGCGTCGTCTTTAATGGTAAGTGTTCACTTATGTTATCGCTCAACAGAAAGCTATATACTAAATACATTTCTCCGCAGCCTTAATTCACCCAATTTGCATTATTTTGAACCATAATATAAAGAGCCAAGTAGAGCTCACGCGGACATTTAAAGCCTTTGGCTGGGGAGAAAAAGGTGATGGCAAGCAAAGCGACATTCTTCAAGCCATCACTCTTAACCATTTGAAAAGAGCCGATTGCCACAGACGTTTGGGTATGAATCTCACTCAGCAACAGATATGTGCTGGTGTTCACAACGGAGACACCTGTCGTGGCGATTCCGGTGGTCCTTTGACCAACAATGTCTCTCTTAATAATGGCAGCGTTCGCGAAGTTCAGTTTGGTATAGTAAGCTATGGCACTCGAATGTGCAATGACACGGGGGTGTATACCGATGTGTCAAGCTATGTGGACTGGATAAAAGAATCAATTGTCAAGGACATGTGGCTGTACAGTGACTGCGGTGGTGAGTCCATTGCATCCAACTTTCAGGCCAACATTATCGGACTTGATTTCAAGACCCAGGGCGTGCTGATCACAGACCGTAAGTATTTATGTAGTAAACTCTTATAAACAAATTTTAGAATATTGATTGACTTGATTAAAATTTCTATTTTTCTTGCTGTAGCTCTAAGTTTTAAATTAAACATAAAAAGCAGTCTGCTTCTGCAAGCCGGAGTCTATATACCCTTGCAGTTTCTCAGATTGTCATACAAATTATTTATATATATATTTTTATTTAACCCTCTACCGCTTACACTGCCATATATAACTTCAATCTTGCAATATCAGTTATTTTCTTTGCACTTTTTTTTGTTAGAATTATTTAGTTTCTAGTATTTTCAGTTTCAATCATTTTAGTGCAACCGACTCAAGCTGGTGAACGAAAGTGAAAGTAAAAATAATTTGTAACATTATTTTTATTCTAACAGAATATAAAGGTTTCTTTCATAAGAAATATAATTTGACTATAGGTAGGCATCTCATTAACTATTTATTCTCCCTAAACTATGCCCCCCTCCCCAAAAACTTTTTGTTTTAATATTTCTATGCTCATGGAGCAGAGGATTAAGTGTCTCATTCACTAAATACAATACAATACACTATATATATTCTACTGATTTCCAGGTTTTGTTATCTCAAATGCCAGAGACTTGCGGGGAAATACTGCTTCGCTGTAAGTAATTTTTGCATGTTTGATAAGAATTTATATTTCATGCTAAAAATTTATTTTAAAATATTTTCATAGAAAAGTAATTGTGATAGGAATGGGGAGATCCTATGGAGAATATAGAGTTGACTCAGTCTTCAAGCACCAGAAGTGTTCAGATAACACATATGACATCGCATTACTTAGACTTAATGGCTCGGTGATGTACAGAGGTAACTAAATTATTCTACAAGGTTATGCCAGTAATCTCACAATTTTTTTTGCAGATGGATTTAAACCGATTTGTATTCTTTCAAATGTTCAAATCCAAGAGAGGGGCGAATTTGTGTCGCCCTTTACCGTATTTGACTATGTGCGAACTGAAGAACCCGTGCAAATTGATGCTGTTAGCGTTGCGCCTATTGATTCCTTTGAATGCTCACAAATACTTCAGAAGTCAATTGAAACAGATGAAGTTTGTTTTATAACTCCCCGCGGAATGAGTCAGAAATTCGGAATTCCAGGCGACATTTTAGGAAAAAGTATGGTACATTTCAACATAGAACGTTTCGTTTTGTTTGGTTTTATCAGTTATTCATACAATCACTTGCACGTTGTTACAAATATAATGAGACATACAGAGTGGATCGCAAATACCGTCGAATTAAATCAATTATAGCAACCAAATTAAATTGCTTTTCCATAGTTTTAAATTACTTTTACAAATTAAATAAATTACGGGTTTTAATACAGTTCCACCCAGCTCATGTTTAAAAGAAAAAGTCCTTGTCGGCTTTTTTTTAATGTTCTTAACTTTATTTATATGTACTTAATGCGTATATTTAATTTGATTAAATACAGTGACTATGTTTCTTTGCACATATAAGATAAAACAATGCGAAAACATTCTGAATGCACGTACCTAATTGCAAAGTTTGCTTAATAATTTGTGTGATTTGTGTGGCTTTGTTTTGTTTCTTTTTGTAAGAGCTTTAATGGCTATGTAAAATATATACAATTCACTAAGTTGTGGAATCATGCGTTGTGCGTTTTGTGGTAAAGCTTGCGCACCTGGAAACGCCGCTGCAGCGGAACTGCTTTATGGCAAAATCGAAACTAAGGAGAGGAGGAAACAAGAGTGCACAGAATGTTTGATCGAGTTCGATTGGATCTTTTTTAAATTAATTCGTACCTGGAATTATTTGTTTGATATTAGCTCAAATTCATTTAGCTCAAAATATGTGGATTTTTAGTTTAATATTATTGAACATTAATGTTTTTATAAAAAATGTTTAATTCAATTCCAAGTTCGAAAAGACAATTTTGACATAATCAAAAAGGACAATTCAAAAGTATAATATGTGATGTTAGCGTAGAAATTTAGAAATCTCTTACAATGGTGTCTAAAAGTATGCAGTAAAAATTTCTTTTGGAGTGCAACCTTCAGACTTCCGGATTCAAAACATAGTGTTGCATACTTTTTAAGTTTTTATAAGGGGTTTTTAAACACTAGTGCCCTATTTTAAAAAGATACCAAATCAAATTTCTTTTTCTGTGACTCGAAACGGACGCTTAAACAGATGGACGGAGTACAGATGGTAGAACTTAAAACGAGCTTTAAATAAACATATGTGTTTTTTGAGCTTTAGTGCTTTGGGTCCTTGTTGTAGTCCACGTAGACGCGCACTACCTCCCCGGAATACTTGCGCTGCGAGGGCATGAAGTAGAAGTCGGGCGTGTCGGATCCACCGTTCTGTCGCGGATCATCCCGCGACCGATCGTACCCAGAGTCGCGATCGCGGTCCTGGCGCGGGCGCCGCTCCTCCTCCCTCTCCCTCTCCCGCTCTCGCTCCCTATCCCGGCTGCCTTGGCGAGCGGCACGCCTGTCGTGGGTGTAGTAACCCGACGGCTGCATGCTGGCCGGGCTCTGTTGGTAGTGATGCGCCTGACGGGGCAGGGAGTATGCTCGCTCCGCGTACGAGCTGCGGGAGTAGGGTGCTCCTCCAGCTGCTCCACCAGGTGCTCCTCCTGCTCCGCCCACGCTGCTCTCCTGGGTGGCTCGTCCATTGGTGCGACTGCCGTTTGCATGGGCGCCGTTCTTGCCCTGACCATTGGGACTCTCGTAGTACATCTGGGACTTGCTGGTGGGCGAATGGGACATCGGAAGCGTGGTCTGCTGGCTGCTCGTGGTCGACTGATGGCGGTGGCGCCCCTTCTCCTTGGTCGACGTGCTGTTGGTAGCGTTCTTCTCCTCCGTTTCGCCATAGGGATCAAAGGCGTAGTTGGTGTTCGAGGCAAACTCCTTCCAGGGTGAGTTTTGGATCAGTTTCTCCTGCAAGCACAAAGAGATTTGAGCATGATTTAGTTTTAAGTTTTCTATTTCAAGGCGCTCGACCAGTCAGCATTTGTAGTGGGTATCTTTAGGTGTTGGGAACTAGAGAATTGTCAGGTGAACCATGTACTAAAGCAGACAAAATATTATTTCAGACTTTATAGAAAATTTGATTTTTTTTGTGTTTAACTGTGACTAGCGCACTAATTTAAAAGTTTTAAGCTTATAGCATTAAAATAAAACCTTTAAAATAAAAAAAAAATAACTAATAAAAAAAAAAACTGTTCTGCAATGTGCACTGGGCTTGCGTTTATGCCAAATCCTCCATTCTAACCAAATTACGATGCAGTATGATTAACGCGGATCAGAATAAGAGTTAATAGTCAGTGAAGTTTTGTAAGGATGAAAGACAGCTGGAGATCTAAAATAGGATTGGGAATTTTTTCTAAGCATATATCAAATGCTGACTGGCCAGGAGATCCCGCACACAAATTATGTGAAATGGGAAATGGATGTGATTAGAACAAACTGGAAACACAGAAATATGTTAAGTCACAGACAGAGAAAGTGGGGAAAATAAAGGAGATCAGAGATTACCGTCCAGAGTGGCGAGGTGATTTGATATTATGGGTTAGGTGACATGGTTAATACAACAACAGATACCACAAGAAAATATAGAGTTTTGAATTACCCATTTGGTTATTGAATTTTGATAAACGTGGCACCTACGCAGATGCAGATACAGATACAGTAGAATAATCAAAGGGTTTCCGGTTCTTAAACTAACTATAAGATGGTTTCGGATTAAAACGTAAATGCGCTTAAGGCAGTTGTAGCCGATGCTCGGGTTACAGGTGGATCGGGCAGTGGGATTGTCTATAGTTTATCTGATCTGAATTTGTTTTGTAGAGTGAGTATTATAGATCGCTAGAGGGCTGATAGTAGCGCTGGTGCTGTCGCTGTTGGTACATGCGCCACTCTTCGGGTATTACGTAAACAAGCTTTGAACGACACGGGTACAATGGGGAAAGATTAATAAGAGAGGAATGAAAGAAGCCGCGCCGACGCAGAGAAGTAAAACCACCAATATATCTGTGTTCTATTTCATATTTTAAAGGAATGTTTAATATAAACCTAATTAATAAGTACTGTGTTTACTTGAATTGTTTCAATAGAAATGCCAAATAATTTGTTACACTGATGATAAAATGTTCTGTCTTCTCTGTGTTGGCTAAGCTAATGCTGACCCAAACGATCGGGTTACTTTCTGTCCACTTACCTTAGTGTTCTTGCTCTTTCTTGACGTCTTCCAAATCGTGCAAAAGGCCTGAATCAAGGCGATGAGCACCAAGGCTGCAATTAGACCCAGTACGATGTACAATCGTGTCTCGGAGAGGTCGAAGAAGGAAAGCAGGGTCTCCTTAGCATTGGGCTCTGACGAGCTCTTGTCTACAACAAAATAATACAATATAATTGTTAGCCTATATATACATGGTAGTGTTCGTTAAGGCTCTTACATTCCAATGCCTCAAAGTCTAAGTACTGGGGATCCACCGTCAGTGAACCCACTCGACCGGTGGCAATTTGGTCCTTCAGGGCCGATCGAATCGCTGCAGCGTTCTTTTGAGCTGCTGCCTCACCAGATTTATCCACCGTGTTGGTCTCTAAATCGTGCATCTTTTCCACGTCCGCCTTGTCAAACATGGCCTGAACCTTGGCTACCATCGTGCTGCCCTCTCTGTAAACAATTTATTTATTATTAATTTAATGCAATATTTAATACAAATTTAGAAATTTAGTGTTGTTTGGAAACAATTTAAGATATATGCTATTGTACTTACTTTTCGAAACCCAGAATCTCAGTTTTATAGTAACCAGTCAAAGGACTTAGGATGCCATTGAACGAATCCGATATGGTGGCCGCCAGGTTATTGAACTCTACGGTTCCCGGCTTCGGAGCTTCAAAGGATTCGGCTAGGTTCATCAGTTTTACGGCCACGGCGTAGACCAGTCGGTTGGGAGCCGGTGTGCTGGTGCCCACAAACACGGATTCTAGTTCTGTGAAGTTTTACAAACACAATAAGTTAAGAACTCTTTCTATGTGTAAGGACCTCTTACCCTTGCCACAGGACTTGATGCAGACACGTTGCGCAGAGACTGGAGGAACTTGCTCATGCTTGCGTATCTTCTTGTTGACCACATTGAAGGCACCGCCCAGGACCGGGAAGAACAGATACAGGCAGTGGTCGTCCGTGAAGGACAAATCCTGTTCGTCATTGCTAACCCGCTTGCGATTGAACTCCAGAATGGTCACGCCCTTCTCGATGCGTCCGGAGGCGTTGTAGATGTCCTGACGATCGTCCAGCTTCGGTGGAGCGTAACCCAGCACCCAGGTGTCCATGAGGAATGGTCTTCCACTGCGTCCGTCCACCCAGCCAATGATCGCGTCCGTCTGCGACATTCTCTGGTCCTCGCTGAAACCAATTCCCGTCCAGGTCTGCGTGTTCGACGTTTCAATGTGCCAACGCATCTCGTCGCCCTTTCCGACCGTCTCCCAGCTGGCGTAGTACTCGCAGGTGTGCTCCTGGGGAGAGCAGCTGGACGGATACTTCCAGTGGCCGAAGCAATCGTTGTCCAGGACATTGGTGCCCAAGTCGTTACGGTCTGTGCTCGCGGCTGGCTTGTCCTTTTCTGTTTAAGGAAATAATAGTTATAATGAAAAAGAGGCTTAAAAGCATTTAAAATTTTTGATGATATTTTAAAATTGTGTTTACAATAATGAGGGGTGGTTTTTGTTGGAAATAAAGAGCTGTTTTGACATAATTATGGTAAGCTTTATAGGTCTTGCAAACTAAAATATGTATCTTATCAGATTACAAACTTATTTTAGCTTTTTACTAAAGTAAAGATTAGAAATTGGTTTGTAATGATATCATAACCAAATAATTAATGCTTTACGTTCTAGAATCTAGATTACTTACCAAAGAAGTTGATCTGGGTTACACCGCGTTGCATTTGGTGTCCATGGTACTTTAGTTCATCTGGCTGATAGAAGTCCTTGAAGCTTGAGGGTTGTGTCTCCAGACCGGAGGCTGGCACGTGAACATATTCCTTCGGCTCCTGGCCCCTGGCCCAAATCACATGGGTCAGGGCATCGTCGAGGGTGTGATCAGTGGGCTCGTCGGCCACCAGTTTCTTCCGGAAGATGATCGTGGTCACGCCGTTCTCCTCAAAGCCCGTACCCAAAGCCAGGTTTGACTTGCCGCCCCAGAAATCGTCGGTGCGCGGTGTTGATCGGTCACGGGAGTAGTAGTCACCCACCCTGCTGGCCATTCCTCGAGCTGATCCGATCACGATGTCCGTGCAGTCCATTGGGTTGAAGTCATGTCGTGGTGTGTACGGATTCAGTCGGTATTTTGGTGACTCTATGAAAAAAAAACCATACAGAATGAGTATTTGGTTTAAACACTCTTTTGTCGAGGTATGATTGAAATAGGCGATCCTTACCTGCTTCACGGCGTTGACGATCTGCTTTGGTGCTGACGCGATAGGAAACACTGGTGGAAACGGAGGAGACACCTTGCTTTTGGGTGAAGTCTCCGGCAACTCTCTTCGATTTTGTGCCTTGCGCTTCCGGTTCGCTCTTTGGCTCCGGTTCACTCTTGGGTTCCGGTTCGCTCCTGGGTTCTGCTTCGGTAGTTGGCTCCGGTTCACTTGTGGGCTCAGGTTCGCTTACTGGTTCAGGTTTGCTGGTGGGTACCGGTTCGCTAGTGGGCTCAGGTTCGCTCTTAGGTTCTGGCTCACTCTTCGGTTCCGGTTCGCTCTTTGGTTCCGGTTCGCTCTTGGGCTCCGGCTCGCTCTTGGGCTCTGGCTCGCTCTTGGGTTCCGGTTCGCTCTTAGGTTCCGGTTCGCTCTTGGGCTCTGGTTCACTCTTCGGTTCCGGCTCGCTCTTCGGTTCGGGTTCACTCTTTGGTTCCGGTTCGCTTTTTGGTTCCGGTTCACTTTTGGGTTCGGGCTCGCTCTTTGTTTCCGGTGCGGCTCTCAGTTCGGCTAACTTTTTAGGCTCTGGTTCGCTCTTAGGTTCCGGTTCGCTCTTGGGCTCAGGTTCGCTTTTGGGCTCCGGTTCGCTCTTGGGTTCAGGCTCACTCTTAGGTTCCGGTTCACTCTTAGGTTCCGGTTCGCTCTTAGGTTCCGGCTCACTCTTGGGTTCCGGTTCGCTCTTGGGTTCCGGCTCGCTTTTGGGTTCCGGCTCACTCTTGGGCTCTGGTTCACTCTTGGGTTCCGGTTCGCTTTTGGGTTCCGGTTCGCTCTTCGGTTCCGGTTCGCTCTTTGGCTCCGGCTCGCTTTTGGGCTCCGGAGCTGGGCCCTCTACCGTTGTGGTCAGATCTCCAATGTCACGCACTAGCGGGAAGTTCCTGCACTCCGGCGTCATTCCACGCGGCCTCCAACCCAATCCCACCCATGAAGTGCTGTTGACCTTGAGCACCATTTCGATCTCCTTCTGCTCCTCGAGCAGCCTCCAGTAAACGTGGTAGTCGGGCGAGAGCTCCTTTTTGGCATAAGCGGAGAGGTCAAGGCTGGTGGTCTTGTAGGGCGATCGCTTGTTGCATCCGATTCCGAACCAGCCAAAGTTGCAGTAGCACTGCTTCTTGGGCAGCGAGCTTCCCCCGTGCTCCACGCACTTGCCCTGGACACCGCAATCGGAGTCGACGGAGCACTCATCCTTGTACTGGCACTGCGGGCCGTAGAAGTTCTTGTCGCACTTGCATCGCGAGGGGAAGTACTTGCCATTGCCGGAACAGGTCTCCTTGAAGTCCTTGCGCTGCTTGATATCCACATCGGCGCAGGACCAAAAGCGATAGCTGGTGGACCACTCATCGGCCTGCCGGAGCAGCCTAAGTGTGCAGTTAAAGCACTCAAAGTCCTTAGGTATGTTCACCTGGTAGGATTGAGCGCTGTAAAAAAGAAAGATCTTTTAAGTCAGGTGGAAAAGTTATAATGAACCCTACGGTGGACTAGCTTTGTCAATTTGACACTAAGATAAATTTTTGTTAACTATATTATTTGGTTGCATCTAGACAATCATTTTATATCTGCAATCATTGCAATTGATTTTATTATATTATATATTTTGAAATAAGGAAACAATAATATTTCTTTTTAATGGGTTGGTACTTTTCACGACTTATTAATCTTGACTTATGGAGTATACAAAATATTGTTTTTAATGATTACGGTTCCTGTTCTTTTTAAAACGTTCGCTTTGGTATTGATTTGACAAATTAGATATTTAAACTTACGTGACGTCCGTGCTCACGAATTCCGAGTTATTCACATGTGGTGTTAGGTCCAAAACAGGTCGATCGAGGGCATCCAGTAGTTGCAACCGAAAGCCGCCCTGAAAAAGATGCGATTATGATTATGATTGAGCCCAAACAATGACTGAGAACTTGTGAAGCGATGTCGTGCAGCCACAAACATGGCAATCTCGAGTCTCAGGGCTTGACTTTGACTGCGTGCATGTGAGGCAATTGTACGAGAATGGATTCTCGGCTAATTAGAGCCTCGGCGATATGAACCCCAAAGGGGCGTGCCTGCTCCCATTCCACCGGGTCCACCTACCTTGTGCGCATAGGCCAGATGCCAGGTGACGTTGAACTGCGTTCCGGAGAGCAGCGAGGTACGGATGGAGCCTGGAAGAAGGAGGAAATCAGAGCGTGATCAGTGGGTCGGTGATTACGGGTGACAGTCGCCATCGTGGGCCACCTACTTGCCCAGCTCCAGTCACATAATTAAATCCACTAACCCTGGTATGGACTGGTTCTGCATTGGATGGCAACGAGTACACCACCATCTTGGCTGCCCAAACTCCCCGCCAAATTGTGCATGACAGCTAAGGAGACACCATATATACTACATATAGCCATAAACATTCGTATGTATGTGCAAAGACCCAGCCCCAAACATCTTTGTGAACCTGCCCAGACAAAATTCATACTCGTCTGTTGCATAACACCCATGCGGTAATCTTCGCTGAACGCCACTGACCAGCTGTGAAAAATTACAACCTGAATGGGGCTTTGGCTGGAGGGACAGGGATGCTTATACAGCTGCAGCTGCACAAGCGAAAATTTCTAGGCAAGCTATCACAGAAATCACTTTTAGCGACTTGGAAACCAATAAATCTGTAGCTTATCAGGAAATACAATTTTTAAATAAGAGAACACTATTAAGGCAATTAATCACTATATTATACGTACTTAAATTAAAGATTTTAAAGGCAAGCAAATTCTAAAAATTGTGTGTAAAAGAAGTTTAACCCTAAGAACATAATCCGAAAAAGTGTGAAAGTAAGTAACTAACATTTTTGTGAAATTCTTTAACAAATAGTGTAAAGTTTTGCAACTTAAAAATAAGATAAATCTGTTATTATTCAACAAATCTAATAATATTCAATAAATGCTATCATCTTTTTTCTCTGTGTCTTGGATGGACAATAAGAGCTATCAATGGCCAGCTCGCACATCGTTGGCAGCCAATACTCGGCGAACGAGTCGCTAATTGAGGCCATTAAACGTTTATAGTTATAGCGATGCTCGATCTGCGAAAGCGAAAGGAGGAGTGTCACTTTCCCGATGTACCCGCGCTTGTCTCGGCCAATAAGGAAGCTGAAAATTATGATTACTGCTGGCACGAGATCGCGCAGCCAAGTTAGCCAAAGTCATAGTCATAGTCATAGAAGCTGGGAACATAAAAAGCGCTGACCACTTGAGTCATTCGATGGCTGTTCAATGGTCGTGCAGCTGCCAGTTGGTCATCCCAATATGGTCATAAGCTGACAGTCGAAGCGATGGACATGACGCCAAGTTGTTTGGTATGCCCCAAGAGGGGGGTATATCCATTGGATGCAACTTTAGAAACCGCATTGGAAGTGTCCATTTTTTAAGCGGTATTCCGTAGTCAGCTAATACCATTTGTGGGTCACTGGATGCACGTTCTTGGCGGAAAACTCTTGGTTTCTATTGCGCAACCATCAGGGGAAAATCAGAGCTTCACTCAACTGGAAACGAACTGGGCTTCCCTGGCTGACTTTCTGGGCCACTGGGAAATGCAAATCACTTCGAATCGAATGCGGATCAGTGCGTTCTTAACATTTGATTACACCTGACGACCGCACAGACCTCACACAGCTTCCCATGAGTCAACCAGATTTCGCTTTGTTTTGACTCGAAACGGAAAGCCGCCAAACCAGATCGAGAAATGGGTTAAGCGACTATCGGTGGATAAATCAAGTGTTCCCATTAATAAATCGAAACAACACACAAATTATGCCCGAAAAGGGGCGGCTACCATAGCCGCTCGACCTGTATCCGAATCTGAATCGCATCTGAATCCATGCACCAAATTAGCAGGTGTTTTTCGGTCTTTTTTCCAATTTTTTTTTTTTTTTTTGTATGTTTCCCATGGTCCGGGGCCGATCGGTCGAAGCCAGGCCCAAGTCCAATTGGAGTTGTCTGGTTAATATTTTGTACGCTTTTTCGTGTTTCGCCTCTACTCCGTCATATTTCCCATGATCAGGCCCGCGAAAGTTGTTCACCTTTGCGTTTTGTTTTTGGAGGCTGCTGAAAATATTCGTATCTGTGTGCTGCTGGTTGAGCTTGAACTCGCCGGCGTCGTCTGGCCATTTCGAAAGTCCGTCCCGCTTGCCCGCTAGCCCGCTTGCCCGCTCGCCCGCTGGATTCAAATCGGTCGGGGCCGCCTTGACTGGCCGCCTCATCTCTCGTGGAAATGCGCGTGAAATCGGTTTATAATTGATTGGAAACTCGGCTAATTTGATCCGAATTATAAGCCGAATTCCATCGATCGGCGGAGGGAGGCGTTTTTGGGGCTGAGTGTGTTGATTGAATTATGGTGGCCTAACGCTGAAGGCATATCGATATTGAATTTCCCAGAGTCTAACAAACTTTAGTTTTTTGTAACTTAATATACGGAAAAATAACGGATAATGTAATTTTTATAATAACTGCTATGAAAAGAATTTATTTTTTTTATACGGAAAGACATATCAGTTCAACTTTTAAAATAAAATATACGAAAATCACTCAGTGTGTTATATTGTTTAAAATAATACCTTAGGCGAATTTTATTGGTAAGGTGCTTCATAACATTTATATAATTAAAAGACTCTGACAACTTTTATATTTAATAAACAAAAAAAACCTCAATATATTAGCTTTTTATAGGTATACTATAAAAGTTAGTATTTAAACCTTGATGGCTTGAACCGCACCGCTGATTTCTACTTATAATTACAGTTATTTAATCAATTATTTGTATTATTTGCATTTAATTGACTTTAAAATAATAATATTATTAAAAGAATCCCAGTGCCTTAAAAATAATTTATGTAATGACGGCAAATAAATTAATAAAACAGTTAATCAGGGGCACATTTTAAATGGTATTTTAAACACATATATAGTATAAATATGAAATGTAAGTTTGCCCTAGGGTTCCCGTTTTATGGATGTGCATTAAGCTTTACTTGTTGGAAAAGAAGACACTTGCATAAAGTTAAGTCCTATCCTCTGTGTAAAACAAAGCCATTAAAATGAACTGAGGAACAGCAGTTCTTTGGAAGAGGTAACTCATCACTCTGTACATGGGTAGAAGACCCTGGTGGGCATTTTAATAATGGGTGGCATTACATCATCTTCCCTCCCAACTCCGCTAGGCCACAAAAAAACCATCCCCATGCCCCGGCAAGACAATTTGCTGTTGTAAATAGAAGAATGTTCGCTTGCATGCATTCTAATTGCATGGGCCAACTACAACAGCACGTTATAAAAAAAAATAAAAACAGCAGTCAAATATGGTCGACGCCTCTCACGTAGCCGTAAACAAAGACTTCCGCCATACCGACCACTGCCAGTACAGGGTGCACTGCGAAAGGTTGACAAATACACTTCCAGGCAGCGTTTTCCTCGACTAACGAAGCGTTGCGCATGCGCCGTGGAGGGCAATAAATTTCAGCATTTCTTGCCGCCAACACAGAGAAAAGGGGAGCAGGGGTAGCCGGGGGAGGGGGTGGAGCGGCATAAGTAACGTGCCATAAAATTAATTTCGCTTTGGCAACCCTACACTGACTGCCAGTTGCCACCGTTCGACGCCGTGGAAGCCACAGCCGCAAATTAACCTGACCAAGTGGCCAACGGTTGGCCAGCTTTGGCAGTTCTCGATATGCAGTTTGCACTGAAAAAAACCCTCATATACTCGAAACTCTTGCAAAGAAAGCTTAAGACAGTTATATAAAAAAAAATAGTTGTTTTACGCATTTTCAAAATTTTAAAATTAAAAAGGCTGAGATAATTCTATATACAAGTTATATTTTTTTTGGTCTCAAAAATTGAGTTCTTAAAACTTTTTTCATCTTAAAGGTACATATTAAATATGTTTATGTAAAATTGTTTTACTCATCTACTGATATAGCTTTCTGTCATCCATTTAAAATTGGGTGACATTGAACTTGCTAAGGCTTAGAAGTCTAAAAGACTTTTATACAATCAAAGACAATTCTTTGGTACTTAAGTTGGTTTGATTTATCCATTTATTCATTCTTGAGTATAGTTCCTTAGTTTTTAAATAGAAAAAATTCATTTTCACAAATTATTTAGAAATCAAGAACACGCTAAGGAAATAAGAATAAGCAGACAATAACCCAAGTCTGTGTCCTGATATTATAAACGATTTTCTCGCGGTGCCCTATTTGCATTCCCTGTGGTGTTTGCTGCTGTTGTGGTCAAAGGAGTTTCGCTTTAGTTAATTGCTCGTGACGTTGTCTTGGCCAGCCCCTTAGGGGGCCTTCGACGGATCCAAGCCAGGCCAAGCCAAACCAATCCAATCCGATCCGATCCGATCCACTGCTCCACACTTCGCCCCACAGTCCTCACCACCTGCCGGCTGGTATTTATGGCTCCGATTGGACTGGGATGCAGATACATTTAAATAGATAGATTTGTGTGCTTGTTCTGTGCTGTGCATGTGGTGCTGTGGCTACTTATGCATTCCCCAACTATATTACGTATACGTAGCTATGTCCGTGGCGACGGCTTAAATGTCATTTATGCCGGTCGCTCTCATTGATATTCTGAATGGCCCACAATGCGACATTTCGCTACAGGATTTAGCAAAAGCCAACGAAGGGAATCTCGGCCTGAAATATGAGTTTAAGGCATTGGCCAAACGACTGCAGTTTCTAGTGATAAATGGCTTTGGGTTTTTGTCGCGGCCACTGCGATGATAAATCTGCGGCAGCGCTTATTGAATATTGCTCAAGTCGGTGGCTGTATTATGGATCCCAGAGCCGCAATCGTGGCCGACTAATTGACATTTGCATTGAGCTGATTGCTCTTCTAATTATCGAAAACCGCTGTTTTGTCAACCCCATTGGATTGCCCAACCGATGTTCGTTGAGCTGTTGGCATCTGCCGACATGTGACACAAGAGGCGACCACAACTTGACCTCCATTCCAGCGTGCTCAGCACGCCAGCAGACAATTACAAGCCATGTCGACTCTGGCGGCCACAAAAAAACAACATAAAAACAAAGCCAAATCAAAACAAATCGTGTAGCAGCAGACGTACACAGCGACAAAGGCTGTGGAAAAGAGTGTCAAACACGAACAAATTGAGATGGATTAGACGAGGCTGGAGATGTGTTGAGAGGGGTGGCCGCAATGCAAACAAGATGCAAGATGCTGCGCAGAGGTCAGCAGTCAGTCAGTCACACAAGTCACTCCAGTCCCCATTTCCAAAGCCTTTGCCTGCGTTTTTTTTTGGCCCAGTGAGCCAGTTGCAAGTGGCAGACGCAAGAAAGGGCAGCACCATCGCAGCAGCATCAACGACTGCAGCCTCATTTAGCTGTCACGGTTAGATACAGATACAACGGCCCATCTGCAGATTAGATCATGGGCGTAGATAGACTACATTTTGGAAACGTAATAGTAAAATACTTTATAGGCAAATTTCACTATTGTTGCACACCACTCAAATATCGAAGGTTTAAGTATCAGAAATTTTTGTTAAAGAAATTGCTTTGGCAGATGGGTCAGTTATAATGGTCAACAAAATTCTAAAACTAAATCTAATTTGTTCCACTGATATGTAAATTGAATGATAATAATATCTTTAATAACCAATTAAAAAGTAATATTTTGCAGGGAAAGCGTTTTAACACTATTTCAATAAAAAGGATTTAAAAATGTATTTGTATGAAACCAAATCTAGTTTAATGAAAAGTTTTTATATGTTAGTATGATTAAAAATAATTGAAATCAACCTTTTAAGTCAGATATAAACATATTGCCCTATCATTTTTATATCCGCTACTCATAGATTGACTAACGATGTCTAATTTTGGTCCCCAAATACTGAGGGAAATGTTTTTCTTTTTAAAAAGTTTCATATATATATTTTTTAAAATAGTTAGTAAGTCGTAGAGAAGTTATGGTGATTTTTGGTAGATTTGGAATCGCTTTTCCGAAATCTATGCCAGTCTATTTTCAAGGATCATATTTATGTAATATTACTAATAATTCGCTACCACAAATCGCTTGTGTCTACGTCCATGGATAGAGTGGTTAACACTTTCGTCATGCCGTAATCGCGGATTGTGGCCGGAATATTTGGCCCCACCGCTAGCCAATCAACGCGCTCTGCCCCCGGCGACTTCTGTGTGCCGTAATGCACAAGTGAAAGTTTTTCACTTGTAGCATGTTGCATTCCACTTTGCCTCTCGTCGGCGCATACATCATCATCAAGGCAGCCAGTGAGCTGGAGCAGCAGCAGCAACCCCAAACCGCAGTTGCAGTTGCAGTTGCCATGGCTCAGACCAGCTTTTGGCCAACTTGAGACGCGTTTGGCAAGCTGCAGCGAGCGGCAAACAGCAAACGGAAAAATGAAAACTGAAAACTGAAAACAGCAGCCGCAGGCGAAGGCAAAAGTTGTCATGCCCCAAAATGGGTTAAACGTGCCACCGTTGCCCACGTTGCGTATACGCAATGTTCGCGCGCGCGCGTATATAATTAAGAAACCAGGCAAAACAAAGCGAAATGAAATGAAACGGCAAACGAAAATGAAAATGAAATTGGAAATAAAAATATGGGCAAAAGTGCTGCGCACAAAAATGTCGCTCAACGGGTTGTACACTCTGTAGAGTGTATATACACTTTGCACATTATTCGAGTGTGTGCGATACTTTATGGACATATCCATGGAAATTGATTTGGCATTTTGATGCGGCACACGTGTGCTGTTGTTGCCAGTTGGCAGTTGCCAATTACCAACGATCTCAAGGCAATTGTCGGCTGCGAGTGTCTATAATTGATATGCAAACAGTATCGATGGGACTATCCCACAGAAAACAGCACTTAACTAGCCCGTCGTCTTGAATCAGCGCAATCAAATGTCAAAACTCAAGAGCCGGCGCAAAGGTGTTATTTTTATTTATAATATTTTCGAAAGTGCATTTTTCCAGGCGCTCGCACACAAGAGATCCACCGAATATCATAATCGTAATGCTCATAATTTGTGTGACCCAATTTCTTGGGCTGTGGATCCCCATCCCCACACACACGCACACACTCAACTGTGAGCGAACAAGTGAATGGCGGTCGAGTTGCTTCTCTCGCTCGCGATATGCAAATTAATTGGTAACACTTTGCTGCCGCGGCTACAATAACAACGCGGCAAGTAGCATTGAGCAAGATGCCGCACATAACAATAACAACGAAGCATAAGCATATGCATATTATGCAAGCCACTGCAAAAGCAAAAGTTTTTCAGCTGCAAAATGCACGTCTCTGAATTATGAATACATTTAACCGACATGCAGTGCGTTTCACAGGTGTAAGTCATTAGCAGCCCCAACTTGAATGACATAAATCGATTTTATTTCCATAAATTCAAGGTTTCGAAGTGTGTATAACTTGGCTTCTATGGATTAAAGCCTTCCAATTGCAATTGGTTGTCAAACTTTTATATTGAGTTAGGCTTTCATAACGCTAGCCTACGTTTTTTTTTTTGGAATTCTCAATTAATTATGGGGCAAATTGCAGACAAAATTGTGGTTTGACTTATAAAAAATCTAATATTACCCAAATGAACAAAGTTTTATTGATTGGTATTGTGAATGGCCAATTAAGTAACAGAAAATAGTATTAAAACTTCTTATAAGATACAGGAAATGGTAATCGGTCAAACTGAAGGTAAACACTTTAAGAATCTATTTCGGTTAAATTTAACAGAACGCCAGTAAACGCACATATCCATTTACCAAAACCATTTAAGCTTAAGTGTTATTTCCAGTTGAAGGTAAGCAATGTATTTGGAACAAACCCTCCATTGTCGGTTGAAGTTTGTATTGCAATCAGACTTTTAAAAAATATCATTAATTTAAATGTTTCAAGCATGATGTTGCACATTATTTCCTATCATCATTTAGCTCTCATCAAAGCTTTTGAAACGTACTGTATTAATAGATGTATGTGTTAATTGAACGTGCTTGACCAATTAAAGTCGGCAAACAAGGCGCATATAACCAGCCATAATAAGCCATAATATTATAATCAAAGCGTGCCTGGCAGACGAACTGAGTAAACTAACCAAAGTTGGCTAACGATCGGCAATTGGGAAATGCATTTTCAATGGAACTGGGCCAACCTATTGCTCCTGTTCCAGCAGCTGTATTTCCCACGACCGAAACCAAGCCGGGGAAATGCTTTTGAACAGGGGAAAAATACCTGTATACAAAAGATTTATCTCTGCCTTTGATGTGAAATGTTATTAGGAAATCAAAATTATTTTTAAAGCCAGTGATAATTGTTGGAGAAATGAATTAATGAATGAACCAAATATTTTTATCATACACTAATGTCAATTCTCAAAAAGCTTAACACAATTAACACATCTAAAGGTATTTTTAAAAATGATTAGAAATGTTATAAGATTGTTGTCATTTGATTTGAGTACGATAAATCAATTTAATTTGTCCAAAATGTTCCTACAAATAAAACCTTAACCAGTTAATACAGATTTCCTTAAACTTTTTCAGTGTATTCGTTTTACCATTTTAGGTTATCCAAAATCCAAGTCACTTTCCCAACAAAACAGAGCTCCCCGTAGAACACTCACCTTTGGGCATGCCACAAGGCGCCTTCGTCCGCGCATTGTCCAAAAAGTCCAGATCGAATTTGCGGGCAGGTGGATAGGTGAGGGCCACATGGGCCTCCGATCCGAAGTTTCCGAGGTAGCAGCACCAGGCGGCGAGCACCAGCAGGGCGAATCGGAATCGAAATCCGAATGGCGAATGTCTTGTATTATTTATAGACATTTTGTATTTTATAATTTATTTCTTTACAATTTGCGGCGATTGTCGGGGAGTTTCCTTTCGCATTAGCACCGCGTGGCGTGTCTATTCAAGCGCTTCTCTTTCTCTTCTTTTGTGCAATTGATTTTCAGAGGGATTTTGGCGGTGTTTTGAAATTATATAATTAATTTTGCCACAAATTGGACGCACATCTCAGCTGCCAACGGTTGACTCTGAAAGAAGGCAATTTATAGAAATAAAGAAATATTTATTAGCCGAGAATTGCATCACTTGTTTGGTGCTAGAGTATCTGCCAGATGGATCTGTGAAAATGATTTATTGCATTGGCCAAACAATGACAAGGAAATTTCCCACAAGTCCATTAAAGTTTCTTTTTCAGAAAGTGTCGAAAGATACGTTTCTCTTTTATTTTTGTTGCGAATTTTCAGTGTGACAGGCAGATACATCGGAGTGATCCTCCTAAAGCGCGGTTCAATGCTCGATCGGAATTACTATATACTTGCACATACATTTGCCATGTCCAACGCCTTCGCAGCTGAGTGAAATCGAAGGCCTTGCCGCGTTCAACAAACTAATCAAAGCCAATGACAGCTGCCCCCCAAAGAGTCAAACTCCAAACTCTGAGATACTTAGATGCTTGGGCAATTAGACAAGTGTCTAGCCCCGAAGTCCGGCAAAAAGCTTGTCTAATGAAACGACATAAATCAGGGGCCCAAACTACCTGCTCTGGGTTTTTTTTGGCTTCTTGGTTTCTTAGTTTTTTTTCTGGTCTGGCCTCCGGACTAAACGACAACAAATGGCGTTGAAATGGGCGTAAAAATGTGGCACGGCCGGGCCAATTGTTTGGATATGGAAAATGGTGCCACAGTTTTGACAAGCAAATTGCATGCTGCATGAAATCTCTGTTTTCTTGCCCCAAGATAAATCAACGACAATTGGTGTTAGTTGGTCTCGGGGCCTGGCTGATTGGCGAAAATCTCTGCGACTCACGCGAATGAGAACGGGCAGCCACTTGACCACTGGACCACCACTCCACTACACTCCACTCCACTCCGCTGTGCTCCACTTTTGCTAGTGACATCCCAGGTAAGCAGCGGTAATCAACCAGTCATTGTCCAATGCCAGACCCCCAGAAATATCTATATAAGATATATAAACATTTTTATAAGCCATAACGGTAGCCGCAGTCAACTTCCGAGGCGGCAGCTGCCGCGTTTGGGTGACCGCCTCGTTTGGTTTTGATTACTACGGCTCCGGTGTTGGCCAGCAACTGTCTGGCATTGAGAGCAGCAGCAACAATGGTAACAACATCAGCAACATCGACTGTGACGACCACATGGCTTGACATTGAAGTCGCCAAAGCAAAACAAAATCGAAAAGCATGTAAAAAATGTTAATTAAGACGGGGCACACAAACAAATGGAGTCGCATTAAACTAGTATCTGGAGCAGTCTCCGCAACTGGGTTAGAACTTAAGCTTGAAATTTGAATTGGAAATTGGACTTTATTTTCTTTTTTATGACTTATAAGATAATTATTTAAAAAAAAGGTAATTAAAATAGTTTTTTATGATTAAAGAAGCACAATACAATTTTTCAATGATCAACTTTATTACTTTTTTTATTAAAGAATCTTGAATAGTAAAAGCATTATTAAGTAAGATCAGAACTTTTTATAAACGTTAAACCATTTTGAGTTTATTTTTTCGGTTTAACTTAAAGATTGGATTGTTATACAATTTAATTTAATAATTAATAATTTAATTTTTAATATTTTATTAAAATATTAATTTATATATGTCTAGAATGTCGCAAACATTGGTTGTTTCCAAAAATGCTGCAACAACTGAAATCATAATTACCAAACATTTTGCAACCCCCACAATTTATAATCAAAGGTATATTTCGAATCTAATTAGTACCCACTGTCTTTAAGAAATCTGCCCTTAATACGCACAAGTTTGATCTATTTATATAATGTTGAAAGTGATCTACCTTTTTTGTGCAATCCAATATGCCCACATTTGGGGCAATAGCCGACCAAAAGAAAACAAATGGCGCCCAGCTGGAGACGCAGTTGCCAAGAAAAGTGGGAAACTCCGGGCTGCGAGGCATTCTTTGAAATAAGTCTGCGTGATGCCGAGTCAACTGGCTGGTCGGGCTGTCATGAGTTGGCCAAATCCGAGGTTCATTACCCAACAACTGACTGGGGGAAAACGATTCGAGTCTGGAGTGGAAGTTAAAGCTGACTTAAGGGGCTCAGGTGAGCAATTACATTAATTGAAATGCCTCTTGAGCGCTTTGCATTTCCACTAATTAGAACTGAGATGTAATTAACGTACCGCTTGACCATAGAGTCAATGCCAGAGCGAAACGGATTCGAATGCAATTCACACGCCATTAAATTGAAGTCTTCAACTCGATTCGACGCGAAACACGTTGGATGAAAAGAACACTTGACTCGGCTTCTACGACATATCGATTATGGCCAGCCAGAGCTGCGGACATAAACATTTGGCCACGCTACTCATGTTCGATTCACGGCGACAGCGAGTGGAAAAAATGCAGTCCAACTGGTTACGAAATATTCGAAAAGCTCATTCATGTTGAGCTTCAGATACGATTTTCAAAATACGCCAGCCGCCGTACATGTACATGTATCTGCATCTGTATCTGTATTTGTATCTGATTTTGTATCTGTGACTGAGTCGGCCTCAGCCTCGTTGTGTGAGTGCCTGGGCACCGGAAACCGGTTATTGGCCCCAAAACAAAATATAGTCAACTATTAATGGATCGACTATAAATCGATGCTATCTCGGACCCGGCCAAAGTCGGACTCTGGGACGGCAAGTGTATCGCCTATGGCCGCTCCCAAAAGCCCCGAAATTAGAGCCCGATCTGCGGCACACTCTTGACCAAAATACTTCAATGGAATTATGCGCGCGCGCTCCATTTTCAGCCAGCCAAATTAGAGAATAACATGGCAGGCAGCCAGCAACACGGCTAGATAAGTACAAAATTGTTTAGTAAAATGCCTGAAATTGATTTTAAATCGACTGAGTTGGCCATTGGCCATTGTGTAACCACTTAGCGGCTAAGGAAGAGGTTAACAAGGAAGACAACATGGCAGAGATTTGTTAAAATCAACATGTAAAAACAATGGTAAAGGAATTTTTTTAAACGCCTATAAAAACTTACAAAGATTCTTGTAAATTTTACCAAAACATGTTTTTTATTTATTCTATTAGAATTCACAAAAGAAAATAAAGTGTCAACGAATTTGTTCATAATAACAAATTAAGTTAATACAGACTATTCCCACAATAACTAATTTTTCAAAACATCACAACATTTAATCGCTTAAGTAAATAACTTCCCCATTATTTGATTTGCATTTAATATTTGTTTGTATTTTTGGTAAAGCAAAATATAAGCATGTTTTAGTAGTCGTGTTCATTCAAATACATTTAATGTGATCAACAGCCGTTTAAAAGTAAAAACAAAAATGCATATGTACTTAAAGCCCCCAATGTGCGTCACATATTGTATTCTATATAATTTATTTGAGATCATTTTGTATGTGATGGCATAAGATAGCGTCCTAGAATTACTACAAATCTAAGGCAACAATTAGCCACGAGTGGCTAAACTTCTAACTAGCCAATTTAAAAAAAAATTGAAAATTTTCCAGAAATTGATTAGCAAGCTGGTGTAGCACCCTGACTTTCTAATCGGGCCTTTTTGACGAACTGTTCGAGCTGTTCGACTTGTCGCACCACCCGGCGTATGGGTGATGTGTGGATTTTGGCCAGCGGCTGTTAACGGTCCATGTGACTGGCTACTCGATTCGAGCCAAACAAATCTGCGGCTGCTGTGTGGTGCGAAAATCAGCTCGTCATGATGGTTATGCGAGTGCTGCTCTTTATGCTGTTTGACTTAAACATTTCGTGTTTGGATTTCTATTTCCGCGAAATTTCTCAACTTTAATGTCACGCACCACGAATCCGCCACCGAACTTGGACGGGGAGTCGTCGATAATATGTGATTGACAGACATGTGTGCCAAGTTGGCTCATTATAATTACTGTATGGTAAAGACTTATGTACACAGTGAAAAAATATTTAATCATTAAATAAAAATATTAAAACGAGTGGATACAAATGAGTTTGAGCTATATTTTCAGAAATTTGTTTTTGCTAAGCACATCTGTCTGGTTTTTACTGGCACAAGGAGCCACCAAAGTCAGCTCCCGGGTATAAAAAGTGCTAATGCTCGTTAATCAATTCCATTGGCGGAGTCCACACATCAGAGCACCGATGACATCTTCGGTTCGCAGTGAAAGTTTCCTCGTCCGAGTCCAAGTTTTTCATTGATTTGTGTTTGTTTTCTATTTCACCTTCGATTTCGACTTGGATGCCTTGGAATGCAAGTGAGGAAAAATAAACACTCACAATGTAAACAATCATCACTTTCGATGGTTTTCTATCAATTATGAAAATTAAGCCATCACTGAGTTGACAAATGATTCCATATTTGGCTTTTTCAAATATATGTAGCTAAGACGCCCACGTTTTCAATCTATTGACATTGCGACTAATTTCCGTTGATTTACATAGTGGAACCGTGTAATCCCGTGGAACTGGTGCAGCCAGTTTGACTTCGGGGGTCTTTCGCTTTCGGCATAAGTATTTCCGAAATTAAATGAATTCGTCGTTCGGCTCTTGATTTCTTTCTTTTAACTTTCACAAGAACGAGCTACACGGGTTTGGTATGGAGGAGGGTCACTAGTGGGGTCAGGGTGAGACCAAGGGTTAAGCCACGGCTAACAAGCGAACAAACAAACAAGCGTTTATTTGCTGTCGCTTTATGGCCGTTTAACTTGATCTCTAAACTGGCGAGAGCCATCCAAAGTACTTGTACCCACAGCCGTAGTGAGCTTTGCCTATAAGATCATATTTCATACAGACAGCAGCGAGATTAAATGATGGTCGTTTCGGCTGAGTGGGCTTTTGGTATTAGAAGGCAGGCAGGTTAAGAGCAGCAGGAAAATCACTGACAGCTTTATTTTATTTACCCCTCACTTAGGCGGATTACCCATAAATTATATATGCTAGTCATAGGAGAAGTTACTTTGATACTTGGTACCTTAATGTTAAAAGTTGGTCAAAAGAAACAGACAAAAATGTAATTATACTAAATATGTACAAAGTAACTTAAGAGGGGGCATAAGTGTAAGAAATGAGGCAGCTTGTTATATAGATTATAAAGTAATTTCTTCTTCACTGTAGAGTATTTTATTGATAATAACTTAATATTTATTAACAGAGTGCCTTTTATTTTCATTGGACTTGTCGTTTTCCCGTTCACGTTCATGACATTACTTTGGCTATAAAAATGTATCCGATCGAGTCGCAAATCGTATTTATAAACATTAAATCATTCGCGGGATACACTCTCGTCCCTTCGCCCGGCTCAACAGTTGTGCAAATTCATCCCAGCGATTGGCGTCAGACGATCGCAATGACGTTCCCGATCACAATCGCAGTCGCATCCACCTGTTAATTTATTAATGAGTTGCAGAAACCTGTCCGAGCTTTACATAAATACCCGTATATAATCTTTACAAAATTTGCACGAAAGTCGTTAACGGCAAATGCTTTTTAACTCTCTTTTGTTGGCCGATCGGGAGAATAACTTTCGCAAAACCAAAATGTTTTTAGCAGACGCGATTGTGTGTCATTGTGTGACAGCAATTGACCAGCGATTTCCACAAAAATCTAAGGTCAGTCGACGAATGCCTTACGCATTCGAAGTGAATTAAAGCAAGCTGTTGGCCCGCTGTGTGTTTGTTTGGTTTTGATACGGTCTTTTGCGTAATCCGATGTGCGATTATGTCCATTTACACGGGCTGCTTACAAATGCGCGGCATTGAAACGCACGCGGCTCAAATGCCAATCCATATGGACCCAATACAAAAGACTTAGGCAACGAACGCGCAGCATCTCGACTTGGCCAGCGTAAACAGTATAATAAAAACAATAACAAAATCCAAATAACTGCCATTATAAACAATTTGGCAAATGAATGCGAAATATTTGTTATAAAACTGGCATACATGTGTAGTATGGCCGAATGTGATCAGGTTCAGGTCTGAACAAGTGCACAAATTACAAATTGGTTTTTGTCCGACTTTGACAGTTCAAATTACTTCTGAAGAGTCAAGATGCGCTCCAAGGTTCCCCCACCTGTGCCGTGTATATGTTACCAACCAGTTTGTTTAGCCAAGTGTACCCCAGCCCCCGAAACGACCATTAGACAAACCTGCCCGACGACGACGACGGATCACATTCTGATTCTGGTTTCGTTTGCCCTCGCGCATTCTCACTTTTTTTGTACTTTGTTTTGCCCGATGGCTTTTTGTTTTAAGCTGTTATTTTTCGGGGCTTATTGGCATTTTTTGTTTATTAGGCGCTGGAATTCGCTGCGTATAAGTATGTTTATAATAGAGCTTTATATGAGCGGCAGTAAATACGTTTATAGTGCCCCCAAAATAATATGGAGGCTGAGGCTCAGGGAGAACCTGCGTGGTGTGGGCAGCCTGCCACAATCTCACACAGACTCGCACGAGCTCATGTGCCTGTGTTCGACATTAGATGTTAGATGTTGGTGGATGCCATCCGGTTTTGGCCTTTGCAGCTGCCAATGCTGCTCGGCTGCATTCCGGGCATGACTAACAGAGCCGCGAGTCGCGGGAGTTATTACCCTCAAGGTCACATCTGCCTAGGTTTCTGTTTCTCCGGCGGTCCAATCTTGGCATGACTCGGCGATTGGACAAATCGATAGAACTCAGAACAATAATAAATCATAGAGTGGTCATCACTTTAGTGTGCTAAAATCACTTATAAGTCAAGCTTCAGTCGCACAGAAGTGTACCAAATCTGGCCTAGCTCTTGTTTTAGCGTTATCCTAAAAAAAATAAGATTACATTTAAAATAGGACTGATTTTTTAGACCATGATACATTTACATACACTTATGTTAATGTAGAACATTAAAATCAAAAATGAAGGTGAAGCGAGTCAACTGCTAACATTATTTTTTTCTATGTACCTAAATCTAGCTTCTTGTCTGATCGGCTCAGAGGTAAAACCATTAGCCGGGATCTTGGCTAAGCGGCTTAAATGGAATGGAGACAAACAGTTATCGAGGTGATGAAAACAAAGGAGAATTAATTAGATTCCGCTGCTGGATAGGGAAGACTAATGAAAGCTAAGAAGTCGCCAACGGAGTTCGTCTCCGGAATACAGGTGACTCAGAGCGAGTTCGACATTTCTTTTTATTCGGCTGTGATTAATGGACTTACAGAACGCATACGCGATTTTGGCGTTTCGGCCATTCTTGGCGTATTCGCCCGGCCTCGGTTTTTAGAAGTGATCTCATCTGCCACAGCCTCGGTTCTGGCGGCCCACATCGATCTCCGGAGAACAATCCCAAAAGCAGCTGTCAGCTGCCAAACGCTAATATGCAATAAATTATGCCTGGCACTGAGTGTGCGTATCGTGTGTGTCTATAATTACAGTGGTTTGTGGTGAATTTCACTTTTTTCCATCTTCCGCTGTGGCATGTGCAGTGAATTCCGAAATGAACGCTCGTTTGCATTGCCAATTCAGCGAGCATTCCTTCTGCTTCCTTTTCTTGGTAAAGTACATGGTCACAAATTATTTTTAAACGAAAATATTGAAATTTAAACTTTAAAATGTGTTTTAAATTTACCAAGACTTTATTCTTCATTGTTAATCTTGTTTTTAATTTAACAGCATTTTTTTTTCATTATTGGGAAAAGTGTTTTATTTTATTCAGTAGCTAAAAACAAGTTGGTAGTACCACCGAGTTTTTAAGTTATTTATTTTTTAAAAGCAGTTTTAAATAGTATTTAAATTTAAATTTAAAAAACTATAAAAGAATTAAAAAGCAAGCTTTTAAAAACATCTAGTGTACAAATGATCCGAAATAAAAATCTTTGATAAAACATTTTCAAGTACTTATCAATTTAATTCCAAATTTAGTAAAACGTTTTTTAAGAAATACAATTCTATACTAAATAGTATCAGTGAATGTATTAAATTGACCCTGTGTTCAATTAATACGAATTTGTTACGAACCTTATTAAGATTTGTCAAGACGGCCAATTCATGTCTAAATAGATTCGTATTGATGACGTTTTTTTTGTGTGTAACAGATCACCCGATTCATGTACACCTTTTATTTAATTTTGAGTCCTCTATCATTTACTTCAAAATGCATATATGTTTTACCCTTTAATGTTTCGAGGATGAAACATTCCTCGTAGGCTCACCTGAAGGAGGAGAACGAATGCCAGGGCGAGATGTGGGCGGCGATAAGTTACGAAAATCGCAGGCGCACTGGAAGATCCGAATCGGAATCCGAGTTAAAATCCAAATCCAAGACCGACACCGGAGCTAATCAAAAGTTACAGCACGCACGCGCTTCGGCGAAGGGGTGGTGTGGGGGGTGGGGGGTCGAGAAGCGGAGACCACGACACACGATCAAAGTCAAAACAATGCAGTCGCGGCACTTTCAACGATTTTTAACGTTCTCCGCTGATGATGCACACCGCGCAATTGCAATTGCAGCGGATTGCAGCCCACAGGTAAGTGAGTATTGGGTACAGGGTACTTGCAGTGTGTGTGGGAGGTGATGTGTTAATCAATCAACGAGCGCGCATCGAAAGTACACTATTTGCCACATTGATTTGGTTATTTCTGGCGGTTGTTCGCTAGTCTGTTCCTATGTTTTTTTAGTTTTTTTGTTTTTTTGTTTTGCTGCAACGGCTGTACGTGACTGCCGTGCACTTGCACAACGACCGCAAAAATCCAAGGGATCCACGCTCCGGAAGGCACGACGAGGCGACGACACCGCAAAGCAACACAGAAGGAAATCGCAAGTCCAAGCGCACCACACGTCCGCACTCAAGTGCCGTCTCGATCGAAACTGAAGATCTGGTCGGGCTTGCAGGTGAGGCGATCTCGGCACCCGCGCCTGAAAGCTCTCCGAAAAGCTCTCTCTCTCTTTACGATTGTTTTCCCTCGGATCTGGCAACTCGAAAAGAGCGGCTTCGAGTCGACCAGGGCTGCCGTTTGACAACCACGAGTTACGAATTTACGTTTTTTTTTTTGAAAAATGTTTTAAAGGTGGGCTGTCCATGTATAACATCATCACATTCCTTTGATTAAAAGGAGGGGAGTCATGAATTTTTTTTGAGTTGTTACAAAACAATGCTATAGTCTAAAAACTAAAAACTGTGTTAATAAGTGAACCATATATTAAGTAATCTAATTGGTCAGCAAAATGATTACCACACCATTCGGAACAGAATAAAACACACTTTGGAGTAATAAACACATGAATCAGATACAAAGCAAATTTAATAGGTGTTACAAGTATAGGTGTATAAGCAAGGTATTTGGAACAGAATCCAACACAGTTTAGAGATTTTATTATGAATTCCTTTTCCATCGTAAGAGCAAGTGCACCACATACTTAAGTGGTTTATACACCGATCATCTCAAATAACAACATTATGAAAATAACGGAACACAAAATAACCGCATGCGAAACATTTTTTTTTTTGCAATCCTCTGAGCATCATACTTAGTAGATTCTAACAAACACTTTTAGGTCCATCCTTGGTATACCAAGAACCGTGTAAATCGAATGCACACAGTATTCGCCTTCCGGGACTGGGAGAACAGTTGTTAACTTATGATTGAGAAAATGAATGGGAAGCTCGTCCACATATATATCGTGCTGCAATTACTAGGCTATTATCAAAATTAAAAGAGAGTAGTAAGATTAGTACGTACATTGTATGGACAAGAATGGTTAAAGTTCGAGTAGGTCGCAAACAGATCGATGAAAAATCGAACCGTTGGATTACGTTTTCCCTTAAAGTACTGGCATACGTCGAACGTTACGTTAAAAAGAAACGGCTTATATCCATTTAACCTCTTTAACACCTCAAACCTTACCTGAAAAATGTCAGCATTAACTAATCGATTAATTTTGAAAGTTAGAAAAACTATTCACCAATAAATCTTCAAACGGCAATTTGTGAATTTTAGTCCTGAACGTCATAAATTTGTAAGTCCTGTTTTTTGATTTCAGAAAACATGCATCAAAATCCATATATTCCTTGTCCAAGGAGGTACATTTTATGTTGGTGAATTCGAAATTGCCGTTGACCTTAATAAAGTGTTTTGTTAAATTGTGGTATTTCAATGGATTCCTTTTGGCTCACTTTAAATCCAAGTAAAAACACTACGAAGAGGATCGGAAATAGTAATTTAAGCACCACCATAGCTCCTTAACTGTTTTAGCTACACAACCAACGACTCTGATAATGTTTATGTTTACATATGGAACCAAAGCAATTAACTCTACCGATCGATAATAATTAGCAGTGACAATTATAAGTTATCTATAAAATTTAAAACATATTTAATTGAGGTATACACAATTATTTGCGATCTGCCAAATGTATGCGTTGCCAATCGTTTTATACAAAAATAAACGTATGGTTTTCATTAAACTTACTATAAGTTTATACACTATTACAAAGCTTGTTATAAAAGCGGTAAAAAAAAGATCGTCATTTTTTAGTTTTACTTCATAAATCAATTTAAGTAAATCACTGCTATTAAGGTTATTATAAAAGTGGTAAAAATAAAAGGTTATATAATTGTAGTTTTACTATATATGCAACTTTAATATTTTATAATAACTTCTAAATAATTATTTTATTATTATAAAATAAGAATATTTAAGATATGCTTAGCCTTAGCTACTATTTATAAGTGTATTAAAAGAAGAATCGCTGGTTTCGATTTGAAAACGTCCATGGTTCGTTCAATGATTTTAGTTAAGATAATAATTGAAAAAAAAAATGAAAATATTAAAAAAGAAATAATAAAAATAATATATTTTTTTAAAACAAATATATATGCCATCAGTTTAAACATTATTGTTATTAATTAATTATTATTTAAATGAACTATGATATAATATAAGATATTATAAGCAAAATGGGAATACAGATACGAGTGCGCCGCTTAGCCCAACTAAAGCCGCCTTTCCCCAATTACTTTTTTTTTATAATATTACACTTAGTCTCGAAGTTTAAATTTAATGATTACTTTATTATGTATTCTTTTTAAGTTGTATTCTAGCTAAAAAAGAATACTTCCAAAGATAACTATCTCGGTGGAACAAATTTAAGTTTAAATTTAGCGCAGAAAAGTAGTAGTTCTTAGTGTGAAATAAAGAATGTATTCCTGCTAAATTCAGTTGCCCCACACAATGCTCTCGATCCAGTCCGTGAAAAGGTGAACCTTGGTGTAAACACTCGGAAGACCTTGAGAGCCACAGACCAATCCATACGATACGATTCCGATCACCTGCTTTAGACACGGATAGAGCGGATGCTGCACGAAGATAGGCCCGCCGGAGTCGCCGTTGCAGGTGTCCTTTTCGCTGGTCATTGATCCTGCACAAAACTGGGTACGCGTCTCGATGCTGAAGCGCAGGCGTTTCTGGCACACCTCGTCGGTGAATCGTTGCAGGCTGACCTTCAGCAGGTGAGAGGACTTCACTCCGTCCGCGGTGAATCCCCAGCCGGCGGCTGTCACCTGTTCGTTCTCGTTGCCGCTGCTGGGAGGCAGGCAGACAGCCGCTACATGATCGTTAAACGCAGCATCCCTATCCAGTTCCACCAGAGCAATGTCGTTTTTAAAGCCGCGCTCTTCGTCCTCTGTATCATAGCCCGGGTGCACGATATAGTTTACCACCCGAAAGTCCTGCACTTGGGCATCGTCAGTGGTGCTGTTATAGTCCAGTTCGCCCAGTCGAACTACAAACTTGGGTGAATCGAAATTTGGGTCTAAACGTTCGGACTTAGATCTGGTATTCGGAAACATTAATATGACTTGAGTAAGTTTACTTTGGTTAAACTTACTCATCCGTCTCCAGGCAATGGGCTGCTGTCAGCACGAATCTGGGATGCACCACTGCACCACCACAGTCCCAATTGCTCTCGGACTTATTGCTCCGACGTGTGCCAATCAGCGCCATGAAGGGGAACTCCCGACCCGACGCCTTTGTGCCGCCCACAATGAAGGGCGTAGAGCGACAGGCGGCTCGGGCCTCGTTGTACTGCTTGCACTCTGGCAGGAATTAAGAATGCAATGTTAATAATGAACGAAAATCATTGTTATCACCGCTTACGCTTCTCAAACGGCCTTGTCTGCTCAACAGGTTTCAGGTTCTGATGATCCAGCGGTATGGGGCAGCAGACAATATCATTGAACTCGTCGCAGTACTTGACTTCAGATCCTATCAAATGCTGGTTGTAGAATATCACTGGACAGTCCGTGGGAGTCAAATCCTTGCACTCGCCCGTGCCATTGTCGCAATATTCGGCCGCCACACCGACTGAAACCAAAAGCAGCAGCCACTTAGTTCCGGGAAACGCGTGCATAGCCGAACGCTTTGAGTTCACAACTGAGAACGGCACTCGAGGTTGACCAGATCTACCAACACAACTGAGCAACGATGAGCTTTAAGTTTAATCGTGTAAAGCTTTTGATTGAAGAAATTGGCGGGCTATCTATCCCACTGATAATAGCATTCAAACGTAATTTTTGTAAAATTTCTTAGAACATATCTGAGAACGGTTCACACAATACATGGAAATTGAGCATACACAATTAAACGATAATTAATGCAAAAACGAGCCAATTAGACGATAATACTAATTTAAAATTAAGCTTAGATTCTATGTCTGCTTGCATTAATTGTGTCGCATGTTTTGCATGTGTTGATGTTGTTGCTGCTGCTGCATGTGTTGCATATACATTTGCTGCTGCTGCTGATTGAGTTGCTGCTGTTGCTGCAGGCTGCCACCGCTGCCCAATGGAAGGCTTGTTGTTTGCCCTGCATTCACCTGTTGCTGTTGCATTTGCATTTGCTGCTGTTGTTGCTGTTGTTGATGCTGTTGTTGTTGCTGCTGATGTTGTTGCTGCGGCTGCTGTTGGTGTTGGGGTTGCAGGGGGGATTGCGTTTGTGTTGACAGTGCACTATTCATGGCGTTATCGGAGCTAAAATTATTTAAAAACCTAAAGTCTAAATTCATATTTATTTAAAATCCTTCTTACATCTTCTCCGAATTAATATCCTCTAGGTTGAGATGTGTTATGAACCTTAGACGCATCTGTAGCAGGGGTCGTAACCGCTTAATAATAGCCTCCGATTCGTTTTTAATAATGTTTCCCACATGTATATATTTAATGTGGTAGCTGAAAAGATTAGTTAGTAAGTTAGTTATTTTAGTCAAGTTAATTGGCCTGCCTTACAGAAAGTCGCATATCTGGTCCATGTACTGCAATGGCTTCGGTCCATGATGTTTGTCCACAATCTCCAGAATCTCATAGAGCAACACGGCAATGCCGGCCACTGCGTTCGGTTTTTCAAGTTCTATTCGCTGCAGGAAGGGCCCAAACACGTGGCACAGGTACAACAATTGCTGCTCAGTTCGCACGCACGGCTTTAGCTTCTCCGTGAGGTACCTGGTCATCGCGGCCAGCTTAAAGGCGCCCATGTGATGAAACACCGAGTGAGCCACGGCCAACACCACGGCGTAGGTCTTCTCCAGCATCGCCTCGCGCACAGTCTTAAAGTTAAACAACTCGAATGCATTGAATCTGTAGGTCCAATTCAGCATATTGGGTGTGTTGAGCATATCCTGTAAGCGATCGTAGATGCCACTCCAGTAGGGCTCTGGCAAAGCTGCCAAAACAATGCCCACGGCATTGATATAGCTGTGTATATCCTTCTGCGGAATGACCGCATATCCGCTGACTATCACATCAATGAGATTGTTGGCCACCAATGTGGGTGCCACCGGCAGACCCAGCAGTTCCACGCAGGTCACATAGAGCGCATGAGTTGGGGCATTTGGGAACTCATTGAAACGCCAATCGGTGGAATAAAAGACATTCTTCCCACTGATAGCTGCAAATTAATGGGGGGGAGGTCAAAATTGAAATATATTTTATACCAAATTTAACTCACTGTCTGCCAGGCGTCGGATCAAGCTCATATAGTAACTCAATTCGGGGGTCCATAGCGAGTCCTGATTTTGCAGGAATACCTTATAAGGCTCACTTACACTCCAGTTGGGCGGACGAATCTCACTAAAAGCGCTGGTAATAGCGCCCACCTGGAAACAATACAATTAAATATACTAAAATCGAAATTATATTTAGAAAAGTTCTTCCAACCAGTTTTTTCTTCAGCGCCGGACGATCCCTTAGGATTCGCTCATAATAATGAAGGGTGTTGTAAAGATACGTGATGGGGCGATCTGCAATGCTTAAACTTGAGTTTTGATTATCTTAAAAGCAGCTCCTTACGCACCGTGGAACTTGTAGAGTATGCTCAGATGATCCAAAATGAAGCCAAGTATTTGGTGAACATTCGTTATAGTGAGCTCGATGAATCTGTGCACCACAACGTCCAAAACAGGCAGAAATCGCAGGCAGACATTGCTAAAGTACACGGGCAACGCCATCTGCGATGCAGATTCGTCCAGGGCGAACTTTTCCGGAAATTTTTGGTGAAAGGACAAATGCTTGTCCTGCCTAAGGAAGATATTTACTTGAAATCTACTTCTTTAATAAAATTCAACACTTACCAATTGCTCTGCTTCCAATGATCAGGATTGTTGTCCTTGCAGAACTCCTGAACTCGATTCCGCAGCTCACTGGCTTTTAGCAAAAGCAGCTGTATAATAAGGAAACAGACTTGAGCCTCGTTGCCCTCGTGCGTTCGAAGAGCCAAGCAAAGCACAACCCTATCGATGGTCACTACATTGAACTTCCAGATCATGTTGTTAATCGTGTCCACGCACTTGTGAATAAAATCACGACCATCCGAGGAGCTAGCCACTTCGGCCACCAGATAGTCACAAAATTTACGCAAGTGAGTGGATAAGGCTCTCGCACTTATACCCTCCAGGATTCTGAAATAAAACCATCATTATCTGATGTGGCGCAAAAGATAAAATCGTATCGTTACGCACTTGTAAGCCACTGGGCTTATGTTCTCCGTTTCCCAAATTATTTTGAACAGCAGGCAAAGGAACAAGGGGTTTGTGGTTGGTCGCAGGAAGTGCGCAATGATGTCGTTTTCGTTTGTCATGGACGTCCAGGTGCGGTACTCCTCTTCCACGGCCTTCTTAAGCTGTTGCTTGTTCTCCGGCGGTTGGTTGTTCTGGGTAAAGTACTCATTTAAGGCGGGCGGAAAACAGGCTAGCGACTGCATGGGCCACGAGTGCGGCGTGTGTTGAATGATGTTAGAAAGGAAGTCCTTGCACCACCCTTGCATCTCATCGCCGCCGCCGTGAACATGCATGGAACGCGCGAGTGTAAGGATGAGAACCCGGTTTAGTTCCTCACTCTCATTGGACGCCACCGCTCCGGGGGATTTGTCGTTGAAGTACCGCGAGAACTGTGGCTGAAACTCCGCAGATCCGATGCTGGTAATCAGACGCAAGGCAGTGGATTCAAAGCTGCAAAAAATATATAAGTCTTAGCCAAATCTTAATACTTGACATATGCATTTATAACACACCAAAGATTGAGCTGCATCTTGTTTGTTTGCGGCACGGAGGACAATGAGTGGAGCAGAGATAGCAGTTGGACTCTGTAGTGGGTGGGCACATGATGCAGCCGGTACGAAAACATTTCCATCAAGGTGTGCAGCATAGCCCAGGCATGGTTTTTAAACACAGTTGGCATTAGTTGGCCTACAGAGAAAGACATGAAAGTATGTTTACAAATTGAGTATAAATTGGATTACGGGCTAGACTCACTCAGGAATCCCTTGATGCCCAGCGACTCGATTTCCGTATAGACCAAAAGTCTTGCATATGTCTCTAATAGCGCCGCCGCTGGAACTTGCCCTTTGGTTTGGGCCTGCTTCAGCATCTGTGTCACAAAGCTGTGGATTAGCGACATTTTGCTGTGCACCGTCAGACTGTCCAGAACCGTGACCGAGAAGGTTACTGCTGGTATCTGGGCGCCATTCGGTGACTTTGAAGAGCCATTCAAAGCATCCAGCAGCAAGCCCATGGGTCGCCCAAAGTACTCTTGATTCGTAGAGTAAGCATTGCAGATTAGAATGATGCGGAAGTCGTTGCCCAGAGTCATGTTCATCATGGTGTTGGGCGTGACCAGGTGCTGCAAAAAGCTGTGCAAAAAACCAATCAATATTAATAGTATTTCTAAGGCAAGCAATCAGATATTACTCGTAATGGTTTTTAAGCGCAATGGGCAGAGGCCGAGTAATGTTCATATTCTCCACTCGCGCCTTCTTCATCAGGTGGATCCACACGCAAATGGGAGCCATGTGGCGGACCATCGAAGATTTGTTGATGTCTGGCAACTTAAGTGGCTCCAGTTCGGGGTAGAGAAGGTCAAACAACCTGAACACGGGCAGAAAATTGGTAATCTACAATTAAAAGACATTGTAAGTATGTATCATCTGATAAAAACCGGAAATTATCATCCTACAGGATTCTTCTGAATGCTCCCAGAGATGAACTGCAAAAGGATCCACATCAGTTGGTCACGACCCTTCCTGAGCTCCAACTTCGAAAGCTATGGATGAACAAAAATTAGTTAGAAGAAAGCATATAAGTTTGATTTGATTTCATGAAAACTACCTTCTCGTGAAGCGCCAACACGATGTGCATAAAACTAACAAACTGGAATAGCACAAAGTAGATAAGTTGCGAGGAAAGATGCAGCCACACCCACTCGTAGGGCGTGATTTGTTCGTCTGAGGCGTTGAAGCCACTGCCCGCAGTGGCGTCATTGGCCTCCGTCATCTCCATGGCCTGGACGATCAGGTTGACAAGCTGCTCCTCCAGGGCATTATAACGCTGCTTTTGATGCTTCTGAAGGTTCAGCATTTGCGAGACCATCTCCCGCGAGTACGGCTGCTCCAAAACGTAGCGGAGCAGGGGCTTTTGCTCCTCGAGAAGCTCTGGCTCGTAGGGCAGGATGCCTTTAAAGTTAAACTTGAGGGTGTTGTGGTCCAGCCGCCAGGAGTTCATCATGTGATCGGCATAGCCGAAGTGCTCCACTATAGGGAGCATACTGGCGTGTCCGATGATTGAGACCATTTGCGCCGTGGTGCGGAATTCCTCGACAAAGTCGGTCATCAGCCGGTTTAGCTTCCAATGGTAGGGAAACGGACGCATAATCTCGTTGGCAATGAAATAGGCGGGCAGCAGGCAATTGGTGCGGTCGAAGATGAAGCGTAGGATATCCTCGACGGCCAGAAGCTGTGGCATGTAGGTGACGTTGACGTTGGGCGGAAACCACTGCGTCTTGTCGCGGCACACTTTCATGATCTCGCGCACGCCTTTGTAGTCCACCTGGGCGATCACGCGCTTGACCAGCCGGAAGCTCTCGATCCAGAAGGTCCTGTGCTCGTAGTCCAGTTTCTCGCACATCAGCACCTTGTCGCACAGCATCCTTGCAGTGATCACGTGTGCGTCCACCAGTTTGACCAGTGCCGCCATCAGCACCTTGATGTGGTATCCGGAGGCGCCGGCCGCCCGCACCAGGTAAGCTCGCAGCACCTGCTCCCGGTTCTCCTGTGCCACGTTCCCAAAAGCGGTAACTGAAAAAAAAAACTTGTTACTGGTTGAAATCCGGGAGAGTAGCTTACTTACCCAAATCATTGGCGAAACTGGTGGCTCGCTCCTGTTCGCCATTTGGCTTGAAAACAATGACGCTCACAAACGCCTCGTCAATGGAGTCCACCTTCTGTTTAAACAAATACAAATGTAAGTCAACAGGGGGTTTATAAAGTGTACAAGTGTTTCGTTACCAAAAACTCATTGACGGTGTCTATAACTTGCGTTTCCATATCCATTTAAATTGTTTTTCGCATTTCCGACACCGCATAAACAAAATCGCGTCTGCACTTCTTCTTCGCAGTGTGACCAGAGGGTGGATAGAAATAAGCTAAAATCAGAGCTGTGCTGATATTTTAAAGTAGCTAAAACCTATCATACAAATGTAATTAATGTAATAATAGTGCTAAAAACAAATAGTTAAAATTGTTTGTTTTTTTATTATTTGACATATAACATTAGCTTATTATGTATTTAATTAATATTGTTTTTATGCATATTTTTATTTATGTACTTTTATAAGGTTACGTTTTAATTTAAACCAACACGGAAACCTAAAGCAAAATAAAATCTGCTCCAAGAATCTCCCTATTGACACTCTTAATGATTCCCGCTAAAATTTGGCTAAAAAAATCTATTTGACAGTACTGCTAACTTACCGGCATTTGAGACTGCTGGTCACACTTAATGTTAGAGAAACTAACAAAATAGTTTACTTATCCGTGGAATCGCACAAAAACAATGAAAAAAGTGCTGGTCACAGGTGGAACTGGCCTTGTGGGCAAAGCCCTGGAGGCGGTAATTAAGAAACAGGCTCCAACTGATGAGCAATGGTACTTTGCCGGCTCCAAGGACGCCGATTTGACGTGAGTTAATAGAAACCATCGAGCTAGTAGAATCATAAACAAAGGTTTCCACAGAAATCTGGAAGCCACGCAGGCACTCTTCGCCCGAGAAAAGCCTACTCATGTTATCCACCTGGCCGCCATGGTCGGTGGTCTGTTCCACAACATGAACAACAACCTGGACTTCCTGGTGAGTTTTGAAACTACATACATACAAGCATGGTCCGAAATTCAATTTCAATCGAATCCCGTTTAGCGCAACAACCTGCTTATTAACGATAATGTCCTGCAAACGTCACACGAACATGGCTGCAGCAAGGTCGTTTCCTGCCTGTCCACCTGCATTTTTCCGGACAAAACCAGCTATCCAATTGATGAGACCATGGTGCACAATGGGCCACCACACCCGTCCAACTATGGCTACTCCTACGCGAAGCGACTGATAGACGTGCAGAACCACGCCTATTACGACAAATACGGCCGGCTGTACAGCTCTGTGATCCCGTGCAACATTTTCGGTCCGCACGACAACTACAAGCCCGAGGTGAGCCATGTGATTCCGGGCATGATCAATCGGATGCACCAGCTGATCAAAGAGCAGCCTGAAGTGCCGGAGAGCGAAAAGGTATTCACAGTTTTTGGAAGCGGAAAGCCCCTACGTCAGTTTGTATACTCCCTGGACCTGGCCGAGCTAATGATCTGGGTGCTCCGGAACTATGACAGCGTGGAGCCCATCATCCTGAGCGTGGACGAGGCCCAGGAGGTGACCATCTACGAAGTTGCTCAGGCCATAGCAAAGGCATTTAACTTTAAGGTGAGCTATTCATCTGATGTTTTGAGATATACCACTTTATAACTTTTCCTATTCCAGGGAAAACTGGTCTGTGATACGAGCAAGGCGGATGGACAGTACAAGAAGACTGCATCCAATGCCAAACTTCGTTCCCTCCTGCCGGACTACGCATTTACAAACTTTGAAACGGCCATCGAAAAGTCGGTGAGGTGGTACAAAGACAACTACGATCAGGCCAGAAAGTAATTCCAGATTGCAGCCCCCACAAATGTAAATAGACATCGTCTGTACACAGAACTTTATGCGCGTTTAATGTCCAACAAAATAACAATGCCTAATGTGCCAATGTGCCAGCTCAGTCTGTCCAGGAGTCGCCGTATTGGTTCTTTCTGCCAGCGGGTTCGATGCGTGCTGGCTCCACCGGTCGCTGCTGGACGGGAGCTGATGGTTCGTAGGGCCGCGAGTAGGGACTCTGCTGGTGCTTCGAGTGTTCTTCACGATTCCTTCGGCGCAGATCTTCGTACGACTGACCCGGCTTGGCTGGCTCCAAGGGCAGATCCGTGTCTAGCATCGAAGCAGCTGCTGCAACAAATAGGTAAATTAAGACTCAACTTGACGCTAAAGGTTTATCTGAACCTACAGTCCAGCGTGGGCCGGTAGATGTCGTCCAGGCCGGACATAGTGGGGCGCGATTCCGTGTCCAGGTTGAGGGCTGTGCTCCTGGTCGGCTGATACGCCTCATCGCTGTAAACATCCGCCGAGCTGGGCGAGAAGGGGGCCAGGGTGAAGGCCCTGCCTAGGTTCTCGTCCGGTGTGATGGAGCTGATGACACCGCCACCCTGCCTCCGCTGACGCAGCAACTCGCCCAAGTGGGAGTTGGGCAGCCGCATGATCTTCTCGGCACACTTCTGCTGGTAGCTGAATTTGCCCACAAAGTAGCCCAGAATGACGCCCATCACTACCTTGGGCACGGCCCCGTATTTGCCATGTCCTTGCAGATACCCGTTTTTGACCCCAAAGTAGGCCAACAGACCAAGACCAGTGCCGAAAGGCAGACTCCGCTGGAAAAACGATTCCGTATTGCACTCACGTAACGCCTTCACTTCCTCCGCGGAGAACTGATAGTCCGCCTGAAAAAGGTGTAAGCACAGTTGAAGTACAGTTGAGAAGGACCTTCGCGCACTTACCAGTGGGTGGGGGGAGTGTTGTGGAGGTCGCTGCGAGCCATCGTTAAACGGCGAGTCCATGTTGACACAATTTAACCCGGAATTTGTGAAATATGTACGGACCACCGGCAGACGATTTGCCAGCCCTGGTCGCCGACGAAACAGCCCTGTGTTTACTCCACTGCTAGTGATGGTCGTTTTAGCTTTGGTTTAAATATTAAAGAGTCGTGTAAATAGTCCATGGTTTATGTTACATATTTTAGCTCAAAAATTGATGATAATAAGGCTTCTTAAAAGGAACACGCAAGAAAAAAAAACCTTAGTTTCAAGTTCGTTGTCTTTCGAACAAAGTAGACTTGCATCATTTTGTAAAATTTTTTAATATATTTTCATATCAGAATTTTTTTATATGTTTTCAATTATGCCAAGAAATTATTGAAGGTATTGTCCTCTAAATCCTTTGCAACGATTTATGACGTGTCCAAAGTGTATAGTTTATTTTAGAGAAAACCTTGTTCCAGTCAACCAAAACAAAACATAATCGACAAGCATTGACTGAGCCACTGGCAGTTTTGAAGTAACACACAAAATTGAGAATCGAATCAAGCCGAAAGTCAAAGTCATCACTCCAGTTAAGCTTTTCAAAATTGTCCGTCAGAACCCGTAAGAACGCGTGCCGAGGGTGGAAAGTTGCGCACCACTAGATCCAGGGATGCACCGCGCACAACGCGACGAGATTATGACATTTTCGCTGTCAAGTAAAGTTACAGCTGTGTCGTCTGCTGGCCGCGATCCTGAGCCTGTTATTGTAATTAACTAAAATTTGTACTTTTGGCAATGTTCTCCACCACCACACACTCCGTGGTAAGTGCCGCCTGCGGCATCCCATTGATCCGCCCACCTAACTGCCCTCTCTCTCTCTGTTTTACTCTCCACTCACCTGCTTGGAATCGGATGCGATGACAGCCCTACCTGTACCTAGGCAACTTCAGCAGAAAGCCACACTACTACTCCGTTAACCGGACCAAGCTCCACGGGAGCGCGAATGCGACGCGCCTCGCGAAGTCCGCCCGGAGTCATGACCTCGTGCTGGACCTTAGGAACCTGCTCAGTCGCTCGGGCGCCAGCTTACATGGCATGGTGGAGAGGGCGGCGCGACTGAACGGCATCCTCGACCGGCAGCTGGTAAACGATGTACTGGCCAAGGTGACCAGTATGCTGCCCGCCATGCGGGACGTCCGCGTCACGCTAGTGGAGCCTTCCACACCGATCGGTCGCGCCCAGCTGCAAAATTATCAGTTCGAAGTTTCGCTTACCGGAGCAGTAGGTGACCAGCCCATGGGCGCTAATGTGTACGTGCATATACCGTTAATAACTTCTAAAGGCTCTAGTTGATAATTTTCGTACTTCTAGCAAGTTGATTCCAACCAAAACGCCAGGTCTTCTTCGTCCGCTTTTCTCCCAACAACAGCTGTGAGTGTACGGAACTAATTTACGAATTTTGGCTGAACTCTACTCTCGCTTATAGTAAACACATACGTGGCTTTAAGACGGATCGCTCCATCGAGGCGGAACAAAAGCGCAATCCAACAATGACTTCCCGTCTGAAGAACGCGCTGGCCAATCCACCGCAGCGCCTAGACGGAGACACACCCTTCCAGGCTGAAAAGCTGAGACGGCTGCTGGCCAAGTCCGATGACCATGGATACAATAATTCGGTACGCTTGCAGTACGACAAACTTACTAGCTGTACTGATTATTTTTTCTCCTAGGAGAACCTAAAAATTGCCTTTGCCGAGGGCTACTTGGCGGCCGCCAACGCCGAAGACTCTCCAAAATCAGGAAAAACAATGAAGTATCTGAAGGTACGATTTCTTTTTCAATTTAAGTAAGTTCTTTGAACTTGCAAGGCTATAGAAGACTTTTGTCTTCGGTTTTTTGAGTAAATCCTAGTTATTGTCACTCAGACTTTACAGACTCTCGTCGTAATCGTCGTTTTCCTGGGAATATTCCTGAGCTTCTTCACCACCTCCAACGGATCCGTCTTTCGGTGAGCCTCAACGTCAATTTTATTGCTCCTGGCCTGATTTGCCTTTCTTTCAGCAGCATCCAGCTGGGCAACCAGGTGGAGGTAGATCCGGAGGAGATCAACGTCACTTTTGAAGATGTCAAGGGCTGCGACGAGGCCAAGCAGGAGCTGAAGGAGGTGGTCGAGTTCCTGAAGAGCCCCGAGAAGTTCTCCAATTTGGGTGGCAAGCTTCCAAAGGGCGTGCTCCTGGTCGGCCCCCCGGGCACTGGCAAAACCCTGCTGGCCCGTGCTGTCGCCGGTGAGGCCAAAGTTCCTTTCTTCCATGCCGCTGGACCGGAGTTCGATGAAGTGCTCGTAGGCCAGGGCGCCAGACGAGTGAGAGACTTGTTTAGTAAGTGGATCTTTGTCTCCCTGAAAACTCAACTCATCCTGAATACTATTTTACAGAGGCGGCAAAGGCCCGCGCCCCGTGTGTAATCTTCATCGACGAAATCGACTCGGTGGGCGCCAAGCGAACAAACTCCGTGCTGCATCCATATGCAAATCAAACCATCAATCAGCTGCTCTCCGAAATGGATGGCTTCCATCAAAACGCCGGCGTTATCGTTCTGGGCGCCACCAACCGTCGCGACGATTTAGACCAAGCTCTGCTGCGACCCGGTCGCTTTGACGTGGAGGTTATGGTGTCCACGCCCGATTTCACCGGCCGCAAGGAAATCCTTTCCCTGTATCTGACAAAAATTCTGCATGACGAAATCGATCTGGATTTACTGGCGCGAGGCACGTCCGGATTTACGGGAGCAGATCTGGAAAACATGATCAACCAGGCGGCGTTAAGGTGAACAATCATTTTCTTTTAAACCTATTTCACCATCAAACAACTAGAAGTAATTTAATTTATGTATACGAGACAAGCAGACTTGTTTTTTAATTTTTGCAGCTTATTATTTGATTATTTGAATGCTTGTTTTCAAGGGCGATACTAATGGTATTTCTGTAATTTACAAATGAACACAGGGCCGCCATCGACGGAGCCGAAACAGTAAGCATGAAGCATTTGGAAACGGCTCGAGACAAGGTACTTATGGGCCCCGAGCGAAAAGCTCGTTTGCCAGACGAGGAGGCCAACACCATAACCGCTTACCACGAGGGCGGCCACGCAATTGTGGCCTTTTACACCAAGGAGTCGCATCCGCTGCACAAGGTGACCATCATGCCCCGCGGACCGTCCCTAGGCCACACCGCTTACATACCTGAGAAGGAGCGTTACCACGTCACAAAGGCACAGCTGCTGGCCATGATGGACACGATGATGGGCGGCCGTGCTGCCGAGGAGCTTGTATTCGGAGTGGAAAAAATAACATCGGGAGCCAGCAGCGATCTCAAGCAGGCCACCTCGATTGCCACGCACATGGTGAGGGATTGGGGCATGTCGGACAAAGTGGGTCTTCGCACGATTGAGGCGTCAAAGGGCCTGGGCACCGGCGACACCCTTGGACCCAACACCATCGAGGCCGTGGACGCGGAGATCAAACGCATCCTCAGCGACAGCTACGAACGGGCGAAGGCCATATTGAGGAAACACACCAAGGAGCACAAGGCGCTGGCGGAGGCGCTGCTCAAGTACGAGACGCTGGATGCTGACGACATCAAGGCAATACTGAACGAAAGCCAAACGTAGTTTCCCATCGGTGTGGATTGGCGGAGTTTAAGGATCCAGAGGGAAGGCCAGGGGTGGTCTTCCATCGGACATTCAGCTGAACTGCAAAATATTTTTTAGTTACAATATATACAATACAAAAAAAAAAACAGAAAGAGCCATGCAAGAGCGAGACGCAGACGGACAGTTAAGAAATAAAATGTTACACATATTTAGTTATGTTTTCCATCATCCCACGTTAGTATTAAATATTAGTTTGAGTAATAAATCAAATTGAAGTCGAACCCACTTAAATTTTGCGCCATACAAAAAATGTGACCAGATTTTGGAACTTTAAAATGTTTATTGAAAACATCAGATTGTAAAATAGCCAAAAGGCAACAATATGCAAATTTAAAATCTGTTTAAATTCTAATTTTTCTCAAAAATATTGTTTTTTTCAATATTTAAATCCGAAAATAAAATCGAATTTTTATTTGATATTCAAGATTTTGTGGAATCCATTCCCCGTGGGTGTTATCAAAACTGGGGAACTCAGTTCATAAAAGTTGATCATCCGACACTGTGGAATCCATTTGTGTTAAGAGAATTGAAATTTGGTATTTTAGTAACACATAAATGGTATGTTTCGGGGATTACGTGGTTTATTTAAACGGCAGAGGTGCGGTCACACTGCTTAATTGTCGAATTCCAATTCATGTTTTATTTTTTGCCAAATAAATTGTCATAATATTCAGAGAAAATGTGCGACTACAAGATTTCGGAGCGAGCCTACACCAAGTTGATATTCCACGCCGCCAAGTATCCGCACCAGGCGGTCAACGGACTGTTGCTAGCCGAGAAGAGCTCGAAGGGCTCCCTGGTGGAAATCGTGGATGCGATTCCGCTTTTTCATCAGTGTCTGCATGTCACCCCCATGGCAGAAGTTGCCCTAATGCAGGTAATTGCCAATTGCCGGCTCCAAAAGTACCAGTGAACAGTGAACTCTAATCCGGTCAGGGATGGTTATGTTTAGTAGTAGCACAACCTATGTAGTTGCATAGCTAATTATCTCTTAGAATTATCTAGGTCCCCGTACTCAAGGGTAGTATGGTGTGATTTAGTTTTACCTTTTGTAATCCATTTCAAAGCAAAATATGGAAGCTTATACCTGCATAATAAATTGTAAGATCCATTTAAAACAATTACCTGTTACATTTTTTTGTTTACATTTGTTGACTTACCTTTATGTATATTGCATAGAAATTATTTTTATTAATTTATGAGACATTGAGCCAAAAAGTTGAAAGTTAAAATATTATGCGTGTGTATTTTAAATGTACCTTGTACCCCATCGCAGAGCAACAATATTATCAATATTTTGCATACTTTTATTAATTTTAATCCTAATATTATATCTTATACCTTCAAATTTTTTGTGTTATATCTTAGAATTTTAATATTTTTTGTGTTATATCTTAAAATTTTATTAAAATTATAATTTCAAATTGAAAAACTGTTTTTCCAAGTTTTATAACTTCGTGACAAATTTAAAAAAAAAATTAAAAAATTATGTTTTATAAATACTTTAAAGAAACCGAATTCATGTTTTTAAGTTAGTTAATTTAAAAAGTATAAGCCCTTCGTTCCACCAATAAGTAGTGTCTTCTTAAACGTATTCTATTCAATAATTACAAGAAAAAAAAATATTTATTTTTTTTTGAGAAACCCATGTAATCCCTTTAATTATTTTGTACTTTATCCAAAGTTTACCGAGTGTATCCAGAAATTTATTTCAAATTTTTAAACCTAAAGCAAACAATTTTTAAACTTTTATTTTATTATGTCGAACTAATTCAACTGACTATTTGTATAAGGAGGCAAAAAATGTTTCAAAGAAGACATTGTGAATTGTGAAATTAATTGTCGAAACTAATCATTTTTTATATGCACCACTTTGATAATATCATCCTACCCTTTTCTCCTTTCAGATCGATGCATACGCCGAGCGCGAGGGACTGGTGATCGGCGGCTACTATAGTGCGCCGGAGAACTTCTACGACAATCAGATCGACAAGACCCCCGCCGCCAAAATTGCGGACAAGATTCAGGAGAACTTCAAGAACGCCTGCTTCGCGGTGGTGGACAACAAGTTGATGACGCTGCAGCACGACCGTGCCGCCATCCAGGTGTTCAGCTGCGCTGGAGACTCTGGCGCCCGCTGGTCGAAGGCCAAGTTCACGCTGTCGCAGGCGTCGCAAACGTTGGAGGGCGTGTCGCTGCTGCTGAAACGCGGTGCCATGCGCGACCTGGTCGACTTTGATAACCATCTGGACAGCCCGGAGAACGACTGGACCAACGACTTCCTGAACCAGTCGCTCAACGACCTGCAGAAACTGTACTAGTCGCCTGTTTTTAACGTACGTTTGTTTTAGTCTAGCAAATTCGCATTCAAGGGAACACGCCGAAATTTCAACCTTGCAATTTAGTTTATTGTAATTACATTTGGATTTCAGTAATCTTTAGAATAATGCATATAAGTTAAATAACATTCAACTAATTAATAAATAATCAATTCTTTCATCATGTATGAGTCGAGAGTTGTCCACAGTCCGGGTCCGTCCGTTGGTGTATATATGTAATATAATAAGTAAGTCCCGTCCCGTCGCGTTCCGTTCCGTTCTGTTTTTGTGTGTTTTGAGTTAACCTAAGCGCGTTACAATTATCGTTAATAAATACAGATGAATAATATGTATATAATTTTGCTCTTTGTTTGTCTGGCTTGTAAATTGAAATATTTTACAATAATATTGTAATATCGCGATTGCTGATTATACATAGGTATACATAATACGTACTTATGTGGATATATCGGAGATCGAAAGTATCGCAAAAACGTTTGTTTATACTTGTATAATTTCAGTGTATTGTATATTTTCATATTATCTGATCGAACGCATAACGAACTCTTTACACCGTACACTAAATGTATAGGGGAACGGGATTGCGGATTTCGGATCTCGGATCTCCAACTGGATGCCATCCTGCGCACTTTACTCATACATATATATTTGATTTGACATTTATTTGCTTTATGCTTCTGTAGTTCTGTATATGGGGAGTATGCTTTCGTGTATAATATCATTTGCAGTGTTGAGTTATGTATTTGCTGGATAGATTTCACCCGATGTCCGCTGGAAGGGATGGGCAGGTGTGGGTGTGGTCGTGGTTGAGGGCGTGGGCGAGGTCATGTCATGGGAATCTTTTCTACGTGGGGCGCCTTTTGATTATATCCTAGCTATACAATAGCGCCTGAACACGCAAGCATAATCAGTATGTAAGAGTATGAGGCATATTTTGCTCGGACTCTGTCCACATCGTGATACATATGGGTTGGTGTGTCTTGTGTTCCGTCATCACATGCTATGTTAGTTGATCTATAAGAATGCAATAGAGAGGTTATGAGTCAGTGGATTGCAGACAGCAAATGGGGAGTGAAGAACACCCAAACGGAAGATGGATTGCAATTTTGGAAAAGTCTAATAATGTACGATTTTACATGGGCGTGTGCGACTATCTCTGGGGGGCATGAGTATGTTATCTCTGAGCAGGAGGTGTCGTGGGTGCTGCGGATCAGGAGGTTTCTGTGTGTGCTTGGGATCGTATCTAGAGTTGGCCACCTCCGATATTTACCATTCCCGCGGACAGAGAGTTGATGGCATCTTCCACCGTCGGCTTGTGTCGATCGATTTTAGATGAGTTTATGGGCGAGAAGTTGTCTACGATTGCAAGCGTGAACGAATACACATATACAGATAGATATAGAAACACAAAAAGCGATTTCAAAGCAAATCTCAAGTGCCAATTACCGAGATCACCACTCGAACTGGAGTCCGTAAAACTGGGTGTGCCCTCTGTCCATGTGGGAGTGGAGCCCTCACCTGAAGCGGGCGGTGTCCAGGCCAATCCGCCGCGGGACCCGTACTGGCTGCTCGACGAGGTGTCCACCGCCAGCAGTGTATCCAGATGAACCTCGGAGACGCTAAAGTTAAAAACGACAAATATATCAAAAGGGGTCACTCTTAATTTTAGATTCTAAAGTACTGTTAATAGAGTACAATTTGGGTAGAGTGTTGATCAGGGAACTAAGCGATCTGTGACTTTATTCAAAAGAACTAAATGTTAAACAAGTTACAACTTTAGAGGGGAGAATAACTGCAGTTTTAATTGAAAGTGTAAATTATGAGCACCATAAATTTTATAAATTATTTATAAAATTCCCAAAAATCATACTAAGTCAGGTATTCGTTTATACATCTTAAAAACAGTCTTACCTCACGATGTCCTCCTTGTAGGAACCTCGATAGGCGGGTCCAATGTTCATCTTGCGATCCAGGTAGTAAGATTGCTGATGCTGATGCTGCTGCGACTGCTGGTGATGGTGGTGATGATGATGGGACCGGCGCCCCATCGACGAGGTGCTGTTCTTGTTCGAGCTGTCCTCGGAGATGTCGTCAAAGGCGGGGGGAGGAGTCGAGCTGCATGAGGGCGTTGTGCCTAGCAATACAATGGTTAGAGCAGAACATACAACGGAATGAGTGGCAGAAGTACACAGTAGTAAAAGTCTAGTATAACTCTAATATAGGGTAATGGCATTGTGTGGTTGGAAAAGCGTGGTGCAAGCGAGGAGCTACTCCCGTCCCAGTCCGCGTCCCGTCGATCCCAAAGTGCCCTCGCTCTCGGGTATCGTGGAAGGCGCTGACTTGGGCGCCCGTCTCTTTGTCCGTCTCGTCTGCTGTGGAGGAGGAGGAGCCATGGCCAGCTGCTCTGCTTCTGGCGGAGGATCGGTGAGCTTGGGCAGCGGCCTTTTGGGGCGATATGTCGCCTCCAGCTCGCGCTTCACCTCCAGAAACGCACTGACCGACTGCAGCAGGTTGTCCTCCTCCAGTTGGTTGTCGCAATCATCGCCAACGAGTGCCATGTCCACGTAGTGAAAGTAGCGCTTCCGTCTCTGCTGCCGCTCCAGCTTCTCCTGAACTCCACGCCTTGGTGAACGGTGGCTGGGAATACTGCCCGAGGAACGGGAGCGTCCGGAACGATAGCTCTCCGCTCTGATAGGCGGAAAGTTCCGAACAATGGAGCCCACTGAAGATCGATCGCTGCGCGCCACGAAGCTGTTCTGCCGCTGAAAAATGTCCACGTGGTTAAGCAGTCGAGGCGGTTGCCGCCGGAAACTGCTCTCCGATCGAGCCGTGGAGTAGGCGGAGTGCAGCGAGTCCCGGCGCCTCAGCGAGGAACTCCTGAGCAGCGCAACTGTAGGATCGGGCGGAGGAGCAGTCGGAGCTCGCAGGCCATTATCTGGACCATCGAAAAGATCATGGAGCTCCAGCCAATCCTGGACGTTGCTGGGCGAACGACGATCTCCGAAGCGAGGCATTGCCTCGCTCGTTGGCACCTGGAGGGTGTGGGTGTGTGCTGGTGCCGTATTGGGATTAGTGGTGTGCTTCTCTTGCTTTGTACCTGGTGTCGTCCGATCATGGGCATCCTTGCGCCGCGGCGAACCACGCGGTGGCACTGGCGGTGGCACCCGTGTCTTCAGGTTGCTGGCCGCCGGAGTCCGCTGCTTGACGGGCGGAGGTGCCCGCTCGCTGGTGGCACTGCCGCTAGCTGGACCAAGGGCAGCTGCTCCTCCTACGGCTCCACCTGCCGCTCCCGCTGGCGTTGGCTCGGTGGTGGGCGGCTTTGCTGGCTGGTGAATCTTGCCACTACTGTGCGAGTGCGAGGCGTGAACCGCTGAGGAAATAAAACATCATTAACACATTGTCCATCTTATGGTTAAAGGTGTAAACACAACGCGAATTCTTAAGCATAAAATAGTCAAAAGTAACCATGAAAAATCGAAATTAAGGGACATTTTCAGTCGTTTAGGTTTAGGTAAACTATATGTTAGACGGTCACAACTTATAACTAATATATTATATTCTCATGAGCTACACTTACGCCTCGTGGCCACCTCGTTGTCGCTGTCGATGGAGCGCTGAATGGCCTTGGAAAGGCTTTTTCTCTTCGATGGCGAATGCTTAAGCGCTGCAAAAACCAGTCAAAATCGGGAATTAGTTAGAGGTTGCTTCAAGAAGTCGCAATAGGAAAATAAGGTTCAAAAAGCATAGCACTCCCAAAGCAACTATGCGAAGAAGCCAAGAGCAATACGGTTGCCAGGATGCCAAGGATGCCAGGGATGTGAGGGCAACTAACGTGAGATTGCTAGGCATGCTTTGGCGTCCGTTTCGAAATCATATTAAACCAAGGGGTGAATACAAAACATTGTTATTAAACTTCATTTAATACATTAAATACTCATTAAAGAAGGTGTAAGTAAACTTTAAGTGAGAGATAATCAAAAAATAAGAGACATCGATCATTAGATTGTTTACCTATGTAGCTGGTTACCAAGGTACGAAATTTTCTGTGATTCCCTTTGATCTCTGGGAGATCCACTATATGCGTAACGTAAGTGTGGGGTGATTGCATTCGAGACATGGTCAAAAAGAAAGCAGAGAACAGAGCGGTTGGTGGTAATTGAATGTCGATGTCAAGAGATCTCTTCGGATCGGCGTCTACTCAGGCCAAGTGTACCATATTGCATTTTTGCTGCACATCAATCGATCAACCAAAATTAGCAAGCTACGAGTGTCTAATGGTGTTCGGTGTGTGGAATGTAAACGGTGTGTTTTGTGTGTGATTTTGGCTAAGTATCTACGCAAAAATGTCTGGAACCGGAACTGAGTGCTTGCATAACTCGGCCAACTGCACACAAAAATGCCTTACAGTACGAGTACTTAGCCCGACTTCCACGCCCACCCCACTTACGGGAGGGTATCTTGCGGAACACGGTCTTGGCCATAAAGTTTTGGAATCTTTGAGCATAGAACGAGGGCCGGCAGACCGATACGGTTTCCTGAAAGAAACGACAGATGGTGATATCAGTTATGGATTAGTTTTGTTATTAATTCTGATCTAATGATTCTGATTCTAATTCTAATCTTACCCCATCGTGTATGATGCTTTTGAAAGTGTGCTCCAGTTTCTTTTTCAGCCTGTAGGATTGCAGAATGTCGATGATTCCAATGTAGAGCAACAGGCGCTCGCCTTTCTCACTCCTCGCTGGAATACCCCCAGGTCTAGATCCGGGTCGAATGGGATTCCATTAGCTTCCAAGAAAATGTCAAGGGAAAAGAATAAAACTCACGGCACATCCTCCTCATCGTCGATGGGTTCACTCTCCGCCTGAATGCTCTCCATGGCCGTGGAGTGGGCCACTAAACGCTGACGATTGACGGACCTGTATGCCGCACTGGGTTAGCTCTTTAGATTGCTTCCGTTATGGTCGGAGATGTGCTGAGATACTCACTTGTTTCTACTTATGCCCGTGGCCGCATCGCGATCCTTGCCGTCGCCATCCAGGGCGTCCAGCGGATCGTCCCCATCCACGTCGGAGTCCTCGGCCAGCGGAGCTCTCAGCGGTTTCCGTTGCTCGCTCTGCTTCTCCCTGAGCGCAATGTCCAGGTTGTGGACGCCGAGGAGCAGGGAATAGTCCATGATCTTGAAGGACTCCAGCACCGTACAGTCGCGCTGAATGGTCTTGATCAGCGCGGAGTAGGTCTCGGCCTCCAGGAAAATGCCGTTCGGATGCTGCTCCATGAAGTCGAGGTCCTTATACGTGGGCGACTTCTTGGCGCGCTCCGCCTTGTTGGCCTTGCGCTTGAACGTGGAGCCCTTCAAGTCGTACTTCAGGTGCATTCTTACGGATGAGGGCAGCAGATTGTTCATGACCACCAGGCGAATGTTTTTGGCGTTGCTCGTCTGCAGGCAGTACAATCCGAAGAACTTTGGCAATAGCGTGCGCGGATTTTGATTTAGATTCATGTAGTAACTGCAATGGGGATATTTTTTTTGTAAATCCATCTAGTAATAATTGCTAAAGCCACCCACCCAGGCAGTAGTTTCTGTAAGAATTCGCCCTCTTTGTGTTGCACCGTCTTGATAATGAACTCGTCGTCGGTCGTCAGGTAGAATATAGAGCCGGAAGCACCAGGATTGGACAGTTCCCGCAATGGGGACGTACACATGGACATCTGCAAAGTTTATCAATTAGAAGCTGCTAGTTTAAAAAATGATAGTTTACTTACCATAAAATCATCTGGCTGGATGCCGAACAGATCCCGAAAGTAGCGAAAAGCGATGGGCGCGTATATCTTGTATCTGAACTCGCTGTAGTGGTGGGCAGGTGTAAGGCTAGAACCCTCTGGCGGAAAGGTGATGCTCTCGATTTCCCAGAAGTCCATCATAAGTAGATCACGCTTGGGCTTCGAGGCTAGACTGCCGACCTGCAGGGTATATATTGATTAATTAATCAATTGAGGTGTAAATCAATAGTCAGTGCCAACAACAAATTTAAAATGGGGTTTTAAAAGGTCTGGGAAAATGTGAAGGACTTTGGTGGTATGTACTGGAAATACATTTGCAAACAAATTCCTATAAGTCTTTAAAGTTTTTAGGTATTTTATGGCAACTCCGTTTTTCTAATAAACTACTAATTTAAGGCTTAAAAGGCTCTCATAAAAAATATATTATATATATTATATTATATTTTATATAAATATAAAACAGATTCAATGAACTTATTTATGGTGTAATGGTCTTAATAGCCTATACATAAATACATCAATCAAAGTTTGTTTGCTTGTTTTTAACTTTCTCTGTATTTTAAACGTAAAAGAATCTATAATTTTACGGCCTTTAGGAGCAGATGCCATAAAAACAATATTTCAAAAATCAGGAAATGAACACATATGTATTTTATATTTTTGGGTCAACAAATCTGAAAAGGTACCTTAAAGTATGCTGACAAAACTAAAACTTAGACACTTGCCATTATTTTACAGAATTGCCTTATACTTTTGTACCTCTACATATTTGTGATACACCAAATAGAAAACATATCTTACAGTGTGCTGGATTCCCAGTTGAATGGAGCCCATGATCTGCGACGTCTGTATCTTCTTGTATGTGATCTCGCCGCCCTCGCCGACGCGTCTGTGGCCAATCTTGCGCTCCTTGTCCGCCTTGCTGGCCGCTCGCATCGGTCGGTTGCCCAGCTGGTCGATTGGAGGGAAATTAGTTGACCCGATTAGTTTGGATCGGAGTGACCTCGAGGCCACGGCGGAAGTACTTACGTCGGGCGATGAGTTTCCCACATGGTCGGTGGAGGCTAAAGGAAGAGCGGACAGAGTTTATTATTAGGAGTCATGTTTTATTCAGGCCATGACGCAGTCAGGCAATCACCGCAACTTGAACTTGGACGGGCCCCGACTTTCTTTTGTTATCAATCCGTTACGAAAATATAAATAAAAATAAGAGCCGATGGAAGTCCGTTGTCTGTCAAGTGCGGGGGTGGATTCACATTCACGCTTCTTCCCTTCACGCGAGACACATGCGCCAGGGGCACTTCCATTCGCCATTCGCCTTTCGCCTTTCACCAGTCATTGATTTTTTTTTCGGGCACTGGGGAAAATAAGGCGACTGGGGGTGATAGTTACCATTGCTGGGCTCCGCCAGTTTGGCCTGCGACGCCGAGGAGCTGTCCATGTCGATGGTGTTGATGGTGTCGCCATCGCCGGAGGCCATCGTGCTCCTGCTCCAGGTGTCCTGCTCTCTGCGTTCCCGTCGAGGGCTTCACTAGGACATGCTGTCTGGCAGGGACTTTGAGCTATTTCGGCGCTGTTCCCACGTTTCGCTATCTGCGGGGATTATCCAATCAATTGGGCTAACTGGGGGGCAGGAACCTTGGCTCTCGTCTGGCGCTGGCGTCAACGCTTTAGCTGTCTGCTGTCTGATGTGTTGATGGCTCCTCTGCCACTGCTGTCATTTTCACTGCATACTCATAGGCCCACTGGAAGGCCTGGAAGGTCGGCCGTGCTGGAAGGGTGTGCGCAGGAGCGAGCGCAGGGTTGCATTCACAATAACATTTGAATGCGGAGCATCCGCACTGTTTACAGGCCCGCGCAAAATAAAAATTGTATCCTTACTTCCATTTCTAAATATGATTTAAAAATAATAATATCAAAATAATAATATTAATCAGTTTTACTCGTTAAATCATTGCTTTTTTTGGTTTCAATACTCAAGAACCATTAATATTTGTATGCTTAACGCAAAGTTAAAATAAATAAATCTGATAAAAATGCCTTTATTAGATACTTGTTGCTGAAAACCCATTTGTTAACTCTAGTTATATTACATTCCGATTTTATAAAAGAAGTATTCTTGTGGCTGAAGTTTTAGGGAACTTATTTTTATTTTAATTTATCAACTCTTTACTGAATTTATTGGTTTCAGCAATAAAAAAAAATCGTCTAGATACAACAGTACAATTGTACATACACATTTTTAGAAACCAACTAAAATAGACTTGTAATAGTAAACCGATCGGTTTGTTTTGGTAAACATTTTAAAATTGTTTAACCCAAGTCTTTGCTGAAAGAAATCAGTTGTCCACTTTTTTTCATTTTAATCAAGCCCCTAATGCCAGAAAACTACAAGAATTTTATATTAGTTAGTCCTACAGTGATTTATTTATTAAGTTATTTTTGTTTGGACTTGAATTCCTAATTTTACACTTAAAATACAATTTTAAAATTTTAATTTATTTGCAAAGAAAAAACGACGAAGGCGGTTGGTTTAATGCACTTTTACTGTTTCATTTTTGTTTTATTAGCGTTTCAGTACTCAATTAGACCTATACATCATAGATAACTATATAATATATATATTTTATTTATGTGGTAAATATATGAATACAAGAATTTCTTGTTATATGAGTTGCTGTTGTCTTATCGTTCTTGTTTTTATGGGTTCGTTTGCTTTCGCATTGTGGTGTTTGTTTTGTGTTTCGTTTTTCTTACAATTACATGCATGTACAATATAAGCGCTTTTTTAAAAATATCGCAAAAAATTACGTTTATCCGTTAAAAGTCTATTAAAAATTAGAGATTATCAAAATTTCTAGATCAAACTTAAGAACAAGTATAGCCTACATCGAAGGACACTACCGAACTAACTGCTTAGAGCTAAGGATGCTATGGACATTACTACGGCGACCGTTGTCCATTTGCGTTGTATAGTTGAGGCCTTATCTGTAAAAAGTATAAGTATAATTATTAATTTGTTTGTTTTTATAGAATTTTTTAAAAGGGGTTGCCTGATTGCCAAATTCACGAATTCAGAGACAATAAGACCTAACTATTTTGTATTTAACAAAAAGAAGTTAAGAGATGTTTAAAATCTTACAATCACACAAGAAACGCCTTCAAGTTCTTTCTTTTATATAAATAAAATTAGAAAATATCTTAAAATTATTTTAACAAAACTAAAATAAATAGTAATACACCAAAAAGTCTTTTAAGTTTAAAGATTTTAGCTTCTTTGTGAAGTTTAACAATTACCACATAAAAAATACGAATTAATTTTGGAATTCTTTAGTCTTACCACGAAAGGTCGCCAAACAAGCTATCTATAAACTCTGTTTTTCTTTAATTCACAGGTAATTTTATCAACCTTCTAGCAAGGGGTAAAGCATAGTTAACTTATATTTTGCAGCCCCTGCTTACCTGTACTTACCATAGAAAATAGTCTCCCGGCGTTTGGTGTAGTTGGTGCCAATTAAAATGAACGCACAGGTGATCGGGGTGGGGGACTCGAGTTGATCTCTAGGAATGCGGGTGCGTACGGTCATGCTGTAGAGGCCACTGGGGTCTTGGTCCAACTGCGTAAGCACCGAGTCCAGTATGTGGGTGTCAAACCTGCGGATGGAGTGTTGAAGTCCAGGGGCTATTCAATTTCACCGGCCACAATGGCCGTGCTCATCTTACATGACCGACAGCATGGGTTGCGGGAAGACGTGCTGGACTGCACACATTACGTCCACATCCAGACGAGAGCCGCTCATCCGCGCTTCCAGCATGAAATCCGACTCAGGAACTATGAGTGTGGGATTGGTTGTGGGCCGGGCCGGCAGACAGGAGCCAAAAAACAAAAGGTCGTGAGAATTAATCAAGTGTCAAACTAAACAACGAAACAAAACAAAGCAAAACAAAACAAAACTGTGTTCCAAAGAAAAGCACAAAACAGCACAAACAAGCGACGGTTCCGGACACCGCAGAGACTGCCACATGACACGCATGCAAATATGAAAGCGAATCACACGTGCCCAGCCGACAGGGCCCAACACACCTGCACCGGAAGAAAAAGAGTCAACCCCCGACTCGAGTGGATTGAACTCAATTGGGCATGCCTAAGCTCGACCAATCAAAGCTGAACCATTGACCTATAACACCTGAAACACAATCGAAAACTATCCTACACTGTGATTCTTGACTAATAAATTCAAAATGCTGCATAAAAGGTGATGGTACTAAGGGAACTTTAAATTCTTGAAGTGTCTATTACTTGAATAACATGAAAATATAAAATTGTAAAGGTGTTCGCTTTAAATGTGGTTTTATTTGTCATGTCATGTCATGTCATTGATTAAGATAACACTCTATCGTTCCGTTAGGCGTTAAGTTGTTCTTTAATTCTACTACCACTACTGCAAGTAAAAATTATAAAAGAACATTAAAAATTATTATGGTAAAATGGGAATTAGAAAATAAGTACCCTACAAGTTATATGTTGAGCCCATTCATAATGACTGCTTTTTAATGACATGAAAAAAAGGGGACTTAACTGCTGCAAAAGACTAATGGAAGAAAATAATAAAAGGGAGCTTGCTTATGAAACGCTTCCTTGACTTCTGTAAATGGCCTTAGAGTACATAAATCATAATTTTGTCTCCCCGTGTAAACACCGACCCAAACACCTATGCAAACACCAGTTCCCCAGTCAAGATGGGGGAGGGCAAGTGGGCCGGTCGGCAGTTGAGCAGTTGAGAAGGTGAGCAGTTGAGGAGGTGGGCAGGTCACCCTCTGGAGACACCACCTTAGACCTCGTCAATCTCCCACCCTTGGCAGCACATCTTTCACCGCCGATCCTTTCCGCTGCGGTCGTGACACCCACCGATTATTTGCAAGCGGGCACTCCGCTTATCCGTAGACTCGAAGGTCTGCACCGCACACGTATACTCCCCCGTCATGTTCCAGTTGGGATTCTTTATCGATATAACACCGGGACTGCTTTCCATACTAAATATTTTGGTGTCTATCTTCGACTTCATGAAGCCCTACAATCGCAAGAACAAGACAAAGGCAAAGACAAACACACGGCTCGATTAATATGTTAATTAATTTGCTGCCCCCGATGGCTGACTCACCATGGCGAACCCTTTGACCGAGGGTATCCATTGGTAGATGGAGTGGTTGTTGAACAGCCACTTGAGGACGAATCCCTGCTCCCGCGGCCCGATCTCCACCTCGCAGTCGAGGACCAGAGGATCGGGTTCGTGGTCACGCAACAGCGTGTAGGTGCGCGGCACCCTCAGCTTGGTGATCCGCACGGAGTGGGTTACTGTGGGGGATTTTGGGGGTAATTTAGGGATATAATGGGTAAATTCCTGGGAAGATCTTACCCGAGAGTAGGGTCAGCACCGCCAACAGGGTGGCACACAGCCCGCGCCCTCGCCCTCGCCAGCCCGCCATGAGGGCTGTCTACTTGGCGACCTGGTCCACGTCCGTCTCTGCCGGAAACTGCGGTTCCTGCTCCGCCGGTTCGCTAAGGCCAATTCAACCGTCTCCGTTGTGCGTTGTGCTCTTATTACCTATCTGGTTGGTCGGATGTTTATGCTTATCTTGGTTTTACGGGTTTAAATGGAGACATGGGGGCCTTTGGTCGCACTCATTATCACCAATCTCATCACAGCAGCAGCAGCATCAGGGGGATGGCTTTTTCTCCTGGGGATACGGGCACTGAATGGTACAAAACTTTTCTCGCCTCGATGAGCTCAGCACCTGGGCCGCAGCATCTCCGCGGCAAAATTGCAGGACATCTCGCTCTGCCAATTGCAACTATTGCAATCTCATTTTATGACCCGGGCCATTTAAAGTTTTGCCCACATACAGCACTTTTTGTTAGCGAAAAATCGACTTTCTGCAGCCATATATATACGTGCGATAGTGTCTGCTGTTGGGTATGTGCAAATGGAGTCCGCGGGGGCGAACTGTGCCAAAAAGGAGTTCGTACTCTCGGCGTAGCGCGTGAGTTCTGCCGTTCTGTCGGATACCAATAGTTAGTGTTGGTATCTTCTACGGCACACTGTTGTCCCGCTTCCAAGCGCAGCTTTTAATGTTTTAACACTGGAAGCCAACGACGCGTCCCGAGAGTCGAGCTTTTTTGGTAGCGCTTCATTGGGCTATTTAACCGACCCCCTTCGTCCTTCAAAACAAATCAGCTGAGCGCCGTTCAATGCGCAGGCGCTAAAGCTGAACTGATTTCCAAGCACTGTTGCCACATTTTGTTGGGATTTTGAGCGCTAAATTCGAATTCGCACATGAAACAAAAAACAACATGTTTTCCACATAAGACTGGAAAATAGTGTTTTTAGTGAAGAACAATGGATATTTAATAATGTTAGACTTATAGTATCTTATCTGTATTACTCTACATTTTGTTAGTATTGAAAGTAAAAATTTAATGTTTTGATTTAAGATACCTTCGAGAGAGGAATCTATTTCGTTGGGACGGATATATGGCATTCTTTCTATGATATTTCATAAAAAAAACAAATTTATTGGCCGTATTCAAGGCATTTGATTTGGTGAACAAGCTTATCAAAATAAAAAACAAAATTTTTACGTTTAAATAGTTTCCATGCGTGTAGAGGCCGACGTTTAGGATACTAACCAGCACTGTCCCTCAAATTAAATGTTAATTAAAGCATTATTTCTAAGACATTAACTTAA